CATGGGTGTATGTCCCACACTTCCAAATCTCATTCGTAAGTTGAATGTTTTCCGCCAGCGCAAGTGGTAGGAAACGGTATGATAGAGAAAATGAGGCGACCCATGAGACTGAGTACCGTATCCCCTACAGCTATCATCAACTGCGACTCAATCCTTCATCGTCCCACGCCCCATGCCACACATTGGAGCCAGGCGTGCCATCAGGGAACATTTCTGCGAGGTACGACAATGAGCACCGCCTGGGCCCAAGCACAACCACAAGACTGCCGCCCGCCATGCTGCCATCAGCACACTCGGACACCCCGGAGATATCACGTGCTAACCCTTGACAAGCGGTCATGACCGGGTCACTCGGTGACCGGTCACCCATTGACAAAAAGTCATGACCCTTGACTTGACCCGTAACAACACTGCTTCGGACGACGATATCTCTTCGACAGCTCAATCTAACCACTTCATTCTTGCGTATTCTCGCTCAGGATTACGACGCGCAGGGAACGGTACCGGTTTCAAGTTAGCAACTCGTCCAACGGGCGATTCACCTGCTTTCAGTCGATTTCATGCCGTCTCCTGCATCCATCGCACATATTTCCTTAACATCACATGGAGATACCTGGAGGGCTCACTGGAAGCCGTTGGCGGATGTCACGGAGGGCATATGGTGCAGAAGAGGTCCATGATGTACATTTTCTCCATTCTGCGAAGGGTCTGGCGCATGCCTACTATACCACTCTGTCGTATATCATCAAACCCAACACATCTTTGCTACGAATCATGTCACATATGTCCACTGTAAGCCTACAAACCCATGTAATTGTGCTGGTTGCCAATTGTAGTGTTCTACAAGCTCTCCTTTGCAGTTCCAATCTACCCACCTCGTCTGTTCCTCCCTCCTACTCAACAGTGACTACATGGCCCCTAATGCCTTGCAAGACCACAGTGATTATGGAGGTGCAGATTACTCACAAAGTCATGGTGTCTGGTGCTCCCCGACGAGGACTTTGAGCTGGCCCAAGAGGGCTGCCACCCGAGCCCACCCTATGGTGGACGTGATTGTCGCTGGACACTCCGCCTTTTGACACAGAGCCCTCGGTAGCGTCTTGTCTTCACCATTCCGACAATTTACGGGAGAGTACGCCATACCATTCAGCCAACAACGCTGTCCGAGTCGAGTAGGGAGCTGGAAGAGCGGGAATGCCCAGAAGTTGGTGACGTCGAGTTGGCGCAACTTCGATACAATACCGTGCCCTGCGCGTCGTAATCCTGAGCCAGAATACGCAAGAATGAAGTGGTTACATTGAGCTGTCGAGGAGATATCGTCGTCCGAAGTCCCTTTGGGGGCGCTTAGGAGGGGAAAACAGGCAAATGCGTGAGATGCGGCGCGGCGCTCTCACGACAAGCGGCTGTAAGGAATTGTCCGCCGCTTACGATACCAGCCACCGCGACGATGTCCTGAGACTACTCCTGACTCAATGATGCTTGCCCTCCATAATTCTATACCCCCTTCTCTGTTCAAAGGATCTTATATCAAGCGCATATCAAGACACATGTACTACTAGCGATCTACGACTTTGTGATGGCTCTAACTCAGGGCAGCAACCACTCGTCTGACTATTTCGACGATGACCCCGAATTCCTCAAGGCTATCACTCAAGTAGCAATACCAGGGGACGCAGCGCCTAGCCCCATCAAAGCTGCCCCTACCAAGCCCACGATTGTCGACTTGGCACAAGACCCGTTCGTGGATCCGGATGAGCCGCCGTCTCCGACTCAGCGAACCTTGAAGCGGCAACGCTCGCCAGATGACGACCTATACGCTGATGACGAAGATGGCGCGCAGTATCACAGCGTCCTCAACGCTGTGGATGGGAACGATAGAGGACACGATGAGGCGTATCTGCAGTCATACACCTATGGCGCGTCGCGATTCGGAGAGTTTGGGGAGTATATGGTTAGGAAGCGCGCGAAGCTGCAAGTTCAGAACCGAGAGATAGAGGATGACGAGGATGAGACTACTCCAAAGAGCAGAATCTTCGCCGGCCTTCAGATCTATGTACGTCCTGTCTATTCTCTCGTGCGTGCGGCATGGCTGACCAACGCTGCAGATCAATGGTTGGACGGAGCCGTCTGTGCAAGACCTGCGGAAGATGATAGTTCAGAATGGCGGTATCTACCATCCCTACCTGGACAAGAAGTCGCTTGTGTACGTTCCCTTTTCTCCCGAGCACCTTCCATGCCTCTGAGGGTTCTCTCAGGACCCACATCATCACCTGCTCGCTCACTCCCGCCAAAGTCCGCGAGTTCAAGTACATGAAGGTCGTCAAGCCGGATTGGCTCCTCGACAGCCTCAAGGCGGGCACCCTCCTCCCTTGGCAGAATTATGTCTTCCGCCCAGGCGAGAGGGTGGAGGCAACCCAAGGCCGCAAGGCTCCCCAGAAGTCGCTCTTCGGCAACTTTGTCACCCAAACGAAGCGGCCTCCTCCCATCGCGCAAGCCACCGCGAGCGGGTCAAGGGCCGGGGGCGCAGATCCGCCCATGGCCGTCGACAACGACGACGAAGACGGGGACTGGCAAGCCAGCCAGCCCGAGCCCTCACAAATCTCCGGGACGCCCTCCCCTCCACAGACACCCCAGAAGATGCCCTTCGCCCCCCACAAGCCCGTCCCGACGACGCCCTCGTCCCGCGCCCCCTTCACAACCGACCCCACCACTCCCGAGCACGCGGCGCGCGTGCCGGGCTACGCCGCGCACAAGTCGAACCCGCACGCGGAGCGCGCGATGAAGGACCCGGCGTGGCGCGCGGCGCACACGTCCGTCGCGCCGGACTTCATCGAGGGGTACTACAGGAACTCGCGGCTGCACCACCTGTCGGCGTGGAAGGCGGAGCTGAAGAACCTCGTCGCGGAGGCGCAGGAGCGGGCGGAGAGCGGGGGGGCTGAGACGTGGAAGAAGGCGGCGGGGGAGCGTAGGGCTAGCGCGGGCGGGGGCGAGGGCGGCGCGGAAGGTGTGGCAAGGAGTGCGAGCCAGGAGGCCGTGGAGCGGATCGTGCGGGAGAACCTGGGTGGGCACGGGTTGGGGAGCACGGAGCTGGAGGGGGACGTGAGCATGAAGGGTGCGAGGCTGGTCAAGAGGGCGGCTCAGGGGAAGGGGAAGGGCAAGGAGAAGGCAGTGGACGAGGAGCGGGTCATCATCATGCACTGCGATTTTGACAGCTTCTTCGTGTCCGCGGGTCTCGTCGACCGGCCGCATCTGCGCGGGAAGCCGGTCGTCGTCTGCCATTCGCAAGGATCGACGGGGGGAGCGGCGAGCACGAGCGAGATCGCTAGTGCGAGCTACGAGGCGCGAGAATTTGGTATCAAGGGCGGGATGAGGTGTGTCTCTTAGATTCGCCACAGACGTCTGCGTAACTCACATCGCTTTCGATGCAGTCTCCAGCAGGCTCGCAAGCTCTGCCCGGCGGTCATCACGATCCCGTATGAGTTCCAGAGGCGCGTGCTATTGATGCTGTCAGCCTGTGACCTTGGTCTCATTCACGCCCTTTCTCAGATATAAGCAGTTCTCGCTGCAGTTCTACACCATTCTCATGGCGCACGCTGACGACCTCCAGGCGGTGTCTGTGGACGAGGCCCTCATCGACGTGACCAGCAGCGTCACACGCATACGCGCCGAGCTCGCTCAACGTCCGGACCGCATGGATGACGGAAGCGATCCTGCCAAGGATTTTGCGGAGTCGATCAGGGCGCAAGTGAGAAAGGTCACGGGCTGTGAAGGTCGGCACTTAGGCATGTCTGTCTCCTCACTACTGTCCGGCTAACGACTGCACTGCAGTGAGTATCGGAATAGCGCACAACATCATGCTGGCCAGGGTGGCGTCTCGGAAGGCGAAACCTGGCGGATCATACCACCTGCGTCCGGAAGACGTGGCGGAGCAGCTTGCGCCGCTCGATATCGATGCACTCCACGGGTTTGGCTACTCGACTCGTCAGAAAGCTGAGGAGAAACTCGGGACGGCAAACTTGGGGCAGTTGATGAAGAAGAGCAGGGCTGTTCTGTGTGAAGCACTCGGCAAGGGCACAGGGGAGACGCTGTACAAGGCCCTGCGAGGCATCGACGATAGGAGGCTGGAGAGCGACAAGCCGCGGAAGTCGGTTTCTTGCGATATTAACGTGCGTTCTCCCTCCCACTTGTTCCGCCCTGTGTCTGACGACGCCCGCCTACAGTACGGTATCCGGTTTGAGAACAACGAGCAAGCGGAGACTTTCGTGTACCAGATGGCAGAGGAGGTCTCTCGCAGACTGCAGAGTATCGACATGCGAGGTCGTTCCATCACCCTCAAGGTTCTCACCCGAGATCCTAATGCACCGGTTGAGGCCCCCAAGGTTCGTGTTGTCCGCGTACGACCTGGTGCGGTGTCGAAGCTCTTGCTCACATGGCACGTTTTCAACAGTTCATGGGACATGGCATATGCGAAGCACATAACAAGCAGATCCCTCTCATCGCTCCTGGAGGACGAGCAACTAGCGATGAGAAGATCATCGGGGAGCACGCCTGGAGGATGCTCAAGAGCTTCAACTTCGACCCGAAGGAGCTGCGTGGTGTCTCAATTCAAATCCAGAAGTTGGAGAAGGGATCTGGTTCCCAGGAGGCCGAGCTCGGCCAAGCGCTGCTCCCCTTCAAACGTGTTGAGGCGAGTAAGCAGAGCGGTGCCGGAGAGCCTTCAACGAGTCGAGCCACAGCACCTCAAATTGCCGTCCAGCCTCCGTCGCAAGACAGTGACATCGAAATTATTCGGAGTACGGTCAAGGCCGCCGCACCTGCGAACGCCAACATCGACCTACCGTCGTTCTCCCAGGTCGACATGTCTGTCTTCGAAGCGCTGCCCGAGGACCTTCGAAAGGAGCTCGAGGCGGAATACAAGCGTCGCTCTGCCACTCCTCAGGCTGGTCCAGCACCCAAAGACCGGTCTCCCGCTGCAGAACCTGCGCCACGGAAGAAATCGACCCTGAAAAGCACGAACGTCAAGCGCATAACGCAGCAGCTTGCGCCCCGCAACCGGCCCTTCCTTTCGCCCACGAACAAGCTCTTCGGCCACCGTGTATACGCATCATCGGTCAAAGTCTCTGAGCGCGAGCTCCGCAAGTACGGCATCGATCCCGAGGTCTTCGCAGCGCTCCCACCAGAGATGCAGCGCGAGCAGCTGGCCGCGCACCGCGCGCCAGGGGTGACAGTACACGTCGGCACGCGCAAAGTGCTGAAGCCCTCGAGCGGCCCCCGCGGGCGGTCGTCCAAGTCCCCTGGGATCGTCTTCCGCCCGCCGCCCGCGCCCAAAGCGGTGTACCTCGCGGCACCCACGCTCAAACAACAAGGCAAGGCGAAGGGCGAGAAGCTCTGCTTTAGGGAGAAGGAGGACCTGCAGGCGGTGATCGAGAGCTGGGTTGGGAGCTTCACAGAGCACGCGCCGAACCAGCGGGATGTGGACTATTTCGCGAAGTTCTTGGTGCAGAGCGTGGACGGGGACCTGTCGGCGGACTCTGGGGTCGAGAAGGCGGTCGCGGTCGTGAAGTGGTGGCTTGTGCTGCTGAGGAGGCACTTTGGGGCATGGGAGCACGCGCCGGAGGTTGAAGGGGATGCGGAGGTCGGGGCAAGGCCGAAGAGGGTGACGTCGGAGTATGTGGGCAGGGCGTGGTGGAGGGCGTTCAGAGAGGTGAAGGCGAAGATGGACGCGGCTGCGAGGAAGAGGTATGGTGGATCTCTTTCGTTGAAGTGAGTGCCGGATGGATAGATGTATCGTTGTAGTAAGTTATACTGTATGTATCGATCAGAGCGGGACGTCGAACGAGTTCCCAACTCGACAGGTCATGAAAGTCATTCTGGGTACTGTATGCATTGCTTATCTTCAAAAAACCATGACGTCCTGAGCGATAAGGTTCGTCAGGACAAGCTGCCAATATGTATAAAGAACCTAAATCCAAACGACTCGTCCTCTGCTAGATGGCAGCCCACCTCTCAACGCGAAGCTCGTTGCCGCAACGTCTCAAGACCATCCCCGTACTAAGTACGTGCTATACTGCATTTTTGCGTTCATCCTCTACATCACAACACCCATATATTTAGCAGTATGTACATCACGGCCGCAGCTGTTGTAGTAGAACAAGGTACACACAGGCGCTTACGGAGAGCGCTGTGTTTACCATTGCTTGTCATCCGGTAATTCGAGACAGGCGCTCGCGGTTTATTGTCTATAGGCGCCTGATGGCTATTCGAGGACAATGCGCCCACCAAGTTTAGACAATAAACTATGGCCGCTACCCGATGCCGTCCATTCCAGCGAACAACAATGCAACCATGGGGATCTCCTGAAGAGCCGACGTGCTTTTCAGGTGAGGCGCACCGACTCTTGCCCTCGTTCTCCCACCTCTCTCTCCGACCACGACTAGACGACTCGACATGTTGTCGAGCATTTTCATAACTTCGTTCCTTTTCGGCGCATCGTTTGGTGAGTATCCTGCCCGCATTCTCTAGAATATCTTTACTGAAGTAATGATGCAGCCGCACAATCTTCACCAACTGTAGTTTGCGTTGCAGGGCAATGCCTCGAAGGGTACACTAATACCACTAGTGCGTGATGTTTACTGTCTATTTCGCGTGCTCGTTCTAACGGACCACAGTCGGCGCGGTGCTATCTGGGTCTGGTGCTGCAACCGACATCCTCCTGCTACCGGGGCAGTATACCTCGACGTCCGATCCCTCCCTACTCCACAATCTTCTCACGTCCTCAAGCACGACCATTTCATCATCCCCCGGCTTTGATGCCAATCTCTCCCTTCCTCTGAATTTGGAGCTTCAACCAGGAGTTGCAGTCTTTCCCCAGGCAAACTACTCCGGTGACGCGAGCTTCGTCCAGCTCCCAAGCACGCCTCTGAATAGCACTTCGTTGTCCGCCGGCTCTCTGGCATTGTCGTCCAACGTCTGGGCCGCAATCTCAACAGGCTCGTCCAAAGATAGAGTCATCTTCTGGGACAGCGTGCCCGATGTCTCGCAGCTGCCTTCCGGCGCGTCTGGTCTCTCTGCTCTGCTTGACATCCAGTCGTCGGCCTGCTCGCCCCCCTGTTCCGGCGCTGGCGTATGTTCTGCCTCTGGACAGTGTATCTGCCCTACGGGTTTCAACGGTACCTCCTGCGAGACCTGCTCTCCTGGTTTCTTTGGTCCCAGTTGCCAGGCGTGTCCCGCCGACTGCGCGAAGTGCGACGATGGCATGACCGGCACTGGCAGGTGCATTGAGCCTATCATCCAGAACCTTCCATCCACCTGCAACTGCGTGAACGGTGTCTGCGGGAGTAACGGGCAATGTACCTGCAATCCCGGCTGGACGGCTGCGAGCAATGGGACTGCTTGCGCGAAATGCGCGGACGGTTTCTTCCTGGACAACAATGGGAATTGCGAAGGTACGTGGCTGTTGAATACGGGGCTTTTCGGAGACTGACATCAACTGTAGTCTGCAGCCTCGGCTGCACCCAGTGCGCTGACGGCAGCGGGGACTGCATAACTTGCAAGTCTGGCTTCACTCAGAATGCTAATGACCGCACCCAGTGCTTCGCGTCTCAGTCGACTACGTCTACGGGCACTACATGTCCCGACGGCAGTTTCAGCAATGGGACTGCCTGCGAGCCTTGCTCTCCTCTCTGCCAGACATGTACTGGGCCGGATTCGTCTGATTGCATAATCTGCGGTGCTGGCAAGTATACCTTGAACGGTAACTGCGTCGGTACGGATGGGAATGGCGTTTGTGATGGCTCCACCCTTGTTGCGGATAATAACAAGCACGAGTGCACTAGTGAGTTTATCAGCCGTGGACCAATGCTGCCTGATCTGAATCGGTTCGCAGCCTGTCCTCTAGGTTGCACCAGCTGCAAGTTCTCTTCCTTCAACGTAGCATCGACGATCGATCAGGTCCAATGCACGGGCTGTCTCCCCGGAACTGTCCTCTCGGGTGGCAAGTGTGTCGCTAGCTGTCCTACTGGCACGTTCCTCGACCCTAAGGACAACGTCACCTGCACAGGTAAGCTTGTCGCTCGGGTACGCCATAGACAACGGCTGATAAGTAATTTGCGTAGCCTGCGACTCCTCGTGCGGCACTTGTGCTGGCTCCGCTACCTTCTGCTTGACCTGCGCGAACAATCAGCTCGCGTCTAACGGGACGTGTGTGGCATCATGCCCCTCCAACTCGTTCAGTTCCTCCGGCCAGTGCATCACTTGCCATTCTGACTGCGCGTCGTGCTCCGGAAGCTCCTTCAACCAGTGCTCGAGCTGTCCTTCGGACCGCCCGGTACTCACGAACGGTCGCTGCCTGCCTACGTGCAGCCAGTCGCAATTCTTCGACAAGACATCGTCGACTTGCCAGTCCTGCGACGCCAGTTGCTCGAGCTGCTCCGGTTCTGGACCAAGCAATTGTCTCGCGTGCTCAAGCTCCAGCCAAGTCTTGCGCGGTGGTTCTTGCGTCTCCGCGAACTGCAACGGTACTCCCAGCACCATCTCCGGCCTAGGTGTTTGCCTTTCAGATCTCGTCGTCGTTCCTACCGTGTCTGGTACCGCGGCACCCCTCCCTTCCATCACTGGCATCAACACTCCTACGTCCACAAACACGACGACGACTACCCGCCGCCCTCTCGCATGGTGGGAGATCCTTCTCATGGCTCTCGGATGCGCGTTCATCTTCGTCGTCATCCTCATGTGCTGGCGCCGCCGTGCCCGCAAGCGCCGCGCAGCGGCGACCGCCAACTTCGCCGCAGTGAAGGGTTTGAATCGGCCCGGTAGCTGGCGCTATCGCCTCGCGCGGTTTGGCGAGCGGCTCTTCGGGCACAAGAAGGGCCGGCGCTGGATGCTCCCTGAGGACCCGGACGAGATCCGCCTCCAGAAGCTGCGTGCGGCAGAGGAGGCTCGTGTCGACGGTCATGTCGAGAAGATGCGTCTCGCGGAGGACAAGCACCACGAACGGGAGGTCGCGAAGCTGCGCGCGTCGGAGATCCGGCACGACAAGGAGATGGACAAGCTTCTCGATGCGTACGAGTACTCGCGCGCGGGCTCGAGCCGCTCTCCATCTCCGCTTCCCTCGCTGCACTCGTACTCGGACGACAGGCACTCGCACAAGGCCAGCAGCCGCGGGTCGGGGGCGGATCGGAAGCTGCCGGTGAACAATGAGCTCGCGCAGGAATCGCTCTACTCGCAAGTCACCGGCCAGCCGCGGCGCGCGCCCGAGCCGCGCCTGCCCATCCGGAACGTGCCCGCTCCCGACGTGCCGCACTCGCGCTTCTCGGGCTCGACGACGTACAGCAGCTGGCTCGTGCCTGATCCCCCTCTGCAGCACTCCGCGCCGACCCCGGCGCAGGAGTACGCGCGGACGGTGTCGCAGCAGGGATTCCGCGACGAGGCCCAGGACGCTCCGCAGCGCGGGGCGTACTGGATGCAGCCGCATCACACGGGGAGCTCGGGAGGGTCGCGTAACCCGTTCCTGCGATGAGGACTTGGCATGAGCAGATGATGGACTCGACTACTTACCCAGCCTAGTGTTGTGTGTTCACCCTTCGATTTTCTTTGGACACGTACATGTGCTTCTCTTACGTTCACGATTGCTTCTACGCTTTGCACGGACATGGCATTGACTTTAACGAGGCATGACCCCTCTCTTGTCTCACATACTACTTAGTGTACGTCGGATTCCCGTTGTAATTAGTCACTCTCTCGCCGCACATTTGTAGCTATATCACTGCACTGCCGCTCGCTGCTGGGAATCGCATCCCAATCCTATACTGTATCCTACGTTATTGAGGTGGTTCACCGACTTTGATCACTGGCAAGACTGTGCGGGCGCTTGGGAAACACCAGTCCGAAGCCGAAGATGCCACAGTACTTGTTTTGAGCGCCTTACCTCTATGTTCGCAACCACCATCTCGCACAGAGATTACATTGTTCCAGGACATCTGTCGTCTAAGCGGGCGACCCCAAGTTATACGATATAGCAGCTTACACATAGCGCAGGCTGACATCTGCATGGTTGAACCGATGTTCCAGCAGAGCTGTCGTTCCAATCCTTCACGTAAGTTCGACTCAAGTGACCTAACCGAAGACAAGCTGCGTGTCGCAGGTAGGGAAGACCTCTCCATCTCACCAGGTCCTATGCATGTGAACAAGGAGTAAAAGAAGGCATTGTATGGCATCAGATCTGTTGTTGCCGGACGGGCGTACAAGCTACTTCGCCTTCTGGGCATAAGTAAGTCTCTTCATGTCCACAATAAGCATCAATATCTGAACTCAACGTTAGTATGCGGTTGCGGGACATGTGTCTCGGCTCCAGCTCAGGGCATCCGAAGGCCATTAGGAAGTCCTCCTCCCTGAACGTGGACCACTCAGACACCCTGCGAACTTCGCGGACGGCTTCGCTGACCAGTGCTGAGCTATGTAGAGCGTGTAGGTGACGTTCGTCGTGACCGGATACATGCGTAAACCTCCTATTCGACGGCCACATCTCAGGCTTGTAGCCGGGGTTGCTAACGACACTCGCCTTACGTTGTGGAACCTGCAGAGCCTTGGCACTAGGTTTCTCTCCCTCAACCTGCTTCTGCCATTATATAAAGCTTCGTCGGACTCGCATCGGATCCACAGCGTTCCAACCAGCTCCTCTCAGCCTGCTGTTGAGTGCCTCCCAAGGCTGACCATCTCTTATTTGCATCTTCCGAGAGTTGACATCGCGATGCGCCCTTTCGCCTCTGCCGCCACCTTCCTCACTCTCATAGTTCCACCTGTGCTCGGGCAGACCATCATCAAGAACGTGACCTACAACACATTCTACGACGACATGAACAATTCCTTTGAAGGCGTCGCTTGCTCGGACGGTCCAAACGGGCTAATCAACAAACGTACGTCCGTGTCCGTGTGAACACCCCACGTCCTAGCTAGGATGATCAGGCTGGTTTGCAGCGGACCCGGCGCAACAAATTGCTGACACTCCTCGCTGCAGACAACTGGACGGTGCTCGGGGATGCTGACGGCTTCCCGGACATCGGTGGCGTGTTCGCCGTCGAGGGCTTCGACTCGGACAACTGCGGGTCGTGCTGGGAGCTCACGTATAACGTGCTGAAGATCAACATCCTGGCGATCGACACCGCGCCCGTGGGGTTCGACATCTCACTGAAGGCGATGAACAAGCTGACGGGTGGTAATGCGGAGGACTTGGGGCGGGTGCTCGTGAACGCGAAACAGGTGGACGTGACGTCGTGCGAGCAGGCGGGGTCGAAGTCGTTGCCGCCGACTCTGCAGCCGACTGCGCATCATGGGTGAGAGGCCGCTGAGGTAGACGAAGCTAGCTTGTCATGCATGCGCAGACCTACGTGCCCGGTGTACAATTGTAGTTGTAAGCTGTAGGAGGAGGAGTCTCCACATGATGAACCTGTTGATGTCACGCTGTACAATGCTTCACGGTGTCCTCTTCGCGTGCCTTAACTTCCGTGTACTCATCCCTCTCATGCCGATCCCATCTTAGATATCGGTATTCACGCTGTTCAGAAGCCAGACCCGCAACTAAGGACCTACTCGTCAGGGAGATGCCCCTATGAACAACCTCGCGCTGCTCAATAGTGATGACCCTCTGAGAGAGCGGTACAAGCTATATGTGTCAATCCCCTCGGGGCTACGTCCTGGTTCTCCAACTAGCCGCTACGAGGCGTCGGATTGTCCTCTTTGCCCAGGCTCGAGTCCACAAGCTAGGCATCGCAATCATATGCTGTGTGCTCCGTTATCGAACCGGTTTGCGGATGTTGATCACGGGCTGCCTCTTGCATGGCCGCCCCATCTGCCGAGGTTTTATAAGACCCGTCGAACCTGGCTAATATTAGTCGGAATCTACTACTTGTACGCTGCTGAGCTTGAGCGCTTCGGCTTACACGGATCCTTGCCGTTCACCATCACCTCGAAGTCGCTTACTCAACAATTACTAGCAGCTCACAGTGCGGAAGTCATCATCGTGGACGGTCTCGAGGCATGAGGCAGTAAGTCGGAGGGTTGCAGAGCTCGTTAACCCTCCGACTTACTGCCTCATGCCTCGAGACCGTCCACAAATCATTCACGTAAGTTTGACTCAGATGACCTGACCAGTGACTTCCAGCGGCCTCTCGCACACTACGGACCTCTCCGTCTCTCTCACAAGGTCCCATGTGAACGAGGAGTAACAGAACCCGTCAGATCTTTTCTCGCCAGGGGCTGGCATAGAAGGTACATCGTCTTGTGGTATGGATACCATGATGGTCAGTCTCTTCGTGTCTACGATGAGCGTTGATGTACATCACTCATAGTACTCACAGGTGGCATGAGGCTACGGTACATGCGTCTCGGTTCCAGCTCGGAGCATCTGAAGCCCGCTCGGAAGCCTTCTGTCTAAGTGTGGCCCGCTCGAACACTACGCGAAGCATCATGAACGGCTTCGCTGACCAGCGCTGACTTCTGTAGAGCATGCCGGCGACGTTCGTGCGCATGCCTCAAACTCACGCAACGTAAAGCTACCACCGACGGCTATGGTCGTGACTTACAGCGGACTTCTCAGCGCCGTCCATCTTCTGTTGTGGAACTTGCTCTGTAGGTCTTGGTACCTGGCTTCTCTCTACCTTCTCCTGCGTCCGCGGACATATAAGCCGCGACGAGTTCGCGCCTGGATCTCCAGGCTCCAGAGCTGCTCGCCTGCATCTGTCGCTCAGTGTCTTCGAGGCTCCCCTATGCTCTTGTCGCACTCGGCCTTCACGATGCGCTCCTCCGTTCTTGCCGCCTCTCTGCTCGCGCTCGTGCTCCCTGCGGCGCTCGCGCAGACGATGATCTCCAAGAACGTGACCTTCAACCAGTTCTACGACGACAGCAGCAACTCTTTCGACGACGTTGCCTGCTCCGACGGCCAAAACGGGCTCATCACGCGCAGTGCGTAGCACGTCCCCCCTCTCCAGCGTCCCGCCGCCGCTGACCCACCCCCTCACCCCCGCCAACAGACGGCTGGACGACGCTCGGGCAGGCATCCGGCTTCCCGAACATCGGCGGCGTGTTCGCCGTCGAGGGCTTCAACTCGGTCAACTGCGGGACGTGCTGGGCGCTCACGTTCAACAACATGACGGTCAACGTGCTCGCGGTCGACACCGCGCCGGTGGGGTTCGACATCTCGCTCGAGGCGATGCAGAGCCTCGTCGGGGCGCGGCTCGCGCAGGACGTGGGGAGCGTGGTCGCGCAGGTGATGCAGGTGGACGTGACGTCGTGCGAGCAGGCGGGGTCGAAGTCGTTGCCGCCCAGCGCGCACCATGGGTGAGGGGCTGTTGAGGAGGGTGTGCGAGCTTTGGCCGAGGACGGTGATATGTTGTCGCCTTGACGATGTTGAGAAGGTTTATGTACGTTTGTGCCGCTTGTACTTGTATGCTGTTATGGGCCGTCGTCTCGAAGAGGACTATGGACGTTCAGGACATTGATTTATGTAGTTTGATGGCTTCTGGCGCCCCACGTCGTGTGTTTGGATCTGACATAGCAGTGTATACTCAGCGATGACTAGCGCACACAAAGAGAGACCAAGAGAGAAGGGGCGGATATCAAGGTACAAAGGTAGTACAGCATAGCTCGAGATCACAGATCGCAATGTACACGAGAGAGAGACAGAGCACAGGTATCGAATGTGTAGAGGGACGGGCAGCGGGACTCCAGATCATGCGTGCAGGCGGGAACGCAAGCGTAAACGTAAATGAGGGAATAACTGTAGTGTCCATGCAGGCGGTCGTGACTCAGGCTCAGTAGTTAGAGAGGGACAGGACGAAGATGTTGGGCGCAGAGAACCCGAGGCGCGCCTTGGCGTAGCTGTCCTTCCGGGAGAGCTTGTCGAAGAATACCCGCTCGCGCAGCCAATCTGCCCAACCGACACAACAGTGGATAATCAGCGCCTAAGTTCATTGCAACTAGGTGGGAATGGGGTGCAGACTCACCGACTCGCCTGAACTGGGTCGGGGCGACCTGAGGAGAGTAGTACTGCTGCCAACCCGCGTTTCCGGCTGACGAGGCGTATCGCCGGACTTGTTCTTGGAGACGTGCGGGGAGCGACTCGAACTCCTTCTCTGTGACCATCTTCTCGCCGTACCTGCAAGGGATCTTGTCAGGACTCCGAAGCCGACATTATCGGAGACGGCGCTACGCGCGTTAGGGCAGGTACGGGGCACGCACTCTTTGAAGAGGGTTCCGCAGATATCGCCAAGGGTAACGCCTTGCGGGTTCTTGATGATCGTGCACCATGGGCTGAGCTCGGTGATGATGATGAGCTCTTCTACGCGGGGCATCGTTGCGGGCTCCTCCTTGGCGGTGAAGGGTGTATCGCGGTCGCGCGCTTCATGGTTGTAGCCGCCGGTCTGGCCTTAGAGGGTGCACGGAGGGAATGGGCAATTCGGGATGAGGCATGCATGCAAAAAGAGACCGAGACGCACCAGTGGAGAGGTTGAAGATTAGTTGGAAGGACTCGCTCGTGTTCGCGAGGATAGGGTTCAGCTCGAGTTCGGTTCCGAGCAGGTATAGGTCCGTCTGGGTTAGGACGGGACCGTCTGGAAGAGATGCGGAACGGCCAAGGAGATGCAAATTGTAGCCCGCTTCCTGAAGACGAAAGTGCGTCGGAACGTACAGCAGCTGCCTGGTGCCCACTTGCCGATTGTGTCTGCCATGGCTCCGGCGGTTCAGTGGTATGGGTGTGTATGATTACGATCTCGATCGTTGATCGCAGAGAGGTGTAGCAGGTGCTGGTAGAGGGTCGGAGTCGATGGCTGTCCTAGTCAAACACAGAGGCGGTCTTATAAGACGGAATTGCGAGTCAAAAAATCGGAACGGGCGATGTAGGAAAGTTCAGGAAGACGGAGGCAAGGTGAGGTAAATGGGATGGGGCACGGGGCAATTTGCCAGGCGCCTCGATATCAGATGAGATCATCCTGTGTCTTCAACGCGTTGAACACGTTGGCTTTGACAGAACAAAGGGAATCTAGCCACGAGTATATCGCGGAACACGGATAGTGGACACCCCGATGCTGCGGAGGTCACATCGACGTCGATGGCGAGAGAGACATCGTCCGTTGCTGCAGGCATGACTCCGAGGCCTGAGGAGACATAATTGAGGAAGTTATAACGCCGCTTGAATAAGAGTACATTGGGCCAACGATAACGCGTTAGTCGACGCGCAGACGGAATCTCCGCCCATGCCTACATAGTACATACTCGGGGGGAGGCGACTGTATCGCGGTTCCGTGTGTCGTCGGCGGCGACGTCGACCAACTCTGATACCGTGCCCCAACGCCTTGCCTGTGGATTGCAATTTATGCAGCCCGTTCATCCCGCCTGATTACGACCGGTATCGGAGCCATCACCGTGGACATCGCTGACAATCAGTAGTAATACCCTGCACCCTACTCCCCGTTCCGGTTCTCCTTCAGCGCCCCATCTCTCAATAAAACTATCCACCTCACCCCCCAGTGAGCTCTTCACAGATCTCGCCGGTCCCGCACGAGCTTGAATCAGCCACGAAGCCCTCGTGAACCGAAGCATCTTATCTTTGCGGAGTCATCACTCTCGGACCCAGCTCCCAGGTGCGTTGCGATCGTGAAACCATCGCTGCATTACCTGACCAGAGAGAATAGGGAAGGACACCTCAGCGACTCGTGGACATCTCGTGGACGGCACAGAGTTCGAGTCATCGCATTTGCTCAAGAAGTTGGCTGTGCTTCCGGTGTGGTCACAAAAGGTAAGTTACGGCTCTTGACTTTCCAATCCCGCCCCTCCACGCATTGCTTTGTGGTCCTCGTCTCACATCGCAACTGTCCCTTGCGGAACGCAGGACGCTGCTGTGCGAGTCATAGATAACCCACAACCGACGCGCCGAACATGCAGTTCACACCCGTCGTCCCACCATACCCATCCCCCGGCGGCGGTAGCGGCTCCCCTCTTAATCCTCCCCCAAACGTGATCCCTCCAGGCACCCCAGGCCACCCAGGACAGACTCCAGCGTGGGCTCAGCAGCCCACCGGTTTCCCCGCGCAGTCGCCATACGTCTCTGCAGGCTTCATGCCCGGCACCATACCCGGCTCCTACTTCATCCCGCCCGTCACGCTTCCGGGCGGGGCGACGCCCCTGGTCCAACCCAACCAGGGCTTCTCCATGGACTATACCGGGTTCCCGAACCCCGGCGGGATCCCCGGGAGCACGGCGGGAGGTCACACACCCTTCGCGCGCCCCGGTCAACCCCCGACTACACCTTACATGGGCGCTGGCACGCAGACGGGCTATAGCACCTTCCAACAGCCGCTGCCGCCCGGGGGGATGCCCCCACCCATGTACCCGATGGGGATGGGCATGGGAATGCCGGGCGGCATGCAAGGGGGGATGCCGCCGTTTGCTACGCCGTATATGCCTATGGGAATGCCACCTGGGATGATGGGCGGGATGGGTGGTATGGGCGGTATACCAGGCGCCATGCCCGCTGGGTACCCCTTCACGCCCGCTGCCCCTAACGCGCCTATGCCTGGCGCTGTGCCGATGCAGCCTCAGCATTCCAGAGACAATCGCTTCCCGAATCCCAAAGAAAAGCAGCCATGGGACCAGGCGGAATTCGTGAAGTTCGCGGAGGGCGATGATTGTGCGTCCAACCTCTGAGCTTCTCAGCGCCTCCACGCTAACCAGCGCTTGCGCTCCCTAATCAACCCTAGACGGCCCGGTCCTGAGCACGATGCTGGTGCACCGCATGAAAGCCAAAATCGAGGTTAACCCGCTCATCCTGCCCCCGAACGACGCGCTCGACCGCGACTACCTGAAGTGGAACATGCTCTTCCCCACGGGGAACTGCCAGCGCTCGTCCGACCGCCCCGGCCGCTCGTGGTACAACGGGCGGAACGCCCCCGCGACGTGGCCACGCGTTAAGTCGCTCCGGCTCATCTCGCGCGCGTTCCCGTGGTCGATCGACGTTCCCGCGACGAGTCCCGAGGTCGGGGTGACGTGCGGGGACGTGATCGAGGCGGTGCACACGTCCATGTACACGCGGCTCTCTCAGCAGCAGTACGACAACGCGTCGCGGCAGCAGCGGCGGCTGCTGAGCGAGTCGTTCTACCACAACCGCTCGACGGCGCACGGCGTGCCCGGGGGCCGGCTGCAGCAGACGCTGCTGCGGTGCGACTGGCTCGGGCAGGACACGATGTTTGGCGGGATCGTGGACGACGAGCGGTTCGTGCGCGACGTGTGCGGGGACCACCTGCCGTGCACGTTCGAACTCAAGTGCGTAAGGCGGTACCCGATGACGGAGGCGGAGATTCGGGAGCAGGAGGCTCGCGAGCGCGAAGAGGAGGAGCGGGTGCGGCGGCGGTCGCGCTCGAGGGCTACGTCGCGCGCGGGGTCGAGCAGGCCGCCGACGAGACCGCCGAGCAGGGTGGTCGACGACTCCTCGTCGAGTTCTTCATGACCGTTATGATTCTGCTCTTGTGTTTGATCCATCGTCGTCGTGCCTCATCCCAGATTATATCCTCTACCTCTGGTCATGATTCTCTAAACCGCTACGACTGGTCTCGCTGTACGTTTACATCTTCCTGTTACTGCTTCCACATCATACATACCCCCGCTCGTCGAGGACTCCCTTGGATGTTCGGATCTTCACGCTGTCCACGCTCACACTCGCGTTGTTGTCTGCTGTTTATAATCTTACTACAGCTTGTTGTACATCTCCCGATGTAGTCCTAGTCTCTCCATCTTACCTGTCTGTTCTGATTATGCATGACCCTCGCTGTTGCCGCTCCCGTTGGCTATGTGCGCCCTTCCAGGATACGTCTCTAGCATTCGGCTTCACCTATAAAGTCCCGAGATGAATCTCATTACAAGGCGGCCCAAATTGCGAATCTCATGCTGTACAATCTGATTTGTCTTCGCAGCAAATGAGGATTCGCATTCCCCTGGTCCAAAAGTCAAGTCCGTCCACTCAAACCGAAGGTCGTCCGTCGCGGGGTGCGCTTCGCAAGCATGCATACAATGCCCAGATGTGACATGCCAAGGATTCAAGGCTATGACCCCTCAAGGTTTCGAGAATACGAACGGTAAGGGATGACATGGGTCAACAGATACATGATATAGGTCAAGGTTGTACGGCAATACTCTCCGTATGACACATGAAACGAGGCTATACATATTACAGAATACCGTAAGCGAGACTACCTGACGGTCAACGTATATACGTTGTAGTGCAGACATATATGATTCGATGGGGAACGTGGCTAGTCAGCTCTCTGAACTACTCTATTCAGTATGTGGATTTGGCATCTGGAATGATGTCCTGTAGCCGACGACCCAAGACGGTCTAATCGTTTGCAGCAGACCACAGCATCGTTCCGTGCAGGCGTCAACCGGGGCGTCCTCGATCGCGCCGAGTTTCTCGTCCAAATGTCGGAACCTCTCATGCTTGTCTGAGTGCGTTCATGGCATAGTGGACATCGTGGGCTAAGTAAAGATGATAGTCCCGATCTTAAACTCTATTCTTCTCGAGAGCACAACATATACATGAATCCCGAAGAGTACAATACATCGTCGATACGTAGTGTACGCGGCAGAATGTTGCCATTTTGCCGCTGCCATTCTGCCAATGGTGCCAGTTTCTGCCAACCACGGCAATTGCCATATCTGCCATACCTGCCGGCAGAATAGCCCGAAACATTTCTGCCATATACACTATCGATACGAAACTTACATCTCTAGGAGAACGGAATGCTGAAGATTAATATTCAGACCGCACCCCGAGGTACACTGGCTGGCCTAAATCATCCTCATTACCAACTTCTCCCTGTGGACCGAATCAACCTCATTGATTATAGACACTGAACATGGCGTCGCACAGGGAGTCAGAGTGCGTCAGTGCAACACGCTTATTCCATTCCCGCCCATTGACATCCTCTCAACCTCGTCCAAACCTCAATCTCAACCTTGCCCTAACCTCGAGCTCAAGGGGCGCTTGGAGGAGGGTGCCTCCTCGGCGATTCCTGCTCACATGCCGCGGCAAGCACCTGCACTGCCGTGATAGCGACCCGCCCCAGGTCCACGGCGCTGCCGTTGGTGAGGTTGTTCATGACGTTCAGCCCGACGTTGAACCCGTCCGTCGCGGTGTCGATCGCGAAGACGTGGAGAATGGCGTCGTTGTAGGTGAGCTCCCAGCACGTGCTACAATTGGGGGAGTTCCAGTGCTTGATCGCGGGCGCCCCAGCGATGTTGGGCCAGCCGATAATCTCGGAGAGCGTGAGGGCACCTTCTGTGTATGCGGTTCGGAGGGTCATTAAGGTGGGACGACTGGCTTGAGAGAAGGGAGAGACGAACCCTTGTCGATGACGCCGTTCGCGCCGTTGGAGCATGCGATCGCCTGCGTGGACTCGTCGCCGTTGTCGTAGATCTGGTCGTAGGTAAGATTGGTGTTGAATTTGCCCGTTTGGGCGAGGACCGTGGACAGGAAGAGGAGCCCGGCGCTGAGAGAGAGGAACTGCATCGTTTTGCGAGAAAGAGGGTACTTGGGGCTGAATGAGTAGGGTTCTTGGGGAGACAGGGCAGGATCTACCTGAGGTGCCGAGCAGAGGTGTGGCTTTATAGTCTCCATATCCGTCGAAAAGGCGGGCCGCCGAGAGAAATGGGGCAGAAGCAAAACAGGGGCGCAAACGTAACGTGGAGAGTCGTTCGAACAGTTCTGGTAGTGAACACCGAGGTTTGTCGCCGTAAGACCGACGGCAGATGTGCTAACCAGAAGCATTCCATGGTGATGTATGAAGAAGCAAGAGAAAGCATAGATGGATGCGGTATTGAACTACCCCATGACTGGTAACTGACGCCTTGCCGGACAGCAGAGGATTTAGAGAGATCAGAATCTCGAGAAGAACGTCGGGAGTGGTATTCCCAATATACTCGGCCCATAAACAGAAGTATGCGACATTAAGATCCTCGCATTAAGCACGCCAGAGACAGAGATACATATATGATACATGAACGAACGTTCGTACCTAGAAAGTGAAGGTCGATTTATGACTCTCCGGTGATCTTCATGCATCGCACGTCTGGGTTGTGCGTCAAAAATGGCAGGAAGATGCCGTACAAACCTAGTATGCCCCCATTCTACTTATTCTCTTTAGACATGCCACGCTGGACAAAGTTCAGGGGATGGAACGAGTTACCAGGCCAAGTCGCGCGGAGTCCAATTGAATGGTAGAGGGAGTCACGTGGATTTGCCTTAGATTAGATAACTTTAGATTGTGTGTCATCGGCGCGATCATGCACGATCACTCGCTGAGGCAGAGCAACGCAGAACCCGCATTCGTTCCATTCTCCCGCCATCGTCGTGCCTGCGACCCACATCACGACCTGCTAGTCATGCCGCCTAAGGGAGGAAACGCGAAGAAAGAGTCCGGCAGGGCCAAAAAGGCCGAGAACGAGGCCAAGAAGGCTGCCGCAGCGGAGGCAGAGAAGGTACGCAGCCCCCATCTCGCACATCCGCACCCTGCACAGAGTTTTGACTGATCTCCGTGACACCGGTACACAGGAGCGCAAGGAGGCAGAGCAGTGGTCCCAGGGATCGAAGGCCAACAAGGCCAAGGAAGAGAAAGAGGAGAAGCGCAAGGCCGAGCTCGCGCGTAAGGCCGAGCTTGCCCGGTTGCTCGCGGAAGAGGAGGCCAGCGCGGCCTCGAAGCCGAAGGCTGCTTCGAAGGCAGGAGCAGCGAAGAAGGGCTCGGCGAAGAAAGACGTCAAGCCCGCTGGGCCTGGGGCGATCGCTGCCGGGGGAGGTTTGGGTGCTGTTGAAGCGGTGGCGGACGACGGGGCGCCAAAGGAGGTCGAGTCGTACGCTGCGACAGGTCTCGACAATGCGCTCGACTTGTTGGAGGTCGTCACAGCGAAGATGGACAAGGCGAGTGTCGGTTCTAGGGCTGCAGATCTCGAGAGGCACCCGGAGGTACGGCGCACGTTCCCCAGATTACTCATGAGGCAGTGCCTGATATTCATTACAGAGGAGGTTCAAAGCAGCATTCGAGGCATACAAGGAGAGGGAGATGCCAAATATCAGAGCAGAGGTATGTCTAACTACTGCTGTTCTACCTTTGAATATGTGAGACTCATTGGTGGCGATCTCTCAGCATCCGGGATTGCGTCTGAATCAGTACCATGTACGTCGTCCCGTTCTTGGAATGTCTACCAGGCTCGAAGTGCTGAGTTGCTCCTCCCTCTAGGAACTGCTCTATAAGCAATTCCAGAAATCGCCGGAGAACCCGTAAGTCGTATTGCGCTCTTCTCGACTCCCGAAATGGCCGCTTGACTCATTATCCCATGTCCACAGCTTCAACCAGGTCACGGTGGCGTACGATGCCAAGAAGGAAGAGAGGATAGAGGCACTGAACCAGCGGAATGCTGAGATCACAGGCAGACTGAGGTCACCATGATGCCCCTGCGCTTATCCCGCCAAATCAAACATCGGAGCGGTGCGTAGCGCATGTGTCAGTTCACTCGACGTGTCCGAAGCTCATGATCGCCCCCTATTCAGATGCCCTTCACTATTAGAGTGCTTCCGTGCTTATGCGACTACCATGGCCGTATCAGGTATTGATCGATGTTTTCAGTCAAATTTGATGTAGCTGCTGTACTTGTATATTTGACGCTCTTCACTGTTGTACTATCAACCACTGCATGCCCTGCACTGCGAGATGGGCTGTGAAGCAACTGCCGTCAATGTTCGGGTGGGGTGCGCATCTAGAACGGATCTGGTTATCGCAGAGGACAAGGTTGGAGAGAATCTAGGTGATCTCTGCAGTCGCCTTTGACGGTACTAGGACACGTCGATGAGTTCTTGAGAGATGAAAGATATATGTACAGGTTCTGGTCTCGGATGAAGAGCGGTAGTGGTCAACCTGAGTCTGCTATTCGTGATTGTCCGACATCGGCGTGTAGTAAATCCCGCCTACTCTGTTCCTATTGTCCTGATGCCACCTAGAGATTGGGACTAGACATGATCTTCTCGCAGGAGGAAGTTTTTGTTATTATCCTCCACCGTGCCAACGCCGTACGATACGACGGCGGCAGCAGTTCGTCCTTGGGCTGCGGGCATTTCTGAACTGCACGTCCGCTGTGCTGGAGTACTCCATGCATTCAGGGGCTGCAGGTATCAAGTTGAACGTGATTCACTAACACAAGGGTGCGCTACGTCTTTGTGAAGCAATTACCGTTGATATGGGAAGGGCACACGGTTTCCCTAGCATGTCAGATCAGCACATGAATTTTTGTATTGGGCTAAGTAGCAAGATCTCTTTCCGCGGTGCCATCGGTTCGATGGGGTCTGACTGCGAAGATGGACACTGCGAGCATGAGCTCGAGGACTGCGGGCATCGTGGGGAATCCGGAGATCCACTGCGCATTCTGAGGGCTGTGCGCTGACGTCTTGTTGTAGATCAGGCTCACGGCCGCATTCGAGGTATACGGGAGAGGGGGCTGCCGAGTGTGAGGTCAGAATGGATATGCATTACTCGAGGCCGCTCTTCCTGTATTGTATGCGAAACTCATGACGACGATCACTTAGTGTCCTGGGGTTGCGTTAGGATCAGTATCATCTGCTCTCTACTCTCCTGGGAATGCTATTATCCTCAGGATTCTGACTCGTCTTTCCTTCGACAACCTGCTTTACGAGCGATTCCAGAAGGCGCGAACCTGTATACAATTCCGCGTTCGTCAATGTGCCTGAGATGATTGCTCCCCTTACCTGCTTTTTGCAGCCTCAACCACGCCAAGGCGAGGTGGCATGAGCACTCACCGCTGCGCCCATGCCTACCCAGGCTCCGGGCATCGGATAGCGGTGCGTGGGTGCATAACCCAATCCGATCAATATGCTTGCTGCGAGCAGGTTTAAGACATATTCCGTCTAGGTGTCTCTGCTAGAACACTTATATGCGCATAACGTCTCCGCCGTGGCGGTGGCATCGGACGACGTGGACTGCAGATGTGAATTGTGGGTAGTCCTGATCAATTCTTGATGTAGCTGTACTTGTTTGTTTGGCGCCGTTGACACTTGTGACCGTGCCGCAGCGTTCTTCAAGGATGAAAACGAGCCAATATTGCTTTGAATCAAGCCCTGTGTAAGTAGACGGTATCGCAGGAACCGGTTAGAGAGGACCTCCATAGCAGGCCGATGTCGGAGGACCGAGAGGTACGATGATTGGGGGATCAATCAGGAATAGTTGCAGTGTGATCTGGTAGCATGAGAGTTCTGCTTAGCATAGCCCCTAATGTGTGCCTCGTTGGTCCCGAGTGGCAGGGCGAAGGCAAAGCGGTCGAGGTAATGCGGATATGTTGAGATGCGCAGCGTCAGGCAGCGCCTTTGCACCGATGTCCTGTGAGCGCCAGCAGAGCGCTCCACTTATATAAGCAATCATGAATTTTCATAAACAGGTCGCTCTCTGCTCTTTCCTCCACTCCACCACCGTTCTCTATCTCTAGCTAACGCCCTCTCCTCAACGACTTTTGCAGCCATGGTGCACAACTTGACTGTCTCCATTCCTGGATCTCCTGGCTCCCCCACCTCGCCACCGTCGCTGACGATGTCGAGTCCTGCGTCGCCACAGCGCACCAACACACTCGTAATAACGCGCTTGCCCCCTCATTTCTTCGAGCCCCTCATCCAGCAGGCCTTCAAGAGTCACTTTTCGACATATGGTCCTTTGCACACATGGGCACCGATCAAGGGTCTCGCGCGTGTTATCATGGTCTACTATTCAGAAGACGACGCAGAGATGGCCAAGGAGAGCAACGATGGCCTGACCTTTGGCGAGACGCAACACGAGTACGTCGGTTCCTAGCTCTCTCTTGCCTACATCCTGACTCTCGACCAACCTAGGCCTGATTTCATCCTCCGCGTTTACCGCGCTGATCCAACACCTATCGAGTCGGACGAGACGCAGGAACACAACTACTACCTCCGTCCGCCCGCCAACGAGAAGAACTTTCTTATCTCCCCTCCAGGCTCTCCTCCAGTAGGCTGGGAGCAGATCCGCGAAGATCCTCCAAATGCCACGCCACTCGCTCATGACCTCATTACCGCGCTGCGCAAGCTCGAGGTGCAAGAGGCGAGCGCGCGCCGGGGCCCTGGGCCTGAGATCCTATTAGAGCCGCAGGAAGGCGTGGGGATCAGCGTGTGCGTGGAGGATTGCGACGCTCTTCCTCTTGAAGAGGAACAAGGGGATGCGGAGGACTGGGCGTATGGTGATATGGCGCCATCCAGGATGCGGTTCAGGCCACTTCCGACGTCGATGCCCCCAGTCTCCATCTCCGTATGAACTGTCTGCTGCTCACTGCTCTTTTGGTGAGTGTCTCTTCATTTTGGAAGGAGCTGTTTGTAAGCGTTGCATACATCATTCCGCTCCCTGTGATGACACAATCTCAGACCTGTACCGAACTCGAAAGTGTATTGAGGACACCTAACATTGCCTTTTTAATCTGACTCTCATCATGATGCTCGTCCATTGAATCCGCCGCTGACGTAGATGCCCATAGATTGCTCTGCCGCATACGACACGTTGCCTCATTTACCTAATTTATCGCATCGCGTGAGTGATTGTCTCCCCCTTTGGCCCTCACTGTCTCCGTCTAGCACGCTCGCACGAGATGACACTCTTCAGACCTGTTCTGATTCTTCAGACATGGAGAAAACCCAAACTATTGCCAATTGTTCCTTCTGATGCGCTGTACAACTGCCCTTCCTCAAATCGTCATTGCCATGTGTCCTAGATTTGTGCTGACGACGTCATCTCTTCCCCTCAACAGAGTAATCTCCCGCCAGCTTAGGTCGCATCGAATCGCATGTTTCGTCATCATGGACTCCCGGATATAACTCGCCTCATCGTCGGATAGCGCATTGTACTTCACCACACCACGTTGTATGTCCTCCTAAGGTTTATTTGTATGCTTAGTTCGAGTCGTCTATCGTATCCAGCTATACCATGATCGTATGCATCTGGATTACAATGTCAGTACATCTAGAGCTACATGCGAGTTGTTCAATATCCACATTGCTTGTATGGGTATGAATATCTTCGGCTATGCATCCGCAAGTTCCAGCAGCACATCGCCTTCGCCAGCTACATAGAAGCTCATGAGTAAAAGTTGGCGACTGTATGTGTCTTTGGCACGTATTGGCTTGTACCTAAGCCAACAAAGTTCTACAGGGCCTTCGAAGCGTCGCACTAACCAAAGTCGATCAGATGGTGAGCGTGTCGTGTTTTTTCAGATAAGTGCAATATGTGAGACTTACTAGCACCTGTCTTTGCAGGCGGCTGGAGCTCGCAAGGGTTCGTTTGAATATCGCATGCTGTGTGAAGAGTCTATACTCGCGGGGTTCAGAATGGGTCGCACGTCAAGCCTGCCATGAAGGTACTCATGGACATCGGCCTGTCTCAATCACAGGTGCCTGCATCAGCATTCGGTCAGGCACTTGACAGCCACTTGAGACTACTGAACGCCTTGAGGGCACTGGCAAGGACTCGAAAAAGCTTATTAGAGATGCTCAATCCTTGAGGCCACTGGTCATTGGTTGCGTTGAGAAACAATTGATATCGATGCGGACCGATGGGCTAGCCGAGACTAGCCGCTCAACTCCTCTCCGAAAGCTCTGAATGATGCTGACACTGGTCCTCTCGCACAAAGTCCCTCGACATTGGCGTCAATCGAGGTAGATGGCTCTCGTCTTTGATATACCTAAAATCCATGTTTCCCCCTGTCTTGTTGAGAGCGGTAGGCCCGTAGAATGGGAAGGAACGCGAAACTCGACGTCGCTCGCTTGCCAAATGCGGGGCACTCGGCTAGTCCATCAGTCCATCAATTGCCTCTCAACGCGACCAGTGGCCTCAAGGATTGAAAACGCCTACTCATCTCAAGCTCGCCGCATCACCCAACGACGACAAATGCCCTCTTCATTGAACGACCTTGCAAGCTCCCTGCATCCCACCACGCAGTCCCCGGCGCTTCCATGGGAGGTCATCGAGAGGGCCATCGACCACTGCTCCGGCGACAAGACCACGTTGTGTACTTTGGCTCTGACCTGCAGCCAACTCCATCCCCGTAGCCTTTTCGTTCTCTTTACCAATGTCGATATACAGATCCAGGAACAGCTCAAGAAGTTCTACGATGCTGTCCAGGCTCAACCACACCTTCAGCCTCTTGTGCGATCTCTGTCGTTTCCGTGGGACAAATTCTCCGTATTCCCACTGCTGTCCATCCTCCCCGGTCTCCGTCATGTCGCATTCAAGGGGGACATACTTGTGTTTAGGGTCGGCAGCCAGCTCCTCCAGCCCGATCTGCAACTTGTGACTAGCGTCCGGAGCCTCACTATCCGCAGTGCTGGGTTCCAAACGTGATCCGCCTTCATACGCTTCCTATCAGCCTTTCCGAACATCGAAAACCTCACCTGCGAGCGTCTCACATTACTTGCCGACACTCCTCTGGAGGAACGTGATTTGTCCCGTCGAGTGCAGCTGCGAACGCTGAATGTGAGCGTTATCGTGATCATCCATGTTCCTCGATTGTAACTCTCTCGGTTTCCTTTCAGATACTTCAAAATGTGGATGAATACATCAAAGAGGTGCTAGTTTATGCAGTCGCTAATCCGCTTGCGATTTCGGAATATACTGGTTCGTATCTCATTCCGTCTCCTAGCTGTATACCTCATGTACTTCAAATTAGAATCATCATCTATCCCGCCTCCCCAATCGGGCGACGCTCGCCAGAACTCCTTAACATGGTGGATACAAGCCCAGACTGAGGAGCTCCAACATGCCACCAACGTCTTGCTCAGGTCGAAACAAACAGCGATCAGAGATATCACTCTAGTCCTCTGGGATCACACCGTTGACGTCCTATACAGGGAATGCCGTCGAGCTGTCAACCTGGAGCTCTGTGGGGCCCTGGAGGACATCCTGCTCACGTATCCTTCCCGTCGCGTACTGTTGAGAGTTCCTGATGGCCTAATCCTGAATGCGCGCAAGACGATCTCCTGGCCTGACGAGATGAACAGGTGGTTCCGTCCACTAAGCGAGGACTGGGCGCTGAGTGAAAAAGTTAGATACTGTGAGTTTCATCTACTGACCATGATTCTGACCCGAACATTGACATGCGTAGCCGGCAAACCCGGGCACGACGCGGTTGTCACCACACTTGTCATCTCTTCAGATGGGAGCTGGGTTGCGACGGCCTCCGACGATTCTACGATCATCCTATGGGATGCTCGAGATGCGTGTATCTCGCAACAGTGGATTGCCCATGACGGAGAGGTGCATGATCTCGCATTCTCCCCAGACAGCCGATATATCGCGTCCGCGGGTGGGGATCGGACGGTCGCAATCTGGGACATCAGCGGCAGCGCACACCAAGTCGCCTCTCTCCAGGACCACGTTATCGTCTGCAACAAATGCGCGTGGTCCAGCGACGGCGCTTATATTGCATCCCGAGACGGCAATACTATACGGCTCTGGGATGCACGAACTTTCCGGCTGCTACCGCTAAATGACGCCGAAAAGACGAAACTCAACGAGCTCCTGTTCTCCCCTGACAGGCGCTGGCTGCTTATCCACAACGGGAACGCCTGTGGGGTTTGGGATGTTGTATCTGGTGCATACCTCGCGTTCCCATTGCAACGATACAACGAGCGTTATTCTCTTCGAGCCGCATTTAACCCGAAGAGTTCACACATCGCCGTTGGATATGACGATGGGAAGCTCCACGTTTGGAACGTCGCGACTGGACAGGAGCCTCTGTTTTGGCAGGCGCACGAAAATAGGCCAGTCCGCTATGTGGTGTTTTCTCCGGACGGCCGGCTGCTGCTCTCAACGGCCGGCAAAGTAGTGAAGACATGGGATGCGGATACGTGTGCGACGGTCCAGTCGCTTGAAGGGCACAAGTCGTGGATGACGGAGGCGTGCTTCTCCCCGTGCGGGAAGTACATCGCCTCTGCATCTAATGACGAGACGGTGAGGGTGTGGAAAACCAGTGATGGAGCATGCTTGGCGACGCTCTCCGACCATGGTCCCTGGGTCTCGCATGTTGCGTTTACTCCGGACGGGACGATGTTGTGGTCTGCAGCAGGGGATGGAACCGTCTTGGGCCGTCGGCTGCAGCACGTCATCCCAGATGAGTTCGCAAAAGATGTACGGTAAACTGATGACCCCTGTTTCGCTTCGCATCTCCTGCGTCTAAGTACGTCAGAATGTATATATCCATGCTATCCGTCAGGACGGCGTCGATTTTGCTTATGGTACTTTTCATACCCTCGTTCGTTGTTCCAGACGTCTGTCATTCACAGAGTGCCTTGTCCTGTACTCGTATCTGCCTGATCATATGTGATTCCTCTCCGCCCATGCAGCGATGGATTCCATGCTTAAGAGACCACCCAAGTGTTGGAGCATGAGGCAGCGCAATATGGTACATTATTCAGATCTATCCTTTCTCAAAGGTTCCCTACCGCAGGCGGCAGCACTCCAAAAATACAGCATCTACGGAATATGCGACCCTGGAGCTGCGTGCGAGGTGCTCGCGATCTTACAGCCTGTTGACGGCGGCCCCGAAGTCATATGCGAGTACATCAGTGAATTTCAGACGCCATCACAAAGGTCTCTGCATCACCTCGCGTCATAGACTAGGATGGTCGATATGTCTGGCGTAGCTAGCAGCGGCTTGGTTTCTCTGGATCAGGACGCTCAAGTGCCCCTAAGTGTTATCAAGCCATCAAGTGATCTGAACGGATTGCTGATGTGCCGCTATTTTGGCACGAGCACTGCGTATATAGCTAACAATCTACGCTATAGCATGCGATTGATCTCATAAAGAAGTGAATATTTCTCTCCACCGGGTATATCGCAGGTGTCAGATGTTCACACGTTCTAAGGACGTGCTAAACGCATTCGGTTCATCTTCAGCACAAACTTCTCCTGTCTATCTACGCTCCCCAGGAAACGCGGTAGACCATCTCAAGTCATGCCCTTCCACGATGTTTCTGTCACGACGGGAAAATGATAATGAACCTACGGTTCAAGCAGGGGAAATTCAGGATGGTTGGGCCATGCAACATGTCGATAACGGTTCCCACTGGTCTTCGTACGTCTTTGTTCTCTGGGAATTGCTACTGGCTGGCATGTTGCGTGGCGTAGAATTGTCGCAAACATTTCCTCACTTGGACTTTCGCGCTTTATCCACCTCGGGTCATAATTCGCTTCCACCACGGGCACGGCTGATGTCGTTATCTCTACAAGTCGCGCACTTCCTTGTTATTCTTACATGAAAGCCGTGCGTCGCACGTGTCCCGGAATAAGGATCGTAAGACATCATACCGTATACCGTAAAAGTATCGTACCCAGAGTATCGTAGAATAAACCACCTGTTGGTACAACGGAACCACCGAGGTCCGTCACTTCAGTCCAGAGCCCCATTACCGTTACAGTAGTCCACGTTTCCCTGAGCGGGGTTGCCCGCCCACGCAGGGAAGGGCTTGGGCACTCCAGAGGCACCGAACACGGCGAACGACAGGATGAAGATCATCGTCTGTGACCCGCCGTCGAAGGCGCCGCCGACGATGTAGTTGTACTTCTTAAACCAGCCCGGGTAGTATCTGCGCAGCCAAAGCTGTGAGACGAGGCCGACAATGATGCATGACCAGATGGGCGAGTTCGTGCCGGCGGACATCCAGGCGGAGTACATGTAGATGACGGGGAGGATGACGGAGTCGACCTTCACACCGCCAATGACTGGCCATTTCTGAACGCGTGATTACGCGTCAGTACAACGCACTTGACTCTGGGGAGAGTGCAGCATGACGCACCTTGGCAATGGCCCATTGGATAGCAGTTGGGACCAACCCGAAGACGAGACCTAGGGGGATCCAAATGTACGGCCCGTGAGGTCCGTAGAGCTGCTTAGCCAGCGACCAGGTGACGGCGGCACTGTTCAAACTCTGAGGAACTTGTCCGCTAGATGGGGGCGTGAGTGTGAGCGAACATTTGGATCCGCCTTCGAAGCGGGCACAAACCTCCAGATGTTGGTACCCCTGGGGTCAAGCAGGATGTCTCGCTGAGCATCGACAACCGAGACCATGACGACGTAGTTGACGATTGCGCCCAAGATCGTGCCCCAGACTTGAGTGGCAAACATCGCGCGAGGGGGGATCTTCAAGTATTGGCCAAGCTTGAGGTCGCCGGCAAGGTTGATCGACGTCGCGATGACATCGTGGCTCCACATTGAGAACTGGTCTTGAGGTTAATCGACGTTATACGAGACGACGTGCTGCAGATACGTACGTAGAGGTTCGCGACGGGCTTTCCAGGGTTGACAGCACCGGCAACCATCTTCATGAGCTGGTTCGTTGCAATGCCGTTACCCAACCGCGCGAAGAGGAGGTTGGAGAAGGGGGCAACGAAAGCACCCAGAATGAGTGCGATGATGTATGACCACCAGGGCAGCGTCGTCTCGCCCTTGAGCACGACGATCAAGCCTGCACGCACATCATCACTACACGCGACCATTGAGGGCGGGGAAAAGACATACCAGCGAAGAACGAGAGGACCAACAGGCCAGCATACCAGTAGTAGGGAACCTCCTTGTAGTTCTTGCGGACGATCTACGTCGTAGGTATCTTTCAGCATTGTGCACCGACGGCTAAGCCGTAAGTCTATCAGCTGACCTGCCAGTGGGGATCGGGCTGGGTCCCGTTATACGCCTGCTTGAAGGAATCCCAGACATAGGGCCCCCAGAAAAGGACGCAGTGCGCGATCAATCCGCCGATCTTCATAGACAGTTAGTGACCTCCCTCAATCTTTTGTTTGCCGGTCTCCATTGGACGTACCGACAGGTTTGCGCACAGGTTCGCCCACGCGTTTGACCCTGCGTACACAGTCGGCGTTGGAGGTCACATGCAGCTGTGGGCCCAACAAGAGAACATACCTGTGAGCGCGGGCAAACCGACCTCTTCCAGCGCGGTCTGATTGAGCGTGAAAGTGCTACCGAAGACCGCGTGCTGGTTGTAGCGCGTGCCGTTCTGGTCGAACAACGAGGTAGAGAGCATCGGGAATGATTTTGACTGCCCAAGGAGCACTTAGCGACTGCACGGGTGCGGGATGTAGTACACGTGGTGCTCACGTTCCAGGCATCAGAGTAGTAGATGCCCATGATCGCAATGTAGCACACAGCGTATCCGATCCACGAGTTGGCTATTGATCATGGAGTCAGGAGGTGGAGTGTGCACCTGGCAAGTGGACCGTACCTTGTTGTGCGAGTGGCAAGCTCACAAACCTGTCCCGGCGAATGAGCAGAGCTCCTGCGTGCGACAGTAAAGAGCACTGACGTGGAAGTAATATATTGCCAGTCGAGGGAAAGGCTCGCGAACCCCAGACCCTCGTTACCGTCCGTACCGCCAAAGAGGTTCGTGACGACATCCTGAGCCGCGCTCGGCACATGTTGTGTCGCCAAGCATATGATGTTGATACCGTTCAGGAGAGGGAAGATGTACGCGGGGAAGATTTCCCATATAAACATGCCCGTAAATGCAGACCAAAACACTTTGAGGCGCTGGTGGTTCGTCGCACTATCGAAGTGGAGGGCTGTAAAGGAGCAAGATGAGCACGACGACCTCCTATGGAACTGCTGAAGGACATCTGTCAAACTAACACTGGAATATGTTGACTGCAGGAAGATTCTGAACGGCAAGATTAGTGACCGAACGCTAACTTGAACAGGGCATGATAACCTACCGACCAGTACACCATCTCGCTCGGGTAGACAGTGAGTGGACGAAGCAAACCTACTAGGCCGTACCCAAAGCAGGCTGTGGAGAACGTGGCCAGGATAGCAGTGAGTGCCTGCACATTCGTGCCGTAGTACAGCTGGATATGTTGTCAATGCTCCATGTCCTCGGCACACACGGTCCATCAAGGCACTTACTCGCTGCACCGCGAAATTGTTGACGGCACTACTGCCACCAGCCGCAGTGGACGCAACCAAGGAAGCGATAACATGCTGGATTGCATTGTCAGCAGACGTGACCTCACCAAAAAAGGCCCTACTCACCTCCTTGATACGGAATTCCCCTGGGTTGATGAAGCGCAAGGTTGGAGCGAGCCAGGCGAAGCGGGTTCCCTCAACCCACGAGGCCTTTGGGAAGTACTTCGCCCAGAAGATGCCAACGGACCAGATGATCAGTAAGAGGAAGACGGTGGACACAGTGACCTGGACAGGCTTGAACAGATAAATCTAGGAAAATAGTAGATATGAGTATGTAGTGCGCATACGCAGGTCATGCAAAGAACAGAACATCACACACCTGATAAAGCGCTGCTCCGAGACCAGCGAAGATGGTTCCGATGACTATCGACCGAAACGTGATGGCCGGATCCCCATCGTCGCGCGTGTCAACGAGGAAGCGAGAGACGTCGGCACCACTGCTGATAACGGGCTCGCCCCTCACGTAGACCACCTCATCGTGAGCATAGGGGTCCTCCGCCTTGTCATCGAGCTTCTCTTTGATGTCGATGTCGAGAGAGGAGTCGGAGCTAAGGCGCTTCTGGACCCCCTTGAGCTCGGCCTTCTCGTCGATAGACGAGCCGGGAGAACCCGCAGGGGCAGCAGAGAGCTGGGGCAGCTGTTCGACGCCGTCGTTAGAAGCCATGGGTTACGCGGAGCGCGAAGGCTGACGAGGGGCGTGGGCAAAGCCGAGTACCGAGCTGGAACTGCTGGGGAGGAAAGGCGAGCAGGCGGCCCGTGTTAGCTATATACCTACGCGGGGCTGCAGCGCCATGGGCTGGCCCGACGGAGTACGACATGGCATAGGCGCGTTGTGCAATTCTTCGAATCCCGGAGCCCCAAGGGACCTGTCCGTCGGTTCCCATCAGTCTTCTGCATGTGGATGCGGCGAAGATTGGGTAAACGGAAGGCACTTACCCAGAGCACACCAGTCTCCCACTCGGACGATTGCGCCATCCCCGGTCCAAGTAGACAAACCTCGTTTCCACATGGACGCGCGCCATCAGATCTCCCCTTCCTACTTCAGAATGCCACAGATGCCTGCCCCTTCCGTCCTATCCTCGGGCGATCGGAAAGCCAGGCATTCAAAAGGCGGGTGCACAAAAAAGGCTGCAGAACAGTTATCTTCCTTCCAAAACGTGTGTCTGAGACGTTCCTGGCCCTATTGTGCAATCGACTGGACACCGGCGGCAGGACATGGTAGCCTCTGAGAACACTGTCAAGGTGTCAGCGAGGCACATGGATTCCTCGAAAACACTCGTTAGACGCCTTGCGTGCTTCTTCGTTGTTCCTGAACACCGTCGGAGCACTTGCGTACCGCGCCGTACTTACTTTTAAGACCTTCTGGACAGCGAGTCGATGGGTCGGAATAGGCCCTGTATTTACGACGACGGCGCTGCAAGCCCCACTGGATCTCTGACAACTGCACTGCAAGAACTCGGCACCCCGCATGACCCCCTTCTCTCGGCTAATCTTATGAACACGTGAGGATGGCATTATGCTCTCTGACTTACGTGTCCCGCGATGGAAATGCATTGGCGGGGAAGCTTGGATGTGTCGCCGATGGTGCGCGCGATAGATGCAATCCAATAGATCCGGGAAGCATGAGATACTGTAGTACAGAAGCGGCATGGCCAATATCGTTATCGGAGACCATGCGCAAGATGCTTGGCGTCGGAAGGACGGAGGACGAGATGGGGTCGCGATGGGAGCTGAGATGTCGGTTGCAAGCGCTCTAGTGTGCTCGAGTCTGTGCTAGCGTTCTCGCCTCAGCAGGGCTTCATGCAGACATGGCAGCTGGAAACATGGTCTCTTAGGCGAAAGTGCCTATACTTGGAGTGTTGTGCCATCGAGACTGATATATGACAGGCGGCACAGCCTTCATCATACCATCCAAGCTGAGATCCAGGGATATTTCGCCCATAGAGTAGAGCTCAACTTTGATCATCCTTATCATCGTGCCCTCGGTAAATCATCACGATCCGTTCACGGTCGAGCGACAAAGCACACAACCAGTGTGGGACCGTGCTGGGTGATGGTGCCGTACACCCGTAGACGTCCGCTGTCAAACCTGAAGATTACAGTAGTAAATTCCGTGAACAATCTTCCAGGCTAGGAATCAAGATCAATGGCCTGCCAAGTGACGGCCAGACCGGATGAAGGCCAAGCAATCCATGGCGAAAGATCCATGGACACAAACGTCGACACGCGCCCGTCAAGAAACATTGCTATCGGGCAAGTAGCATCGCAACTCGAATGGCCAACGGACCGAAGTGTGCGCCAGATAGGACAGCATCGTTGACATTTACCGTCGCTTGACAACATATGTCATTACCTGAAAGATCCTATGTGTCGGAGGATACACGAACGCTGAGGAAGCGGAACGCACCGCTCTGATTCCTTGCCGTCTACGACCCTGTACTGCATTGACGCCGCTGCAGGCGCACCTTCCTATCCGGACATTGTACAGCGACTCAAAAACGGAGACCATCATACGGGCGACCGTCCACATACCATGGCATTGTGCGGTGCTGTGCCGAGTCTCAAGCTGCCGAGTGGCAGCTTCGGTCTTTCCCTCCTATACCCGCGGCCGCATGCTTCGTCAGACGGTAGCATGAATGACGGAACCCTCCTGCGGTCTCCAGAACGTACTGGAAACTGCCATGAATTGGGCTAGTCAGGTATTCAGATGGAGCTTGGGGAAGAACCTCGGTTCACACGCACCAGGCACGGAGATGTCAGCGTCCGCGACGGGCTCTGGCTCAGGCGGCGGTCACTTGCAGGTGACCTGACTCTGAACGGAGATAACGACATGGTCACTCACGCTGTTCGAATCTGGCCAAGAGGGTGCTGGGTCCTGCGAGCCGCCTCCGAAGGCAGATGTGTCTGGCCAACTTTAGCAGATTACTGGACATATCAGTTTACGGATCATATTCGTAGTAGTATGAACGTTCTAGTAGATAAGAATTAAAGAGGGTATAGGAATAGGGAATATCGATGAACTGGCCCCGCTAGGCGGCCATAGAGAGCGCGGTAGAGTCGATTTCGAGGACCGGGACCCACTTCGCGACATAGCCTTTGGTCCGGACCACACCTGACACATATATATGCTTGAACGTGATCTGGTTCAGGCCGATAGCCCAACGGGGGTCTCGGCACGTAATATGCCTGTCATTCTGGCAAACGCGCTGACGTTAGCTCAGTTGGGGCGAAAAGTACCGGAGAGAGAACGCCGTACCGTCAGCCTCAGTATCCAGTTGAGCAGCTCCTTGCACACCATGTCAAGGAGGTTTACTGTGGTGAAGTTCGAGCCAATATCGTTGATATCGGATGGCAAGTCGAGAAAACGCGTTCTTGTTGCATAGCCCGGCCACTGTTGAACGTCCACCGTCGCATAGGCGGCGAAGTTAGCCCACAATCTGTTTCACAACCCAATACAAAATACAACCGGACTTACATGGCATTGGAATAAAACTTTTGCGTCGTCCGGAAATAGCTCATCCAACCGCTCGTGCGGGCATGCGAGCCCCAAGTGGGTCTTCCGCTTCTCCGACAACCTTGCCCACTCCGCGAGCGAGACGCTTTCACCGTACCGAGAGGCGAATGTGACCGTGTGCTCGATTTGGTCATCAGAGAACTGAACCGGCAGCCTGACGCGCCTAGAGCTCGTTATAGGCGCGGACATGGGAAGGGATATACCCTGGTCGGGAGAAGGCGAGGCCGCTGGTATGGAGGCGGCCGTGGATGATGAGTGGGAACTCCACGAGTCGTCCGAATGTGTCGGAGAAGGTCTCAGGGCGTGAATATTCGAAAGTTGGCGATTTAGTGCTGCGTCTCCCTTCACGGTGACACGCTGGAGAATGAAAATGGGCTTGAGTGGCTGTGGCGCGAGGACGTGACTGTGGCGCGGTGGTTTGGGCTCCGCCACAGACGCGTCCTCAGAGCACGATAAACGATCTTCCCAGCCCGAGCCGGTCGGTGACAACAACCAGGAAGGGTAGAGGGTGATGAAGGGGGTATGCCGCACAGAGAACATGATGAGGCGAGAAGTTTGTGAGTGTGGCGAGAGGTTGTAAGTCGAGTCCAAGGTGAACTGAGCGGAACAGGTGGGTTGTGGGTGCTATATGATCTGGCGGAAGGTGGGAAAGAGACGTTTGATATCTCACGAGTGCAAAAAGGATGAGGTGAGCAGCAACAGCTTTAATGTGAAGAAAGCGGCCACAACCACAGAAAGCGTGGACGTCAATGAGCTGTGGGCGGTCTCTGCGAAAGGAAGTTCCGACAACGTGGGCGCTTAGCGCCTTTGTCTTCGCGCTTTGTCACCGTCACGCAAATACCATGTTGGCAACGAGTAGTGAAATCAGAGACAACATCTAGGCAGGAGCGACGTTAGCGAAGCCGGTGTGAGGGATATAGATCTCACAATGATATAGATGGCGGTTTGCCTCCAAGCCTTCATACGAAGACATCCTTCTAAGACAATGACAACCAACGCACCCCGAATCACAGCAACGCCAACTGCACAAAATAAGCTAACAAACCAAAGAAGATCGCCAGCGCGACCCAGACGCCAACGGGCGTCGGCACTGGACCCATCGCGGCTGTCTGCCTCAACGCCTCCTCCAAGTCCTTCGCCATCGCCTCCATCCCAAACTTCTCCCTCGCTCTCCTCCTCGCGCGCTCTCCCAGCTCCCTCCTCTCTCCATCGCTCAGCCCGACGATCTCCTCCAATGCCTCCGCCCACACCCCAGGGCTTGGCTCGCGAAGCCATCCGGTTTTCTCGGCTGGGGGCACGTCGACAACGCTCTCAGTCGGCCCGCCGCTGTTCGCCGCGAGAACGGGGAGGCCGCAGATCATACCCTCAACGGGGCCGATGCCGAAGTGCTCGTTCGCGGGCGTATAGAGCAGAACGAGTGTCGAGGAGGCGGTGAGGAGCGCAGAGCGCTGGGGTCCAGAGAAATTGAGGAGGAAGATGATGTCGGCCGATTGGGGGGAGGATGCGGTGGAAGAGTAAGAGGGGAGGGGGACGGTCGAGGTCGAGGGTGTGAGGAGGGCGTAGGTGAGGCCGTGGGTCTTGGCGGAGTCGAGCATCGCCTCGAGAGTTTTGACGTTGTCCAAGAGTCGAGGGTCATACCCGCCTGCGGACTGGTCAATGATCTCACAGCGATGGCTATATGCTATGGAACTGCAAACTGACCGGCTAAGACGAGCCGTAGACTTCGCAGTGTATCATCCGTTGTCGCTACGAGTCTCTTACGCAGCAGGGCGAACGACTGGATTGCGAGCACGCCATTCTTTTTCTGTTCGAACCGGTTGACCGAAAGTAACGTTGGTCGGTCTCTGCTCACAAGATTTCGTCAGCCGTCAACGCGTTGTGTACGGTCAAGAGGACGTACGAGGCGATTTGTGCGATGTCTGGATCAGCTCGCTGGGCGGCGTCTGGCGGTGCATATGCGTCGAAGTTTATCCCGGGATATACAACGCGAGGCGTCTTGGCTATTGAGAGCATATGTTCCTTGAATACGCTCACAGTAAAGTTCGAGTTTGCGAGGATAGTATCAGCCTGCTCTACCGCGTGAAATCAGCAACGCCTCCCGGCCTTGACGAACGAGCCCTACTTGTCGTCACCTCCTCCAAGAAGTCCATCGGTAGTCTGTATATGCGCTTCAGTACGCTGCCCCTCTTCGCTGTCCCCTCGATGTATGCACCATCTGCGAGAAGCTTGTCGGGGAAGTGACAGTAGAACAATACGCGTGTATGCGCGAAGGCGCGCAAGAATGGTATGCAAGTTGAGAGCTGATCTACAAAGAACACATCATAGCGTGGCGCGCCGGGTCGCAGCAGATGAGCGGTGAGATGGAGTTGTCGTGCATGGGAGAAGACGATGTGCAGCTTTCCCTTGATAGCACGGGGGAAAGGTGGGACGACATGGTGTACATGAAGAGTTCCTATGAACGTACTGTTCTAGCCCTTGCTCATTCCTAGCTTGCGAGAAGCGTACCGTCGCGCGTTTCTTCGAAGCAATGCCCTCGGTCGTGGTGGGAGGTGTATATGTCCACGCCATGGCCTAGTTTCTGCAAGCCTAAAGCCGCGTCTACCACAAGACGTTCTGCACCTCCTGCAGAGCACAGGGGGTCAATGGCATACCAAAAATCAACTCGCTTACTACGACGGACCTATTCCAAGATCTGGATGGATGAACGCTATCCGGAGTTTCTGAGAGGGCATGGCGCGCTAGTCACCTGCGTGCGAGCTATATATGATGGGCAACCCGTGTGTCAATCGAGTCAGTCTAGATACAGCAAGATGATGGACGAGCCAAGTGGTGGGATACAATTGCACAAGACGCAAAGTCCCACTCGCCGTCGTGGCAGCATCAGGCGGCAACCCGGTCCGTCTGCCTGACAGGCGCTCATCCACCGCGAATGGCAATCCCGCCACTGAACGCCATGCCAGCGTCGGACCCACACCGTCGCGCACTGTTCCGCATCGACCGCCTTGACAAAGTTGTGATGCATCCGAAAACACCCCATGCTATGCGAAACGGACACACAACCCGGTTTCTTCTGTGGATCTTCTCATCTCATATAGTCTAGCCATGCCGCTTCGGCGTTGAGGTTCACCATCGTGGGTAACCAGCTTTGTGGTCAGATTGCTCCCAGCTTTGTCGACGCTTCACCTCAGAACGACCTCAATGCTTTTTCTGTCAGCTTTGCGATCTTTGCAGATATAAAGTGCGCTCTCTTTATACCAAGGAGACACCAACACGCTTCCGATCCTCTGCTCATCACTTGCTGTCTCGAGATGATATATCATACCTGGCAAATTGACACAACAGCTCCAGCTGCAGGTACTCCTTACGCCTTCGCCTCTTCCTCGATGTGTCCTCCCTGTGTATCTCCTCGTACTCAGGGCGGTACTCACAACATTCAAGGGGCTGGCGCAGTACACGCCAACACCAAGCAGACACACCCTGCTCTCAAGATTATCCCCTACACTGCACATGCGCCTTCAACGAACTCGAAACCTATGGGCTCCGCCAGGCTGACCTTACCTGCGCATCGGAAAGATCTTATGCCATGTGCCAAAGAGCATCGCCTCCCGGAGCGAATCGGGGCCCCTCCAGCGCAAAACAATGCACCTGCGTGCACGCCCCAAACGCGACCTCTCCGCCCACTCAATCTGGCTTTCAAAGGCCCCTGGGTGGACGGCCTATCCGGGTATCCCTGGGTCATTCTCACCACCGACGGCGACTTGCCCTCATTGCAGGAGATTCCCTCGCCCATTCCCCATTCTCGGTTTCCTATCCCTGGCGAGACCCCCAAAGTCTTCCATAATTATTGGAGAAAACAGCCTCCGTACAGCATGCAAGCCGTTCCCAATGTCGCTGCAGGCTACCTGCATCCCGGTGACATCCCGGAGGAGATACCTCGTCCGGACATCCTCACGCCTGTTCCTCTTCGCATCCCAGCGAATACGTATGTAGCGAAGCACATCCTCGTGTTCACGCAAAGAGGCCAGCCCGGAGTTTGCATTGCAGAGTGGGGTAAAGACGCTTCCAAGGTCGAGTCCGAGCTCGCAACGAACGAACTCCTCATCGTCAACCCAGACATCGAGTATTCGGTGAGTGCTGATTGAATTAGCGTGCGATTGTGGCCTGTGCGGCGGTGGCTCATCATCAATTTATGCTTCCAGTGGCCCGGATATATTTTCTGTCCTCAAAGATGTATGTACGCTCAGGGTACCCTCACCTCGACCCAGGTCGTCTCGATCATCGCAGAGTCCCTCAACCACTGGGTGGCCGCGCTCATGGTAGGTTTCCCATAGCTGCTTTCTCTGGCGAGGCATTACTGAACTGAATTATAGAACAAGCGCGCGGAGTTTCGGGTCTGTACTTCCGACCATTGGAAGGTCGGCCCAGAGGGGTTCAAACTTCTGGATATCTACCTGATGGGCTTGATTGAACTCGAGCTGGATGGTGGTCGTGTGGTCTGGATGCCTGCGTTGTGTGTTCGCGAAAAACAGAAACCGGGAAAGTAATGATCCATGCCATGTAACTTTATGCTAACTGTATGAATCTATGCACTATGCCGTCCCTCGAATCTCAATATGATTACAAATTAGTGATTGCCCGCTATGCAAGGTACTCGGGTACGAGCAAGCGTGTACAGACAGAACCGTGCCGGCGATCTGGTCTATCTAGTGCTACTGAGAAAGATACGATGACAAATAGGACAATAATGATAAGTGCAGGGCTACAGCAGATAGAGAGGAACGTCGGCTGAAGTATCGAGACTACGGTATAAGTTGCGTCTTATCGTCGGCGGCGACGCTTGGAGGGCGGCTCGTCCGGATCTGTGGCAGGTTCCCCCAGAATGCGCCGCGAGCTTCTAACGGGCAAATTAACCCGGGGCTTGGTCTTCCTCGGGGGCGGCTTCACCGAAGCTGCTCCCGCCTCGCGCATCTTCTCCTTCGCCGCGTCCTCTTTTCTCGTCTCCGCAACTCGCTCCCTTCGCTCCTCAGCACTCATCTTCAGCATCTGCATCCTCGCGTCACGGGCCAGCACTTCGCTCTCCGTCGCCGCAGGCGCGGTGCCTTCGCCCACTCCACCCTGCAGCGCCATCGCCCTCCAAAACGCCTCTCCATCCTCCCGCGGCTCGGGTTTGACAACAGCTGGTGGGGCGACGTCCACCAGATATTCTGGCCACGCTTTCAGCGCAGACTGGAACAACGCCAGCACGGCGCCGTGGTCGTCTAGCTTCGCCGCAAGCTCCCCGACATCCAGTTTCTTGATCGCTGGGTTGGGCTCGGCAGGGGGCAGATACTCACGGTGCCAGAGTTTCGAGTCGCAGTGGACGCGACGGACTCCGTGGCACCACGAGAGGTACTCCTGGAGGAGAGCGTTGAATGCGTGGTCGATGGGCTCGGCGCCGTCTTCGTCGCCTCCCCTGCGGGAGTGCCAGTAGAACTGTAGCTGACTGCCGTCCCTTGCGGGCGCACGGAGGATGCGACATTGATCGAGTGCGTCCAGCTTCCAGGGGGAGACGCTCCAGCCGTGAGGGTAATTCTGAGATGGTGTCGTGGCGAAGAACGCGTCCACAAACTCCCGTACGCTCTCAAGGTTGCTGGGAAGATGGCGGACAGCCCCGTCCAGGAGGACATAGAAGAACGACTCGAGCTCGTCCTGTGTGTGGAGAGCTCTCTGTTCGGCCTGCATGTATTCAACGGATGCATACTTCCAAGACCGCTGCACGATTGGTGAAGTTGTGAGCAGAGTGGTCGATGAGAGGTGAAAGGGACGACTTACTCTGCTGGTAATGCGGGCGACGGCGAGGAGATTTTCGGGGGTAGGGACAGGTCGAGGGAACTCCCAATCGATGAGCATCCCTCGCCACTTCACGGTTGGTTTCGCGGGGTTTGTTGTAGAGTCCACGGTCGGGCATATCATGATATTGTCGTAGCTGATGTCGGCGTGCAGGATGTTCACCAACTCCGCCGCTGAAGCATGTGCTAGAAGCGTTCACGTCAGCGCCTGTGCTGTTGTGCATATTGAAGGTGCTGTACTCACCAGTAACGCAATCGCCAATGATCGAAACCAGCGTACGACTCCTCTTGACTTCACAAAGGTGCATGCAGAGTTCCTTCGTCGCCAATCTGTAGTGTGCGCGCTGCACCGGATCTTTCGCACAATCATGAATATCCCCGATGGGCCAGAATCGCTGCGTCCGCGTCTCTTGGCCAGGCAAATCGGCATCGCATATGAGTGTCGGAACGAAAGGGACCCCGGCTCCATTCAGCTTCTCCAGCACAGTCCCCTCGCGTTCAGCCTGGTAGGTATCCTCCTTGTCAGCTCTCCAGGTATCCTTCAAGCACACGAGCTGCCTCGCCGTGCAATCGTACGCGACGAAGACGCGGGTGTTGCGTTCGTCTACTTTCACGTCTCTCTTCTCAGAGCAGCGGAACGCGATCGGGACCCCAACAAGAAACTCCCGCGGCGGAACGTCGGCCCCAGAAGGAACGAGCAGCTTCCATCGCGGGTGATCGTGTGCAAAGTCCGGGAGTGCCATTGAGTCTTGCGCGGGGTATATCGAGTCCCCAAACCAGCTGCGTGCGTAACTCCACTGCGGTGCACTAGCAGGGTCCGGAGAGTCTATGATGTCTGGAATCGTAGAGCCCTCGCGCCAGGATATGTCCGTGTCAACGCGTTTCCGGGCGAGGTCGTCCATGAACACGTCCTCCGAGGAACCAGGGAGTATTGGAATCGCCGTCGGGTCCAAGCCGAGTTGCTCGTCGGTGAGCACTGAGAGGCGCCAGAACAGGTCGGGGAGAACAATCGGATCGCGGGTGTAGTCCTTCCATGGGGTGAGGATAGAGCCAGCGCGGTCGTAGCGCATAAGCCGCATGCAGTATCGGTCCATGATGACCATATATATCGAGATGAGATGCTGGACAATGAACTGGTGCTCGAACTTCTCTATGATATCAGAGTAGGCCTCTGGTGAAGGAAAACTGGTGGTGAACAGAAAGAACACTTGAGGACGGGCCCATGCAGGACGCCGATCGCTGATGGGTTGCAGACGACCCCATTGTTCGCCATTTTGCGCTAGAGGTTCAAGGGACAGAGAGTACGTCCGACAGAGCCTCAGTTTATCGACCAACCACATCTGCTATGCCACTGTGGTCAGACCCCGTTTCCACTGAATGTGCACGGAGACGTACTATGTATTCCCCAGGCGTGCGGCTCTGGCGTTCAGAATCTTTCGCTACCGCATCACGGAAAGAGCGTGCGGTATACTTAGTGGGAGCGGGATTCCGCCGGAGAATGGATGCGTCGCGAGCGGGAGTCGGCCAGAACGTTCGCAGGAAGATATCGTAGTCGATCCGTGCTGGCCGCCTAATGAGGGACTCCATGAGTGAATGACAGAGCGAAGGTAAATGTATGAGTGGCGGTAGGTAATGGTGCGGTAAGAGGAGATGTTCCAGGTCGCTGCAACAGTTCGAGGAACAGTCGGCAAGTGGCGTGGGGGCGGGCAGTGGCTCGTTAAGCGGGGACCGATCGAGCGAACAATAGCTTGAGGACGGAGTACTCAGAGGACCTTGCTCTTTCTGTCTATCTGGTCTGGTAAGCTGCCATCGCAGATATTATACAATATAGACTCGGTGGCCGCCCTGGAAAGTGTTGTATAGGACGTGAGCTTTTTTTAACATCACAAGACGTCGTCACACCACGGCAAAAGCGAGGAGGATTGGGCCATGCCGCTCCTTGACCCATGGTCTCGTTCGAGTTACCGGATTGTCAAGATTCGTATTCCCAGCCTTACTGAGTTCAGTTCATCCAGACAGGTCCCATATGCTGCTACATGGAGATCGGCTGAACAGCCAACACTTCCTAGTGATTATAGTTATAGAAGAAGGGCGCCAAAGCCGAGACTGTGCATTACTGACATGTGAGCTAAAGGCAGTCTCAAAGCTTAGAACAGCTGGGACTCAGATAGCCAGGGGAATTAGTGAGCTTCACATGAATACAGATCTGGACGTACCGGTTTGTCGAAGGTATACCTGGTTAAACGATAAGTGGCTAACTTGGTAGTATAATGAACATACAGTGGTATGCATGAGATGGCAGAGGCAAATTACAAGCCTTGCCAGATGTTACGTTCACGTTCAAGCAACGGTGACCGAACGCGGACGTCGACGTGGCGGAGCGGCGGCAGATCGGGTCGGGATCTCAGTAGACGCTTACGAGACGTTTGGACTCTTCCGAAGCTGCCATTGCAACTTTGACCGACTAGGCCCTTTTATACTTGCAACTTGTCCACGGCAGAAAGGAGAGACATGCTTGATGGGAACTACTTGCTTGCTTGACTTCTGTTGTTCCTTCCTGAACGCTCGCTGAACCCTGCGTGCCACTGTACGACTTCACAATCGCCTTGTGCGTTGTCTTCCAAGACGTTGTCGGCTGTAGGTGTGCGGACCGAATGATGTATGTATGTGTAATATTTTACTGCACGTGTGTGCTGACAGAATGTCTGCAATAGCGCCATCGTGGCCGACACATTTCAACGAAGCCGGTACGTGAAGAGGTGTCCATTCCTTGCGAAACACGCGCGCGTGGCGTAGCCTTCGAATAGGATCTCGACGAGTGCACCGGGTTCCCGAACAATATCGATACGACTCTGCCGGTTTCTCAGCTCTTCTCCCAAGTACAGCCGATGCTAGAGGCAGTGCTGTACAGCCTGTCTTTCTACTAGGTTCGATGGGAACGTGGTGCCGTTTCGCCCACGGCCGCGCAGAAAGCCCGTTCATGGCGATCCAGTGACAGCGTTGTGTGTGCAGACCGCCGCCTTGCACGGCGACGGGTGACCGATATCCCCCTTCTACCCGACCGGCTGTGTGCGCCTAAGCCCTGATTTCCGTCGTTTGTGAACTGCGTGAAACGTGCTGAAGGTCGGCAAGGACGCACGCCCACCGCGACGTGGATCGGATCGTTTGGCAAGAGCGCATTGCAGCAAACGTCGCCTATATAAGAGGTCCGTCAGATGGAGGTAAGTCTCCAGCAGTGCATCTCGTACTCTCCTTAACTTCGAACATCTTCTCCTTCGCCTTCGCTTCGTCGTTGGACCCTTTTTTTCCGCCGTTTCTTCAGTACCATCCATAATGCAGTTCAAGACTTTCACCCTCTCCATCCTCGCCGCCTTCATTCCCACCGCGCTTGGCGCGACAACCTCTTCCTCCGTCTCGGTCTCCTACGACCAGACTTACGACAACGGCTCGAACTCTTTGGCTACCACCGCCTGCTCCGACGGCTCACATGGGCTGCTCACCAAGGGTTTCACGACCTTCGACAGCCTCCCGTCGTTTCCCTACATTGGCGGTGCGGGCGTGATCCCGGGCTGGAACAGCGACCAGTGCGGGACGTGCTGGGAGCTGAGCTACAACGGGAAGAGCATTCACGTGCTCGCAATTGACCATGCGGATGCTGGGACGTGGAACATCGCGCTTGCGGCGCTCAATGACCTTACGAATGGACAGGCCACTGAAGTGGGGCGCGTCGATGCTGTTGCGGCCCTTGTTGACAGCTCTGTCTGTGGGCTGTAGAGGTAAGTCTGACATCAGCTCCGGGTCGCTGCACAACTTATACTGAATGCGTTTCTCGCAGGCCATGACTACACCACCGTGGGGAATTGTTGTACACGGTGAATGCACGAATTCTGATGGACTTGACGCATATTCGGACATTGCATTGGTGCAACTCTAGTCAAATGTCTTCTGATTGATATACCGTGATGCACATGTATGACTGCGAGGCATCTGTTTGTGGCTTACACAAGAAGACGCATGAAGGTATACTGCTGCCTTTTTGGTAGCCGAAGCTTCGTCAGGCTCGGAGTTCATGACCGAATACGTACGCTGATCAACGTTACAGCGATGTGCAGAATGATACGGAAAACGCATTTTTTGTGAGCCAGCGCCTGTTGGGCGCTCGGAGACCCAAACGCTGTGCCGGGCTGTCGGACACCAGGAAAGAGCCGGAGACCGAGCGCTATCCTGGTCACAGTAGCCCTTCAGGATGGTCCCCCAAGGCTCATAATAGCAGATAGAGGAGCATATCAAAAATTATTATAACATATAAGGCATGATCTATGTCTCATGAAGCAATAACTAACTTGCCCAATGAAGAGAACTCGCATTTGTGCTTCAGGGCCAAGTGTCACACCTCTGTCACAATGAGTAACAAAGTCACAGCGGTCAGTGTTTGAGTCCCGTGACCGTCTGGCGTCTCTCTGAGCGCCGGTCTCGCGCGAAATGCGTTTTCCGTATCATTCTGCACATCGCTGTAAACTACAGAAACTTGAAGGTTGTAAGGTCATGGAGCCCACCTGTTGTATGCCGTCACTGACCGCCCTTTGGTGATTACTGAGCGTTATTGCTGAACAAGTGAAGGCACACACGACACGCTTTTGCACACGTAGTCCACTCTGTCACGCAAACCGCTGCCCTCGTGTTCGAAGTCACGGTTGTGAAGTGATGGCTTAAGTCGTCTGAGAGTTGTGACCGTGCGAGCAGACACCATATCCGAGTATGTTGGGCATGGATGAGAAGACAACCAGGATGATATACACAAAGTCACTGCAGTCTATGAGATACATTGGTATTATTGTCCGCGGACCCGACAGTACACGGTAGCCCAGTCTATAGACGGCTGCGCTTAGAAGGCGGCTCGTCCGGATCTGGGGCAGGTTCACCCCGAATGCGCCGCGAGCTTCGAACAGGGATACTGACTCGAATCTTGAGCTCGCTCGGGAGCGGCTTCCCCAAATTTGCACCCGCTTCGCCCGCTTTCTTCTCTGTCCGTTCCGCTGTTTTGTTAGTTTGCTTCCTGCGCTCCTTGGTTTGCGTCTTCGTCATCCTCTGCGCTTTAACGCCACCGACTTCTACCCCGCTCTCCTCCGGCGCACGCTCGTTCTCTCCTCCAGCCTGACCATCCAGTGCCGCTGCCTTCGAAGAAGCCTCCCCATCCTCGGGCCGCCCGGGTTCGGATTGAACAGCCGGCAGGGCGAGATCCACAGGATACTCAGGCCAGACCTTCAGCGCAGACGCGAACAACTCCCGCACTGCATCGTGGTCATTCAACTTCGCGGCAAGCTTATCGACGTCAAGCTCGTCTATCGCGGGATTGGGCCCAGCAGGCGGGTCATAGGGATACCTCCGTAGGCGTCTCCAGTTGACGCGGAGTACTCCGTGGCACCACGAGAGGTACTCCAGGAGGAGAGCATTGAACGCGTGGTCGACCGGCTCAGTCCCGTCCTCTTCGACGTCCTGGCGGGGGCGCCGGTAGAAACGCAGCTCACTGCCGTCTCTGGCGGGTGCACGGAGGATGCGACACTGGTCGAGCGCATACAGCTTCCACTTAGAGACGCCCCAACCGCAATGAGTAGAAACACCCGGTTGGAGTGAGGTGGAAAAGAACGCGTCCACAAACTTTTGTTCGTCCTCGAGGTTGCTGGGAAGATGGTAGGCTGCCGCCTCTAGGAGGACGTAGAAGAATGACTCGAGCTCGTCTGGTGTTTTGAGGGCTTTACGTCCGATGCGTATGTATTCCACCGAGACGTACCCCCATGAGCGCTACATGATCGGCAGTCTCACGTTGATAAGCAGCCGCAACAAAAGTGTGTATCCGAGAGGACGACTTACCCCACCATCAATGAAGCAGACCCTCCAGATATTCTCCGGCGTTGGGACAGGTCGGCAAAGCTCCCAGTCAATGAGCATCCCGCGCCACTTCACAGTCGGGTTGCCGGGGTCTGTCGTGGAGTCCACAATCGGGCAGATCATGATGTTGCTATAGCTAATGTCGCCATGGAGGATGCTACACGACTTCGCGGCTTCAGCGTGCCCTAAAAGCGTCCAGGTCAGGCCATAATCTGCGAGGGCCCTCAAAGGATGGCGAACTCACCAGTGATACAGTCACCTATAATTTGAACCAACTGACGACTCGTCTTGATCTCCTCGAGGGATACACAAATCTCCTTCGTCACCACTCTGTAATGCGCGAGCACCTCCAATATGTGTGGAGTACCATATCCATCCTCGCTGTCCCGGAACCGTTGGGTCTGCGTCACCTGTCCAGGGAGTTCCGCCTCGCACACGAGCGTCGGAACGAATGGTACTCCAGCCTTGTTCAACATCTCGAGCACTAGCCCCTCGCGTCTGCCCCAATATCTCTCCTCCTTGTGCGTTCTCCACGTATCCTTCAAGCACACGAGCTGCCTCGTCGTGCAGTCATATGCCGCGAAGACGCGGGGATTCCGCTGGTCGAGCGTGTTCAACTGCACGGAGGGACTGAACGCGATCGGCGCCCCGACGAGGAACTCGTGCGGGGGCGCGTCGGCCCCAGCAGGTACGTGCAGCTTCCATCGCGGGTGGTCATCTGTGAAGTCCCGGGCCAACAGCAGATCGTCGGGCTTCGGGTGGATCGAATCCCGAAACCAGCTCCGCGCGTTGCTCCATTGCTGTGCGCTCGCAGGATCGGGCGAGTCGGCGATGTCTGGTACTGCGGCCCCGTCGTGCCAGTCTATGTCGGTTTCCACACGTTTGCGAGCGAGGTCGTCCATGAACGCGTGTTCGGGGGAGCCAGGGAGTATCGGAGTAGCCGTAGGATCCATACCAAGTTGCTCGTCAGTCAGCACCGAGAGGCGCCAGAAGAGATCAGGAAGGACCATTGGGTCGCTGATGAAGTCTGTACATGGAGTGACAATGGTGCCCGAGCGGTCGTAGCGCACGAGCCGCAGGGAGTCATTGTGGACAACCACCATGTATAGCGCGGTGAGATGCTGGAGAGTGAACTGGTGCTCGAACTTCACTATGATCTGAGTACAGGCCTCTTGCGAAGGAAACCCGTCTGTGAACAGGAAGAGCACCTGAGGGAGGGCCCATGCAGGGCGCACATCGTCGAGGGGTTGCAGATGACCCCATTGATAGCTGCCCCATAGAGATTCATCGCGCACTGGGGGTTCAATGGACAGCATATGCGTGCTGCACAACTTCAGCTTGTCGACCAACCACACCTCATGTGCCACGGTGGTTAGGCCAAAGTCCTGACAACGTGCATGATGGAGATAAACGCACCATATATTCAGCAGGAGTGCGCTTCTGACGTTCAGATGCTCTTGCTACTGCATCGCGAAAAGCACGTACAGTATGATCGGTTGGGGCGGGATTCTGCCTGAGGATGGGTGTGTCGGCTGCAGGAAGCGGCCAGAACGTCTGCAAGAAAGTACTGTGGTCGATATGTGCTGGGGAACACAACAGAGTTTCCATGGGTGGATGGCTGAGAGGTCGGACAAGATTATGAGCAGAGGTCGATGGTGGTCGTGTAAGAAGAGAATAGTCCAGGTCAGTTGAGGGGACGGGTGGTCGGCACTGGAGTGGCGGGCCGTTAAGCGGGACCGATCGGGCGGACAATAGCTTCAGGATAGAGGAACTTATTTCGTTCCAGTTATCTGATCAGGTGGGTTTCTATCGCAAAAATCATACAACATAAACGCTGGATTCCATGATGCAGTCGGAAGGACGCCTTACATGGTGCCACGGCTCATCCGGAGCGTCTGGTTTCACCACAAGCATATACGATGGGCAAGAGGTTAATGAAGCCACGTAGCTGATCACCACTTGAACGCAGTGATTGCAAACACATACTAAGATGGTTGATAAGCTTGGTGGCCTTGTGGAGCCACGCCCACCCTGGCCTCCGGTACGATTCAATGTGGAATGCATACATAAACAGGGAGATACTGCCGAACCCGCCACCACCGTCCAACCTGCCAGCTGCCTGATCAGGGAAGGAGCGCTCTTTCGTGACGGCCTGACAAAGTAGGTGGCAGGTTGGTCGATGATGGCAGGTCCAACCGTATTGGATCCCTATACCACTCGCGAGTCAACTTGAATGCGGAGTAGAACGCTGACATGAGACCGCCTACGGCGTTACAAAATTCTTGAACGATAACGGTTCAATTCTTGTACCGGCTGTGTTCGCGTAGAGGTAGTAAGGGAAGTATGAGCTCTCTGTGTAGACCTGTTTAGATTGGACAATGGTCACGAACATACCAGCGTGTCTATGTAGGAGAAGGACACTTCTTGCAGGGTGCACTGTCATCGCAAAGCGCATGAGTCATTATATGCTGCGCCGTATATGCACTCGCCCTCGAAATTTGAGACACCAGTACTGTGGAAGGTTGTGTAGGCTTCAGTCTGCTCGTAAAATGCGACGTCGATGTGGCGGAGCTGATTAGATAGATTGGATCGGGTCCACTTAGGCGCCGCCCCGTTCTACCCAGTCGACGTCTCCGTCGTCTCGGCTTCAAGGGCGCTGCGACTCCCACTTGAGGATAATGCCAAGGACTACTTTCCAATGCTTGGCCAATACTACTATTAGACTGGCGGCTTCTGTGCTTCGAAGAGATGGCTTGCTGCTGACATGGAACGAACTCCAGACTCACTGTACGATTCTACAGTTGTCGTTTGACCGATTTGGCGAATTGACTGCTGCACAGAAAGGCAAGGATATCTTGCGGAACACCTGTTCGTAGCGCGGAGCGAAAGCCGGAGGTCAGCGACTCTGACAAGGGCCCATCGTGCGATGTACACAAGCCCTTCACGACGGTCTTCTCAGCTTCGAATTGTGTTGGACTGCCAGTACGGCCGATACGGCAGGCAGTACCATTCAGCTTGATTCTCGCGGCAATCCACCGACGACGACGGGTGACCAATGCTCCCTTCTACACGACCGGCCGTGCCGCGCGCCTAACACGCTGGTTTCCGCGGCCATCCGGAAACTCCGTGAAACATGCTACAGGTCAGAACGGTTACATACTTACTCCAGACACGACAATATCATGAGCTCCTCAGTCGGAGGCTAGTCTCAAGCAGTGCCTTCTCTTGAGTACCATTCACTATGCGGCTCCACGCCTATTTTATTGACATCTTGTGCAGTCACATCAATAGATCACTCTCACTGTCCGTGCATCGAAGGCTACCATCGCTCCGATATTGCATATTGAGCAACGACCTCCAGGACTACGACGTCGACCCAAAGTACTCTATGCGCTACGGTATCCTCTAGTACACATGCGGAGGATTCTGGTGTGCGCAGTCATAAGTTGACATCCATCTTCGATCACAAACATCAGTACCGTTTTGTGTCTCATGACTTTCGAAACCGTTGGTGAGTACTGAGCGGCGACCACAGTCTCAGATTTCACGTGAGAACGTTTCATTGGCTGGGCTACTCTCCGACCAGGGCATATTGACCACGGGCATGCAGTGCAAGTATGGGTAGTGGAACCTGACACGCGTCTCGTCACGGCCACATGATATGTCAGAACGACACAGTCACACCCATGGGAAGGTATGGCGCGTTCGTGGCCGGATCGTCGTGAGATGCTGACCAACCCTGCCCGAGTCCTTTGACATTCGCAGCGTACAGCCTCAAGTGCAGTGCCATCGTGCTGAGACCTGAGCGAATCGCGAGGTGGTATGGCCAACGTTTCAACGAAAACCCTGGACCATATTCTGCACCTGGTCCCTCCACGAACCCTGCCGGAATGCATCGAGGCGTTCCGCGCGCTGGGTTTCACGTACGTCCCCGCAGCCCCCGCGCACCATCTACATGTACATACGTTGATCTCGACACGATCCCAGCATCTCCCCCGGAGGCACCCACTCCCATGGCCTCACCGCGAACGCGCTCGTCGTCTTCGCAGACGGCACCTACCTCGAGCTCGCCCACTTCGTCGCCCCCCCGCCCGCGAACAGCACCCACGGCTGGGCACAGAAGCAGTCCGGGTGGATCGACTACGCCTTCGCCGGGAACGGGGGCGCGCCCTCCATCGCGGAGGCGATCAACGCCCGCGCAGAGAAGGAAGGGACCGCGGTGCGGTACGAGCCCGAGATACGGGGCGAGCGCAGTCGGGACGCGGACGGGGCGCTGCTGCAGTGGACCATCACCGGCCGCGTGGGCGGCGAGGAGCGTTTCCGGTCACCGTTTTACTGCGGGGACTTGACCCCCAGAGAGCTGCGGGTAAGCTATGTAGCTGTCGTCAGATGCGCTCGAGCGTTCCCTAACGCCATTGCTCCCACGTACGTCAGGTCCCGCTTGAACCCTCGAACATCACGCACCCGAACACCGCACAAGGGATCGCGTACTTCAAGATCCTCGTCCCGCGGGAGGAGTTGGACGGCACGGCCAACCAGCTCACGTCCGTCCTCGGCTCCGCCCCGCGCACGTCGACGTCGTCCGAGATCGCCTGGGATCTCGACCCTCAGCCGTCCCGCGTCAGCTTAGTATCTGCCCCCACGCAGCTCATCCTCCGCGCCGCGCAGGACGAAGAGGAGCTGGCGTACGTGCGTGCGCGGGGGGCGAGCGTGTACGAAGTGGGGTTCTTCGTCCTAGAAGGCAAAGACGAGTTGGCTGGTGGGACGCTGTATGGACGGGTCGCGTGGGTTCGCGGATCGGGGGATGGCGGAGGTGCTTAGAGCTATGGTGCAGTTCACTAAGTCGCCACCACTTTTGGACGTGGTAAGCGCCCGCATGCGCGCCATGCTATAAGTCCCGCAGCTTCCAACAAAGTCGTCCCATAACTTGTCATTGGCAAGCATTCCACAGGGGGAACAGATCCCCGGAAAAGTTTTTTTCATTGGATGATAACTGGCCAAGACGACCTCCCCAAATCACGGGTATCACATGACTTGTGCGTCTATTCCCAATATGGAAGTTTGTTGTATTACATAACATGCTGCAGTAATTTCATGTAACGTCCATCGCCTGTGCGAGCTGCTCTGGGATGCGACGGTGAGACTTATATCTACGAGAACTGAACTCCTTGACTTTGTACTGGGCCTTGCATGCTCCAAGACCCTCAGCATATGCATCAATGCATCTCCAAGCCTGGTGCTCCCATTTCCGTAACAGCTCAACTGAGACTGATCGCAAAGCCTTTGGCATGTTCTCGCGGAGAGTCTCGAATGTATAGTCGCAATGCTCCTGGAGCCAATGTTTCACCGCACCCCAAAAGTACTCGATGAAGTTGATTTCACAGTGAGATTTCGGTAGAAATATGCAGGCACAGGAGAAGTGTTCAGTAGTTGTATGTTGCATTGAAAGTCTGTCTACTCTATCCATTACCACAAATGGTATGTCGGCCTATGCAACTTGCGGTCCAAGCTTTGCCACCCAGCATGAAATGTCGAGTCCCAACATTACGGGGGTCACGTGGTCGCTTAAGCGCGCGCTTATCGTCGTCCAAAAGTGGTGGCGACTTAGTGAACTGCACCATAAGTCATGGCACATCGGTTGCCATGCAGATGTAGCAGTGGTAGGGACCATCCGACTGGCCGGATGACAAGGCACAGTCGTCTCTTCATATGACTTTGGCCAGCTTTCCCTCTCGTATGACCGGCACAGGATGTTTGCGGCACGTTCGGCCATGGGATACCGAGACGTGGGCCGAAAAATGTCTCTTTGGATGCAGCGGCAGCTTGATACGTACATGGATGCAGATGGGTGGGAGGAGGGCGCTTGCCCGTCCTCTTGACATTCATCAATTATTGTAAGTGTATACGGGGTCGCGGGAACTGCTGGCAATGTGTAGGTTTCGGTATGGCGCCGCGATGACCATCTCGACAAGCTCCATCGTCGATGGCCCTGCTGGATCCCAAGAATGTCCCAACGCTTATACCAACAAGACGAACAGGGGTTCGACAAGGACTCTGAAGCTTAGTTGCGATTTCTCGGCGCATATATGCGCACCCTATGATGTCCGCGTGAAATATGCTGGCGATGGCCTTCGCACCCATCGGTCTCGACCCTACATGCATGGTACAATCGATGCTCCTCAGTCACGCGAACACGCTACGTCGGGTTGTGAGCGCGTGATCGTGGACGTCACGAGGCGAGAAGGCATTACGCGTTCGTCGCGCACGCTGGTGAGATCGAACGACCAATCTCCCCGACCCCCCACTCACCCGCGACGACATAACAAGCCGATTCGTCCTCAGACTCGCACTACATACTGACCAGGAGACCAGAGCATACCACTAGCACTGCCAGGATGACCGGCCTTTCCACTAGGATCCTGGACCACATCGTCCATCTAACGCCCCCAGGGACGCTCCAGGACAGCGTGCACGCGTTCCAAAACCTGGGATTCACGTCCGTGCCCCTCCTCTGCTCGCACGCGCCCATGCACTTGAAGACTGACGGAGACCGCGCGCAGCGTGTCCCCCGGCGGGACGCACACAGGCGGCCAGACCGCGAACGCGCTCGTCGTCTTCGCAGACGGCACCTACCTCGAGCTCCTGCACTTCGCCGCGCCCCCGCCGCCCGACGACCCGAACCCCTGGGCGCACAAGCGGCCGGGGTGGATCGACTTCGCGTTCCTCGGGAACGGCGGGGCGCCTTCTGTCGCGGAGACGATCAACGGGCGCGCGGAGGAGGAAGGGAGCGGGGTGCGCTACGCGCGCGAGGTGCGCGGGGGCCGCAGGCGCGAGGACGGCAGGGTGCTCGAGTGGCTCATCAGCGGCCCGCCTGACGGCGCGCGGGGGACGTTGCCGTTCTTCTGCGGGGACCTCACTCCGCGGGCTTGGCGGGTACGATACCGCGATGGGGGACGCGCCGACTCTGGGTGATACTAATTGACGTTCGTTCGCGACTGCAGGTGCCTCTGGAGCCGCGCGCGAACACCCAGCACGACAACAGCGCGCTGGGCGTGGCGCACGTCAAGCTGCTCGTCCCGCCCGACGCGCTCGCCGCGACCGCCGGGCGGCTCACCTCCGTCCTCGGGGCGTCCCCGTACTCCTCGACTGCGGAGGAGGTCGTGTGGCACCTCGACCTGCAGCCGTCACGCGTCGCCCCGCCCTCTAGGATCCCTGTGCTGAGAGTCGGCGCGGCGGAGAGCGCCGAGGAGAAGGAGTACGTGCGGGCGCACGGTGCGGGGATCTACGAAGTGGGGTTCGCTGTATCCGGCTCTGGGCAGGGGCGGTCGAACAAGACGCCGTTCGGGAAGGTCGTGTGGGTTGGAGGGGATGCTGAGCTCGGCCTGCGTGTACAATAGTTGGATGAGGCCGTTAATGCTGGATGCCAATGCGTGTATATTCTCTGCAATGGGTTGCTGGAGCAGTTGAGCACATGCCGACGCGGTGCTACCGCTGCTCTAGTCTTCTCGGTCGGAAGATGGTGCGTGCCAGATAGGCCATAGGTGGCAGCCGTGAACGTTGTCTCCTCTGTGTGGTCCATTGTGGTGATGGTCGACGCACGTCTGAAGTCTAACAGGAATGCTTAGGAACCAGTAAAAATGGGAAGTTCGCGGTTCAGTCATCCACATCTGTCAGAGTTGCTCATGACAGCTTGGACGGACGAGATTACCGCTGGAATGGGGTAAGCGTGCGTCGGCCAAACCGATGACAGAGACGAGGCTTCCGCGCATCTACCCGCCGTGCAAGCCACCTCCCGTTCGTTCTCCATCCACACTGGTGTTTTGAGGTCAAAAAGAGTTGACGTTGACGTTGAATCGTGGTGACGGATGATGCTGGAAGACAGCGCCGTAGTACCTTAAGAACGGTTGTGTCAGTTTGCAGGGCGGTGTTACAGCTGACCATGAGCCTCCTTCTGCGGTGGAGTATATCGGCATGAAAGAGGGAGAACGTTCTCGGAGATGCATGATCCCCGAGCACCGAACACGACAGGGTCGCGGAAGAAGCGGAGATTTGGGGGAGCCATGAGGTGCCAAACACCAAATGTCCCTCAAAGGTTATGTCGCACGCAGTAATTCATCGTCGCTTCGGAATGAGATGATGGTCAGCTGGTTGGCGACGCGGGGGAACGGATTGGACGCATGACTGACCTGGTGTGGCCCCCTATTCGTGCGGGGGATGTTAGACTGATGGCAGTGGGGAGAAGCTTCTGTCATGCTCTCCAGAATTGGCCTCTGAGGCGGTAGCATGACATGTCATACTTTCGCGCTGCGTGCTGGGACGATGCACCTGTGCATGTGGACTGGGTGACCTCCGCATTGTGTCATCTGCTAAGTAACCTCAATGGTGTCGTGGGACGTCGCCCGCTAATCATGGGGGCTCTCTGGACTCACAGGCCGGTTTCGTTGGGGAAGACAACGACAGGCGCGGATCACCTCGTGCAGCGGCCAGGGACGCAGCGGCGGGTGGGGCATCAGAAGAAATCCAGTATTCAAGAAGACAAAACACATCGGTGGCGTAACACCGCCCTCGAGCTCACGCGGACGCGTTCGTTGTTCCCGTCCGCGTTGCAGGGCCTGGGGCCAACCATCGTAGCCGCTGGTAGATGACGTCACATCGCAAGCCGTACCAGCGACGGCGAGACCTTGGCTCGGGCGCTGCCGACGCGACCGAATCCGGAAAGTGCTGTCAACGTCATGGATGATGATATGGATGCTTGTTTGCCAATCTGGACTGTGATCCCGGCCCTGATCAGATGGGCCTTGGCAATCAATGTCTTTTGGCCCGGACGCTGGCTGGAGAGGACAAGTTCCAGATTCAATGAAGGAGATGCCGGAAAGTGGGTGAGTCGGGCTGCCGCCTACGCTAGTCGCGGTCGCCGAAGAGCAATTCCAGTTACAAGAAGACGGGCTCGGAAGGGGGTCTGTTGCGGGGATTGAGAAAGATGAGGAGACACACACCCTCACAAACTGTGGTTGATCTGTTGAAGCGCGTAGCATCTTGGATGGTGGCTTCGTCGCAACGCAGCCGTCGATCGCGAGCCCTCCATAGGCTCCATTCCGCCAAAATGCGCATTCGCTGTCAGACATGATATATTCCCGATGCTCGCAGGCCCGCTAGGCCTGCAGGTCCGGTGAAGAGGACAGCAAACGACAGCAGACAAGAGGAGCCCTGAAGACGTGGGAAACACATGGCCTGTCCTGTTGAACATGTACAGACGGTTAAACATTGCGGATCGTAAGTGCCGTAAGTGCTTAGGAACACACGGTGAACAAAATCATTCGGAATATGGTGCTGCACCATCTGTCTAACTCCCGCAGCAACGATGAGCGATCACATACTACTGCATTGCAGCCGCCAAACGCCGTGAGCGTTTGTTGGGAGGACATCGGCCTGCCTTTCGTGCCCTTGAAGCTTCACGTCTTGCCGCGTGTACGGCACCTGCGATTACGAGAACAAGAGCTCCCGGTCGACGGGCGGCTTTGATACCGAGAATGGGCAAAGTGGGCTCACTTTGTTGCCCCCGCCCATATGGAGAAGCGCAGGTGCATTCTCTGGGGAAGTTGGGGAAGACGAGGCGCTCCCTTCGCCGCTCCACCTGTTCTGTTGGAAGACTGATTCATTGTCGAGACTGGGGCAACAATATTGGGAGATCTGTTGGGTCGAGACGAGGGGGATGCAACCAATCCTGGTCTTGCGAAGCGGCTTGCCCAAGCCCGAGGACGTATGGCGCGAGCCTATCGCCGCCAGCCATTGTGTAAGTAATGTGTCTAGTGGGTGGGTTGCCGGTCCTGTCGCCGTGGGCGGTGCGAGATAAGGAGAGAATGCGAGCTGACTTCCCGGTCTGAGTCAAGCTTCTGACGACTATGGTGGCGGTAGATAAGCACGCTTCGGCACACCGACGACGGCCGGACGTCGCGAAAACTTGAAGTGGGCACGCTGCAGTGGATGGTGGAGAGAACATCGATGGCCTCGAGGTGCAGGATGCACAACGAGCGGGAGGAGGGGCAGAGAAGGCAAGAGGGGTTCCAGGGAAGCGGTATGAGAGAAAGGAAATCTGGGATGCGGCCGTGTCGAGCGGGGCCCAGGCCAGCGATTGATGGCGAGCGTAATTCGTCTCGTTTCTTGGACAGGCGCGAGCAGTCGATTGGTCCCAGCTCCGAGCCCAGACGTCGGCCGCGCCGCCCACGTGCGACATCAACCCACCCTTACTTATTTGCCCCCTACTTATCTCTCGTCCTCCACACCCACCGTCCGCCGCTTCCCCCCACAGGCCGTGTCGTCTCCAGAGGTCACCGTCCACGGCAGCGAGCTTGCTGTCCTCTCTGGTGAGCCCCCGCTCCTTTCCAGCCGTTTCCGGCCCCGGCTCACCGCGTTCGGACGGCCAGGACTCTCTTGTCGCCGTCTCGCCCGCCATCGCTGAGTTGTACCCGCTCCGGAAACTCTTCTGACGGACACCGGTGAGTATCTCTTCCTCTCTCTTTCCTACTGCGCTTCGTCGCAAGCCACGGTCCGGAGAAGCTCCAGTCGCTGATGAAACCGACGATCTCCCGATTCAGAAACGTCGCTCATTCTCACCAGTGCTACCCGGCGCCCTTCGCTCGCCTTCCGCGACACCGTTTTCCATATAATTATCTTCTTCGCCCTCTCCTGCGCCTTCGATCCGCCGGCCTAGCGCATCCCCTCTCCGTTCTGAACGACGCCAACCCGAGGTGAGCAATCCATCCCGAACTGACCTGAGCGCGGCCGGCACCTGTGTGGTCAGCCGCGCGCCAGTCAGCCGTCGAACTTTCCCGCTGGTGCTTATTCGCACGTCCCCCCCCCAGACAGAGCCCCTCATGAGCACGGTCGTGAACCTCCAGACATACACCACCCGCATGGACTACACCTACTCGCGGCACTCGAACAGTGCTGGCGCACCCCTGCCGCACATCCCCCGTAGGACGTTCTCGTCGCGCTCGTCGGTCGGCCTGACTGCGTTCCAGTCGACGCCATCGCCCCCACCCGCGACCATCTCGCGAGTGTTGTCTGCGGACGCCACTTACCCTGCGGTGGTCCCCATTCCCACTGTCCTGGTCGTATCCCCCAGCCCCCCTCAGCCGCAAGAGCCCGTCACCACACATGAGGACGAGGCGTCCAGCTCCTCGTCCAGCGGCTCGGAGTCGTACGTCCAGATGTACCCGCGTGCGAAGCGCACCCGCACGCCGAGGATGCAGCCGTTCCGCTCCGCTGCAGACTCGACCCCCACGCCCGCCGTCTTGAAGGCGAGGAGCAACAAGCAGGGTGCCGCTTTCCCCGTGGTCCCGGCCGCTTCCGGGGACGACACCCCCCGCGCGTCCACCTCGTTCGCGACCCCCAAGCCGACGCTCCGCGTCGACGTATCTGACGAGAAGACTGCTGTGGCGCGGCCGTCCATGGTCCGTACGGACAGCAACCGCATCGTCTCTGCGCCACACATCGACGCTGCGAAGTCGGCGCGGAAGAAGTCTGGGGAGCCGCTCAAGTCTTCGCTGAAGTCGAGACGGCCGGTCGTCCGTGGCGACCTCTCGGTCGTGACGGGAGTCAGTTTGACGAAGAGCGAGCCGACGACGCCCGTCAAGTCGGTGCACTTCGATTCCCGCTTGGAGCAGGTCAAGTTGTTCCTCGCCGAGCAGAAGCCTTTGGCTATCTCTCGCGAGGGATCCCCGACGGACGACACGAGCGGTACGGAGAGCGACTTCCCGAGCTCGATATATGGCTCGAAGAAGGACGAGGAAATGATGCTGACCATGACGGTAACGAACATGCCTGCGGCGCCACGGGCGGATGCGGACATCGCCCTCGAGGAGTTGAAGCTGTCGGAAGACGGCTTGGCCCTCAACGGCCGCGTGCGCGTGCGCAACATCGCGTTCGAGAAGTGGGTCGCTGTCCGGTTCACGGTCGACTACTGGCAGACGACGAGCGAGGTGACCGCCAAGTACCTAGAATCCGTATCTGGCGGCGTGTTCGATCGCTTCTCGTTCGCCATTCGTCTAGGCGACATGCTGGCGCGGATAGAAGAGAAGACGATGTACTGCGCGCTTCGCTATAACGTGGCCGGCCGCGAGATCTGGGACAACAACGGCGGCATGAACTACAAGGCCACGTTCGCCAGGGTCCCGCGTCCGCGGCCCGCTTCTCCGTCGACCTCGACCGGCAACCTCGCGTCGCTCAAGACCAAGCTTGAGAACGTCGTCAATAGCCAGGAGACCGTCGGCAGCTTCATGGCGCAGGGCACCAGCGGCATACGCAAGTCTAACAGCACCTTCACGCTCGAGGCGTCGACGTCCCTCGCCGCCCGCTACGACTTCTCGGCGTCGCTCCGGAGCCCGTGGACGCGGTCTCCGCCGACGTCCGTCACCCCGACGAAGTCGGGCCACGCCCGCAACGTGACGTACCCGAACACGCTCTCGTACTTCCCGAAACGCGGCGCGATGAGCAAGCAGGCGATGGTCGAGGACGTGCGGTCGTCGATCACGCGTTCTCCGCGCCTCGTTCAGCCTGACAGCCCGCTCGAGCAGCTGTCGGCGTCATTCTACGGCGCCGGAAACGCGAGCGCGGATGTGGCGGACGACAGCCTCGTGCCGATCATGAGTCGCCGGCGGAATCGCAACCACCAGCGGGGGTACTTCGAAATCGGGCTCGCGCAGACGGGCATGGAGGTCAAGCGGACTCCGCCCGGGACCCCGGTCAAGGAGCGGGGCGCGCGGCTGAGCTCGGAGAACCTGGCGCTGATGGCGAGGGAGATGGAAGCGGGCGCGAGCGAGCGGCCGACGTGGTTCCTGGAGAGGGGAGGGAGCGAGGAGAGCACGCCCAGCGTCACGTCGAACTCGGAGTCGAGCCTGCAGAGCTCGCCGTCGGGGAGCCCGACGGACGAGCGGGTGTTCGGGTTTGGAGAGGCGCGGGGTGCGGAGAGCGAGAGCTATAGCTCGTTCTTGAACAAGTACGCGTTTTGTCTGTTTCTGGACTTGTCCGGATCGCTGATCGGCGACTCGTGCAGGTACTGCTACTACACCGGGAACGAGGGATCGTTCTTGGACGTCGGGCAGGACGTGATTCACCGCTCGCACTCTGCGTCGAGCGTGGAGGAGTTCCTGTCTATGTCGCCCAGCCCGAGCTACATGCTCTCTCCTGGCGAGACGCCGACTCGTTCGCCGAGCTACGACGACGTCGCGTCGATCAGCAGCGGCTCGACGACGCCGACGATGCGGACCGCAGGGTTCGCAGGCCTGATGGACTCGCCTTCGATGGTGTCCGCTGCGCGTTAACCTTGGTTCCCCTTCGGCTCCCGCCGTCTTTCCGCCGTTGTTTGTTCATCCGTCTGCCGCATCCGCATCTCCGCCTCGACATCTCTAGACTGTAGAGCCCCGCCCGGTCTGCTCGCCGACCACCCTGTACCATATCCCTAGCGGCGCGGGGTCCCCGAGAAAATTAGACGTACTCTTGCGGACAATCCATCACCACGCATAATGCCCATCCTTCTCCATAGACATCCGTGCCTGTGGCTTGTTTGTTCACCTTCGGCGCCGCATACACGGATCTAACTTAACTCCTCGGGGACGCGTTGCTCACCCCTTGGCTTCTTCCCCAAACATGATTCCTCATTCACTCATCTACCCCCATCTGTCCCATTTCCCATTCCATTCTATCAGGGTCCGGTTGTACGTCCTGAGCATCTTCACCATCCATCCCCTACGCACGGGTTCTTGTCACTGTCGAGCGCCAGGCTTCGATGTGTACCCTGTACTCTAGTCCCCAGATCTCGGTCCTCGGCTCTTTATCTCTTTCTCATTATCTTTCTGGCTTCTTTCTCCTTTACGACGAGTATCCGAGATGAGAGTACGCATGGGACAGTTTATTTTGATCACCAGTGTCCATCACACTCCCCGCCAGTCAGCGGTTCCCCCTACTACCACCACCACTACCCCTCACAATCCACTCACCCCCCCGTCCGACCATCGACCACGCACACACTTACACTGCGCCAGGGCCGCGAAGGCTCGATGCGTACGGTCACGACGATAGAGAACCGTCTACTGGTTTGGTTGCATACGCATACGCATACACACGGTCTCGTACATCGCGCACTTGTTACCCCTTGCCGAGTTGACGTTCTGGCGACCGCCGCCCTGCTGGCGTATACATACCATCCGACCCCATTGACATGTCTTCACGAGGACTTTTTCTCTATAATGACGACTTGAATGAACACACGATTGACTGATAGACGGGATGCGGGATTGTTTGGATGTGCCTGATAAGTTCGCGGGTCTCAGGGCCGTCGGAGCGTGAGGTTAGCTCAGATCACGACGCACGCTCGCCGATACTTATGGTGTGCGAAGTAGGGAACGGACGGCCGGACTCGGACGTCGCAATCGTCGTTCGGAGATCAGGTAGATGATGTCGCAAGTCCGAGTACATAGAGGCGTCTGACCGAGTGCCTAGACCTAACCCCATACTAGGGCTCGGCCTGTCTAACCCCAATTTCGAATCCTTGCATAACGCCTCGGGCGCATTCGGTAAGCAGCGTCGCTTGCTCCCCTGTCCTTTCCTCCTCTCTGTGGTTGCTTTGGGACACCTCGCACGTCTCGGTCTCTTCTTGCGCAATCAACACTCTCCCAAGGTGACATCCAACAAATGTTCGCTTCGGTAAGATCCACCCAGGTACGACAGAACGATTAGGTGCTCACCACGGCACAGATTAGCTCGTGGTGGGGGGGCTCTGGCTCGTCCACACCCGCCGTACAGGACAAGCCGTACGACCCCACAGACCCGAAGCAGAACCCGCTCAACCCTGAAGGCCTGAAACCGTACGTCCTTTCTATTCCTGTCGTTGCTGTTTTGAGCGGCGGAAGCTGACGAGGGGATGCTGCGGGGGTAGGTGCTGCGCGTGCCCGCAGACGAAGTCGGCGCGGGACGACTGCTTCCTGAGCGCGGACGCGTCGGAGGCGGACGAGAAGTGCAAGGAGCTCGTGCAGAGGCACATTGCGTGCATGCGCAGTCTCGGCTTCAAGCTCTAGATGTCGGGAGTGTCAAGGGACATCTGCCTGCAACTGCGAACACATTGTGGTCTGTGCTTCATCCACGCTGTATCCTACCTAATGTGTAATCTTTGCGCGCCTCACCATCACCGCTTTATCACGCTATCCCAGCCCTTTTCGTGGTGCATCTTCAGATTGCCCAACACTGAACACACAAGCGTGACTTGTCTTTATCCCGCCGTTGCTCTCAGTCACCATTGTCGACACTGCAATGACGTGCTCCGCTACGGTAATGCGTGTTATGGTACAATTCCTGGTTTAAGGTTCCGCTGCGAGCTTTGATACTGCATCCTGAGAACAACATCTGTAGTGCTCATGTGACGAACGGACATGCTCAGTCTGCGGGTTCAATCCAATTCCAGCGACCCTGCTCTAGGCCTTCGGCGGTATCCTGCAGTAGGATCTCGTGCCGACCACGGACGTAGACCTGAGTCGCCGTGAGCATATTGTCAAGCTTCAAAGACAATACACACACCGTTTTGTCCAGCATGCGTTGCCGGAGGGTCTTAACGCTGTCTGCCTCCACTGGCTCTTCGAGCAGCTGTGATAGGTCTTCCACGGCTTTCTCCAAATCCCTGAGAATGCATGTCAATGCCAACACATGAGCGACGAAGATCGATGTGCGTACGCTTGGATTGCCTCGAAGATTTCCTTGTCATTCCCTGGCGCGAGGAAGTAGGCCATGGCATACGACCACTTGAGGTTCACGCGACATCGAGTCAGCTCGTCCACGGCATCGTGCATGAACGTAGACTTAAAGTGCGGAATCTAGGTCAGCTCGTCGTGTCCGTACTTTCGCATGCCACATGAGTAAGCGAGCAATGGCACACGCACCTCAATCCACGACAGTTTGCTCGTCTTCTGCCACTCAACCATCTTCTCTTCCGTGCGGGCGCACAGCTCCTCGTCTAGGCGCGCGGAGATCTCATGATTGTTGAACCGATCGAAATAGAACAGCCACTTGTCCAGATTCTGCTTCGCCGTCGTCTTCATCTCATCTGGCTCGGGCTCTTTCCACGCGTTGCAAACCTCATTGTTGTACCCATGGACGTCCCAGTTCTTCATGCACAGCCAGCAGAACTGATAGTTACAATGTCGGCACAAAATACGGCTGACCCATGGGGCAGTATGTCAGCATACACCGCGCGGGTTCACACGCAGATGGTGGAGATGGGGGAGCTTGAGCTTACTCACTTGCATCCGCCGTTCTTCTCGATGTTGTTTTCGCACTTCGGGCACGTCCGCGTGTTCGCCTTGATCCACTGCGACGTGCCGGCATCTTCACGTGCGTTCTTGAGCCAGCTCTTGACCAACTTGCATATGATGGGCCGGTGATCCGAGTCGAGGCCGCAGCCAAAGCAGAAGGCGTGGCCCGAGGCGCACTTGACGGTGGGAACGACTGTGGTCAGCGATGACTTGTTCGCTGACGTGCAGGAGACCGTCTGCGGGCAGCCTGGGTGGGGGCAGAAGCGGAGTTGGGGGTGCGCCTGAACGTAGGACTGTCGGACGAGTTCCTCATAGCTAGCAATGTGGCGCGTTAGCGTGTCAGCCCGCCACCGAAGAGATATGCGCGGGAAGCAGGGACCAACCGTTCGTTCACGCTGGGCTCTACCAGCTTGGCGATGGATGGCCCGTCGACGATCGCTTTGCAGTCGTCATGCATGCACGCGAACGTGCACTGACCTTCGTCCTTGATCTTCGAGATGACGTATTCCTGCCAGCATGGCTTGCAGAACGAGTGATTGCACCTCATACGGAAAACGGCCGGAGGCGCGTCGTCGCAGCAGACCGGGCACAAGAAGTCAGATGGTGGCGGGAAAGGAGACTCCAGCCGGGCACGTTTGGTGGGGCGCGGTGTTACGTCCATCGAGTCGTGTGCCGGCGTAGGCTCACCGGCATCCTGCAGCACACGGTCTGCGGACTCGAGGAATCTCTCCATGAGACGGTCATAATTCCAGTTGAAGTGGCGAAGAAGGACGGATACGATGGGGGTCTAAGAGCACCTCACGAGGACAAGAGTAGAACAAAGGGAAATATTTCATAGGAGATTCGAACGACAGTTAACCAGAGTAGGGATAAGTAGAAACACAGAAGAGTAATGCACCTCTAGACCGGTTATGCTAGCTACGTGGTTGATGTCAATGTCGACGAGCTCTTGAAGCTGCGCTGCTGAGAGGGACTTGCTTTCAACATCTCGGCTCTTGCCTTTGCCCTTCGACTGAGGGATCATGGGCTCGTCGTCGTAGTCGGAATCATTGGTACCCTTAGATGCAGAGACAGTGAGTTTTGCGGTGTCGTTCGAAAGCGAAGAGTACACACATCTATCACCGAGCCATCCGAGTCATAGTAGTCGCTACCAGCGTCGTCGGAGTAGTCAGACATGGTGGTAGTCGAAAGCTAAGAGAGGGCTAGCCGGTGTGCCGCTCCGGGTCCGCGTTTGGCTATGTAGCATGGGCGCTCCCTAAGAAGAGTAGTCCGGATCAATCGGCATCTACCCCGGATTCAAAAGCTGAATTGGTTGTGTGTCTGCAGTGCTGCACACGAATACAGCTTTCAAGCAGATTCAACCGCCTTGTTGCAGCGTCGTTTCTTTCTTTCCGTCCTCTGACTTGCATGTACTATCATGAGACATTGCCCAGATAGCGCCATACGTCTCACCTCCCTGTCGATTACTAGTCAATTTGCTAGCGCAAATCAGCTTGCCGCGGCCACGAACACATATTGAGGCCTTCCACCAAGATGATGCCTAATACTGTTCACTTCAATGTTGTTCTGCTAACTGTCTATCAGTCCGAGAAGCTCGACGTGCCATAGGCTAACATCACGATCCACACATCCTCCAATGCCCATAAAGTTTACTACCGAGGACGGGGAACAGTCAAGTTCCTATCGCGTCAGGCAGTCGCTGCCCCATCGATTCTTTTGGAGCAGATCTTAGTCTATATGGTCATTCATTCGAAAATGCACAATATTCCTTCGACGACAAGCTGGCTCAGGCCGAAGACCCAACAAGGAGAAGAGACTCATAAGAGCCTTGAAGAGATTCGAGCGCGGGACTGAGAAACACGTGTTGTTGTCCGGTTCCTTCGTCGGCTCTTCCAGGATCTTGTCAAGAAAAAAGGTGCTGCGCCTCCGACGAGACCTAGAGCTTTAGACCCAGCTAGATGCACCGCTCACGGCATCGAGAATCCCTATGTCATAGTAGAGGACAAGCTTTCCAGAGATTTGGCTGAGGTGCAGGCCGCTTCGGTGTGTGCCGCAAGTCAAGCGTTCTGAATAAAACGTTCATAATACAGATGGTGTGAGGTATAGTATACATGACGCTGCGAGACTTTCAGTTTGGTTGCCTTCAGTAGGAGTGGCAAGAGTTTGGGGAGCATTAACGCAGATTCAACTCAATGCATTCGTTACAACACCTAATTCTTGTGGTTTCCCCTTGTAATTTCTTCTGGCTAGTCTGTAGATTCCAATTTTCTCTCCCGCCCATGCTGCTAAACCTCACGAGTGATGGTGGCCGCAGGCTTTTGTGTTCCTGTTCCTTTGATCTACTTATGAGTATCGCAGAGCTAGGGCGCTCTTGTGCCCAATTTTGTGTCTGTACTAGACCGCGACGGCAGAACAGTCAACTCATCCTACAAAACTGTTCCAGGACTGGAGATCGTATTGTGCGTAATTGCCCCTCATGCATGTATGTAGCCTGTGCGCATGCGTATATGATTTTCAATTGTGGAGAGGCGGGTTCCCGGGGTCCCGTTCAGGACTAGGTTGTTCAATGCAACCACCATCTGTCCGTCATCTTGTCTCTCGAACCCACCATCGTTCCACGGCGCAGTATCACTGTGTTCGAACACTGTGACATCAAGGACTTGGATAAGGGCAGACTGACCTTGAGTATCTTACTGTTATGACTTCAGTTGACCCCTTGCCTATGCTCCTGCCTTCTCGCGCTCTTCCACCAGCTGCGCCTAAGATGGGATGGACTCCCAAGCGCGACCTCGAGATCCCAAACCCACCACCCATTGAGGACCCTCGAGCGCTCGAGATGGATATGGCAAGACAGCAGGCAGATGGCAAGCCCGTGAAGAAGGTCCGTCCGCGAAGGACGGTCGACTATGGCGGCTCTATGGGAAGGTGGGCTCTGGTGAGTTGCGCACATATGCTCGCATGCCAGCGTTACTCAGGAGCTGGCGCATAGTTGCGTAAAATGCGGTTGAACTCGACGTACGTGCCTCACTTGAGGCCAGCACCGCCGTATATCATCGATGTAGGGATGGAACATTGGGCATGTACGGAGTACAGAGACTCAATATATCTCGTGTGCAGCTCCTGCCGCCAAAGGCATACCCTGACAACCCCTCAACGTCTTTGTGCACTAAGTTCGTGCATACATCCACCAACAAGATCAGGTGCCCAGTCAACTGCGTAGTGGTCAGTTCCTTCTACAATGCTAGTTCTCTCCGTGCATTTGTCGAGGCTGAAGACACCATAGTGGACGCCAGAAGCACGGCGAATACTGACGGGCTCTACGAGTGGCGAATTCACGCTGTGGAACGGACTGACCTTCAACTTCGAGACCATCCTGCAAGCACACGATTCGGCTGTCCGAGCGATGCAGTTCACGCATTCGGGAGCGTTCCTCGCATCCGCGGACCAGAACGGCGTCATCAAGTACTTCCAGCCGAACATGAACAACCTGACACAGTGGACAGGGCATCGAGAAGCCATCCGTGGGCTTAGCTTCAGTCCGGACGACAACCGGTTTGCTACTGCGAGTGATGATTCTACAATCAGGCTGTGGTCTTTCGAGGAGCAGCGAGCCGAGCGAACACTAACAGGTGAGCATGAACTACCGCCAGTGTCTAGCCTACGTCACTGATGACATGGCGACAGGTCATGGCTGGGACGTGAAGTGCGTCGAATGGCATCCTACGAAGGGTCTTCTGGTGTCGGGTAGCAAGGACAACATGATCAAGTTCTGGGACCCGAGGACAGGGACTGTTCTCTCTACCCTGTACGTAGGGTGGGCGTTCATCACCATCGATATTCTAAAGGCGTCCCCTATAGGCACTATCACAAAAATACCGTCCAGGCTCTTGCTTGGTCACCAAATGGTGATCTTGTAGCCAGCGCGTCTAGGGATCAAACCGTCCGCGTCTTCGACATCCGTGCCATGAAAGAGCTCCGCCTGCTGAAGGGACATAAGAAGGAAGTCTGCTGTATGTCTCCCCCTCGCCTATCACCCTTTCGTGTATCCGCTCACGTATCACTGTGCCGCTAGCGGTTACGTGGCACCCTGTCCATCCAGTGCTCGTCTCCGGCGGTTCAGAAGGCGCAATACTTCACTGGGACATCTCGTCTTCCTCCGAGCCCCCCGCATCCCAGATCCTTGCCGAACAGCCCGGACCCCGTGCTACCCTCTCGCAGGCGCACGACTCCAACGTCTGGGCCCTCACCTTCCACCCGCTCGGCCACATCCTCGTCAGCGCGTCCAACGACCACACCACGCGCTTCTGGTGCCGCGAGCGCCCAGGCGACGCCTCGTCCGTCTTCTCCGGGGGAGGCGAGAAGCCTCCAGAGATCATAGACACCTCGGGGCAGGACGAGGACGAGGACGCGATGGTGCCTGGATTCGGCATGGGCGGAGGCGGAGGCGGCTGGTGGGGCGGGAAGGAGGAAGACGGGCGCGACGCGATGGCCACCTCGGCGTCGTATAGTGGCGGATACCCGCCGAATGGCGGGCAGCTTAACGCGATGGACACGGGCGAGGACATGATTCCCGGCCTTGGTGGGGGGATCCCGGGGCTTGGTGGGTCAGACGGAGGGTCGGCTTCCGCCGGGCCTGTGCTGGGTCGGCAGAGCGGCCCGCTGCCATCGCAGGAGGACATGTTCGGTCATGGCGGCGGGGAGCCTGATGGGGTTGAAAGTAGTAGAGGTGGTCGTGGTAGGAGGTGGGGCCGTGGCGGGCATCGCGACGGTGGACATAAGGATGGTGGTGGTGGGTACGGCGGTGGATCGCGTCGCGGGAGGTACTAGTGATCGGCAGCTCCTCTTCTACGATATCCGCATGCCATTCACGGTAGTATCAGTTTGGTCCGCGCATCCAGGCGGGGATATAGTGCATTAGCAAGCATACTGTATACATGAGGCAAGCATCATACACTACAGCCGACCTAGAAGTGATGCTCTGTGTGGCAATTACGTAACGATGCAAGGAAGCGGTTAACACCAAAGCCTACACAGCGTTTCCCAAGGATTCGAAACCCACAAGGGGCCTAGTACTGGCTCATGTCCTCGTCTTCGGTATTTTCATGAAATATGAGCCTGGTTCCGAGTGATCCAATGAACCCGTCGAGGTTATCGGCTACGGGTGGTTGCAATACGAAGCACGGGTCCGACATCTGTGCCATCGAGCGGGAAGAGCTAGCCAGCCTGTTCTTGGCCTTTTGCAGATTGATAAGGAACCTCCAAGTAAGTATGGAGGTGAGCCTATGCAGTACATGTCAGCAAGTGATCCAGCCTGTGGATCGATTTAGGACGTACGGTTCCTCAAATAGGGGTAATACGCTCGCAACCCCTACTTCGTTAGTAGCGATCTGAACGCTGTGAGATTGCTATGCATGAAGCCGGGCTTTCAACTCACCGAATCCACAGTGAAAACCACATGCAGGATGCTTAGGATAAGTAGCGTGCTGTCATTATTGATGAATTCAGATACGGCGTGAGTCCGGATTTACGACGTCGGCTTACAAAAAGTAGGTTGTGCCTATCAAAGTCGATCACAAGATCCTCAGTGCGGGGCATGGATCTTGCGAACAGAACACGCACCGTCACGGAGAAGGATGCTCGAGAAGCTTCTTTTGTCCTGGCTGGCAACATGTCGAGACATCTTCACTGTCTCGTGTGTTCGGTACCACGTAACGCATAAAACCAGTAGATCGGCGCAACACAGAGAAACCCGCGAGGCGACGGTCACTGTGATAGCCCGGCATCAGGATGAGAACGTCTGGAGGCCTCTTGACATTTTGAATCGTCTACTTACATCTGTCATTGTCATTCACGATATGAGACAACGTTCAATGGAAAGCGATACCAAGTGGACTCACTTCCGAAACATCACCCGCGATAATGTTTCAACTACTATGACGCCTTTCCCGGGATCGTTCGCATAGGAGATAAAGCGTATGTTGCACTATGTCAAGAGCTCTGTGAGAAGGTCGCCAGAAAAGGCTCATATCTGGTCTACTCACAGCCATATTGATGACGAGAGGCACCAAGGCAAGGGCGAAGACAGTGGCTGAGACTATCCATCTGTACCGACCGGGGTACAATGCGTGCATTCTAAGTGCCGAGAAAGCTATATGATGAAGAGGATAATTGTCAAAATTTCTGATGCGAGGCGGGCAGCAATGTGCGTACCGGCCCAAGGGAAATACTGCAAAGACTGCATCACGTAGAAAGCGACATATCCTGCAACAGCGCTGAGCGGTGTCAGACTACCATTCAAGCTTGTCCAGGACTCATGTACCTCTGCCAGAATCCTGAGCAACAAAGCGGCAACTTCATGACGGGGAGCAACACACCTGAAATGACGAAGGAACGGGCATACAAGCTAATAGCTGTGCCGCAAGGGAGATGTATCGGTTCAGAAGGAATAATGCCGTAGCTCCATTGACCTGGTGTGGCAGCCAGAAGAGCATGACCTCGCTATTGAGAGTCATGAGGTAGTCGTAAAGCAATAAGGCTGAATCATCGATATGAGTGTGCTCCACAGGTCACGGAGTATTGATTGCTTCGAGAGCGCACATACCTGTGGCGGCATTACTACAATAGCTGCTCAAGGTTGCAGCCCTGAAGTCACTGGTTAGAATGTATGAACGCGACAGAATGCGATACCCACCTCGCTGCAGCTATGATTGCCTGAGATTTCGGATCGCCGGTCATTCTGAGCTCCTTCTCGGAGTGTGCTCAAAGTGGAGGAGAATCCAGGCCTTTGGAAGGAATAGTTCTGCTGAGAACCCCGGAGTCATAAGTCTATTTATCCTTGCAGCCCACTGCGGTCCTATGATTCGCTCCCAGTCTACTTCGCCTTCCAGTGCAACCAGCTCGGTGATCCATCAGTTAAGGACGCTGGAGGGATACAGCTCATAGCGCACTGACGTTCTGATCGCAGGAAATTTGGTGCCATATGTGGACGAGCATATGGAGCGAGTCGGCCGCTGCATCAATTCTCAACAGATCGCACCAGGTAAGAGTTCAATACACACACGATAGGACATCGGTGGCGCAATGACCTCCCCCCGGGACAACCTAGGGAAGCGAAAAGAACGCCAGCACCAGGGCAGGCAGAAGCCCAAAACGATGCATCGAGAAGAGTCGGTCGACTCTGACAACCGTTGAATGATGGATTGAGGGCCCCATCAACGCCAATCCAGCTCGACCGCCCGTAAGTGCAAGCTGGCAGTCGCAACGTTGCCCCTGCTCCGCCATATGAACCCAATTGCATCCCCCTTCGGTCCCGTTCCATGTACAGCCTACCGATGTTGAACAGCAACCGAGCTGACGGAAGAGGACATGTGAGCCGCAATACTGGGCCTGGACGGGATATGCCGCAGGCCGTGTGCGTTGCCTCAACTATTTAGGGCGTTCGGTGCCAGGGATTCGGAGTACCTGCGCAAATCGCAAGGACGACACTCAACTGCACCAAAAGATATCGAACTCACTCAGTCATTCAGCTTCCCAAAATCTTCCGTGGAAGTGTCCGATGAAGATACTATCAAACAGAAGAGGGTGCAATGGAGCGATGGATCGAATGAGCGGCGATTTGGAAGCATTCAGTCCTTCATATCAGATTCACTGCGGCCCAACGCCAGCTATGGTCACCGTCAGCTGTGCAATAGGGTACTGCCCACGGAGGACCTCCCTATGCATTGGGGCAGCCCCATTAGCGCAAGCTGCATCCTTTGTCGACTCCTCCGCGACGAGATTTTCTACATCGAGGGACCTCCATGACATGGACATTGAACGCAGCCTGGTAGGCCCCGCACTATTTGAAGAGGAAGGCAAAGATTACGGGGCTGGGGGCAGGTCGAGGATGCCGAGATTTCGTCAAGATGCAGACATTGACGATGATGGTGTCCCTGGCCGCAAAGATTGCGTCTACGCGAGCAGGTATGTGAGAGGCCGAGAAGAGAAGAGTCCGGCCGCGACGCGAGTTCTACGCTTGAAGGTGTTGTCTGCAGCCGAGGTTGGCCAGGACCCATGCGAGAGTTAGACATACCTGAGCAAGAGATGAGTATGGGCATTACAATGAGTACTGACTCGGCTTGCTCACCGCATGCAAAGGCGTGAGGACCATGAATAGTTAGTATCTCCAATTGTACAGGATCGGGATGGCTCCAATGAGTCTGAGCACGATGAAGACACGGCCCGTGAAGGGCGTCGCGGAGACGTCAAACAGCCATAGGCCAGTCGACAGCATTAGGTCGAAGAGAAGCCGCAGGAAGCTGATGAATTATGAAGGATTGTGTATACACTGCTTAACACGGTGAACTGTGTCATTGATCTCTAGTATGATTAGCATTCACAGAAATCAATGTCGAACACTTCTGGCGCTCGGTGTGGGCAAGAATAATGGCACCAAGATTGGACGCCGCGCATAAGTATGAGATGCTTTCTACCATAGTCATCACATTGGTGGGTCGGTGAGAACTGCGTGCGCCGCAAAGACGTTGGAAGGGTACAAACTGAGGTACAAGCAGGAAGCATTGTGATGCAGGACGTACGGCGAAACATCATCTGATTATTCCAAGAAGTGAGAGGCTAAACGACTTGGCCATCGTCCAAACCCAGTGAAACCCACACGAAAGGGGATGCAGTCCGCTTTAGAGGGCTGACGTCGACTCGAGCTCTTAGTTCCCGCCTGCCATAGCGCGCGTCGCAACGCAAGCAGATCGTTGAGGTTGTTACAACAGGGAGAAGTCAGAGATCAAAAGGCCTGGCAGAGCTCCCTTGAAGAGCACGGCGTGGGAGTCGGTCATGATGCGGGGACTGTGGAAAGCCTTGTGAGGATGGATTGTCGTACGTGCAGGAAGTGGTTACGGTGTTCATTGCCGCTAAGGTAGCGCCCGCATCCAATGAGACGCCTATTTCCCTGGCGCTCACTGCGGCGCAGCCACGGGAGAAAATTCTCGTTGCAAAAGCACCCGCCAGTAAAACACCCGCCAGTAAAACACCCGCACGCAGTACAGACAGTGTCTGGGACACATCGCCACTGACATATCATCGCGAATCCCGACGCATCCTCGTACAAGGACACTCTGATCAAGGTTGACGACAGAAGTAAAAGATTGTACGATAACGCTTCTCTGCCGTGGATCCGGAGTTCTTAGGTGCCTCATCGAGTCTACAGAAGAGGACGGTGTGAGGAACAATGACGAGCTCTAGAGACTAATCTTTACTTTCTCAGACGATCGAGCTATATAATTGGTGAGCACACGAGTCCAATGCTCTGTAAAGGAATTTAATCTACGAAGTGAAAGTGAAACGCCCACATTGGACCGCAGCCGGTTCGGGTATGTCAATCCAACGCCGAGGGCACGTCCACGCCATAGCAATCCATCTCTCTCCTGGTCAGATCGATCTGCTATCCATGGTGCTTTCCCCTCGCCCCAATATAAAGACTCCTGAGACCAGCTTTGTCCCCCCTTGCAGTCCTTCTCATTATCCTGTACTCCCTTTGCTATCGAACCCTTCTGCATTCTGTTCTTGACTCTTCTGCCATTCTCACTCTGATGTATCTCGCTTACAAGTACATCAGGGAAAAGCGGAGGAAGGCAAAGGCCGCTGAAGAGGCTGAGGCTGCAGGTCTCCCTTCACCCGCCGACAATGGTGCAGACGCGAACGCTCGGGCTACCCTCAAGCCCATGGACTCTGCCTCACATCCAAAGTCGAAATGGGGCTTTCATGTCTCCACAGCAATCAAATGGAAGCTTATGCTATTTGCGGCGCTCTTGGTTCCCGTAGTCTTTGAGACGCTGGACTACACAGGCACGTCGCCTCTCAGGAAGTACCCGGAGTTCATAGATTGAGCTTTCTTAGTTGTCGCCACGGCACAGGTGCATATTGCCGTACGTGATTCGCCCTCCGAATCTCCCATCGCATTGCAATGCTTATCGCTCTGCGTAGTCCGTCTTCAACCGCGTTGACCTTCAAAGCTACATCGGGACAGTCTACCTGCTCACTTCCACTGTCTCCCTCCCGTTATTCGCCTCACTAGCCGACGTCTGGGGCCGTCATTGGTCGCTCCAGTTTGCCCTGCTTCTCTTTACTGTCGGCAGCGCGATCAGCACGGGAGCGCAGAACATGGCTACAATGCTTGTCGGTCGTGGTATTGCAGGTATCGGTGCGGGTGGTATGATGGCGGTAAGCGCATCATGATCATGGACGATACGAGGTTAGTGAAGAGTCAATTCCTACTAGGTGGTCCGTATCATCCTGTCAGATTCCCGCTCCCTGGACGACAATAACTTGCAACAGTCCATGCTATTCTTCCTGTTCACGATCGGGTACTGCGTGGGTCCCGTTATCGGAGGCGCACTGACGACAGTCTCCTTCCGCTGGATCTTCGCTATCAAGTACGCGTCCACTACTCCTTCACTCTGTTAGCTCCCGTGCTAACTCGACTTGTCTACAGCTTGCCGTGCTGCGCTGTGGCGATTGTCCTTTGTTTTATTATCCTCCGCGGCCGCACCAAGGGCTCCCAGCCCCGCCACAACCCACTCAACCAGGACGAGTTCACCTCAGCCGAGGACGAGACGTTCTTCACGAAGTTCATGCGCATCGATTGGGTTGGCGCGCTCTTGTTCATGGGCGGCGGCGTCACCGTCCTCCTCGCGCTCAACTGGGGCTCCACGGGCGAGTGGTCCTCTGCGCGCGTCATCGCGTGCTTCATCGTCTCTGGGGTGATGTACGTCGCGTGGGTAGCGTGGGAGTACGTCCTCGAGCGTAAGGCCGAAGTGGGCAGGGTGAGCCGCAACCCGCTCATGAACACTGACCCGATGATCCCGCTCGCGCTGTTCACGTCGTTTGACCTGTGCGTGTCGCAGTACGCGATCTTCGTGTCGGGCCTCGTCATGCTCGTCATGTTCTATTTCGTCGCGATCTTCTTTACGATTGTCGGCGGGCTGTCGGGCACGGGCGCGGGGACCCAATTGCTGTACTTCGTGCCCGGTCTTGCCGGGGGCTCGCTGTCGTCGATGGTCATGGTTAGACGTCTGCGGCAGCCGAAGGTGCCCATTGTCCTGGGGACCTTGATTATCACCATAGCACTGGGCTTGGTTTCGTGGGCCGTTGACCGCAATGACAAGGGCCAGGTCAACGGGTGAGTGTTGTTTCCGTTTTGACCGTCACGATGACGTGCATCTATTCACTCGTCACAACAGTTTCCTCGTTATGACTGGCGTAGGCGTTGGCATGACCATCGGCCCTCTCGCCGTGCAGGCCCGTTTCTCGCAGCCTGAACATCGCAACGCTGTCGTCGCCGCGCTCAACCTCTTCGTAAGTTTCGAGCGCACGTCCCGAACCATTCGTGAGACTCACTACGGATCCCCTCTCCTCCAGAGTCGGGCTCTCGGAGGGACAGTCGGCCTCGCGCAATGTGGTGCCGTCCTCAACGGCAAAGTGACGCATTCGCTCCACGCGCTCGCCCATTCGGGCATGCTGTCGCCCTCGGATACCGCGCTCCTGCAGAACGGCCTGTCGTCCGGCATCTCGTCCCTGCAGAGCATCGGCTCGCTTCCGCCCGACGTGCAGCAGCTCGTCAAGGGCGCGTTCCAGCAGGGCACGCGATGGGCGTTCATCTCGCTCGTGCCGTGGTCGGGCCTCGCGTTGGTGTTGACGTTGTTCCTATCGAAAATTGGCGATCCAGATCGCGAAGGGCGCGTCGCGGCGAAGGTGGTTGTGCAGGAGAAGGAGGCGGCCTCGCATTCGACGGAGGAGGCGAAGAGAATGGACGACTCGGAGCCGATCGTCGCGTATACGCAACGCATAGGACACGTATGAAACATTGGATTGGCTCTCCTGGAGTCGACCAAGGTTTCTCTGTCCCATTGTGGCCTGGGGACTTTCAGCTCTACATATGTACCTTACAGCTTTTCTTAACATAGTGATCGCACTCGGTCGTTCCCCGCTGATGATAGATGAATCAGGGGCTCGGAACGCTTCTGAACGCTGAGCACTGAGTGAAGTATATCATGTCCTACAACGCATCTGACAGCAGACTCGTATAATGATCCATCACAGAGCCCAGTAAGTCTCAGGCGCCCTGCTTCGCACGCAGTTTATCCAGGTTTTCGATGGCCTTGTTACTAGCCCCGGTCAGAATTGAGCGTATCTCGTAGCCGCCCGTATTTCGTACGTCCGTATTTTGAGTCACGTCACCCAAGCCGCCTGCGCGTTTGTTACTACCAGTTCGTCACACCCCATTGCCGCCAAGTCGCGCGCGACCGCACCACCGCGCGCGCATCTGCATATTTATGCGTCTCTCGAAACCACAGTGTACTTCACCACAAGAGCAGTTTTGTCATTAGAAATGTCTGAGACTCCCTTTGGTTCACCTTGAGCTGAATTTGTTGGGGTCGCGAGCCTCCTTCGAGCCATGTTATTGCTTGCGCGCACCTTACTAGCGCGGGCTCGGTGCAGCCGCAGTAAGATATCTCCTATCGTCACCCTCATGTGGTTCAACTAGCGGGCCCAAGTTGGGTGGCTATGGCAATGTGTAATGTCAGATTAGCCGCCTTGAACTTTTGCTTGTGCTGCTGCACCCGCGAGCCCCTTACACTCGCAACATCTGGATAGTTCATACAGTCCACTGAAACAATGTGCAAGAAACGCGAGTAGCGGTACACAAAAGTCTGATATCATATCACTAGTGTGCGCGAAGGCCCCAACGAGTGTCGTTGCGCGGGTTGTGACGTACAGGTGACAAGCGCTCAGGCGGTTTGGGTGACGTGACTCAAAATACGGACGTACGAAATACGGGCGGCTACGAGATACGCTCAATTCTGACCGGGGCTACTACTTAGCCCTCGCGGTTGTGTACCCCCGGCTGCCAATCTTCGTCCTGGAAACTCTGTGCCAGTACTACTAATCGTACCTCGGTTCACACCCTCCACCATCGCCCTGCATCGGCAGGAGGTTCTGCATGTCGATCTCGTTCCGGACGCCGAGGGTCATGCAACTTAAAGCACCAGGGCATACCTGTCTCCGGTAGCCTCCAAAATCAGCAGCAGGCCGAAGTTCTCCATCACGGTGACCCCTGGCCCTTCTCCATCGCAAGGCAGATTCCCTGCATTGGCCCACAAGCACTCGCAACCGCGCTTCCTGGAGGTCGGAGAGAAGTCTTGGGGGTGCTCAATTCTTGTCGGCCGCTCATTCCGCCGCGCGCTTAGCAGCGAGGATCAAGGTCAGCTCAAGCGCCTAAGAATTGAGCATCCCAAGACGACTCCGAAGCTCGTTTCATCTCCCCAGTATTTACATCATCGACCACATGCTCCCAACCTCTTCGGCCAGCTCACCGCGCGTTCGTGTGAGAGGCATCACATATAGCAGCCATTCGGCCGAGCCTTAGCACCCCAAGAAGCTCTTTCGGGCAGTCTACTGACGTATGTGTACAGTAAGAGCATGTCCTTCCCCGGTGAACGATGACCGCCAGGATGCTGTTGACCGGACAAGAACGTTCATATCCGCTTGCTTCGTGCAAGGATTAGCTTCTTGAAACTCCATCAAGCAGCACCTGCCACCAGGTGTAGACGATCGAACTGTTTGTGTCGTATGGCTGGCGATCTCGGCCGTGAAGGATGCCCGACGCGTCGCGTGTCGCGTAGAGGAATCCGAGTGTATAAGGAGGTCAGTGCTGCCTAGTGGACTCAGCAGAGCCCCCTCTGCTCTCATCGATAGCCCTCCACAGCTCCACCCCTAGCAGCTTCAAAACTTCGCTCGACGGCCACTCACCATGCAGATCAAACCCATCTCGTTCTCCCTCGCCGCCCTTCTCGCACCCGCCGCCCTCGGCGCAACCACGTCCACCTCCGTCTCCGTCTCCTACGACCCGGCGTACGACAACGGCCCTGCATCCCTTTCGACCGTTTCCTGCTCGGATGGCTCGCACGGTCTGCTCACCAAGGGCTACACCACCTTCGACTCCCTGCCGTCCTTCCCGAACATCGGCGGGACGAGCGCCGTGCCCGGGTGGAACAGTGATCAGTGCGGGACGTGCTGGTCGCTGGCGTACAACGGGACGACTATCCACGTCCTCGCGGTGGACTCGACGGAGAACGGGTGGAACGTCGCGCTGCAGGCGATGAATACCCTTACTGGCGGACAGGCGCAGCAGCTTGGGAGGGTCGACGCGGTCGCGACGCTCGTGAACAGCTCCCTGTGCGGGCTGTAGAGTGAGTTCTTTTGCGTTGCGCATGGCGTAGATAATCACCTGATGACAGACTCGCAATAGGCGTGTGTATTCGTGGCGGGAACGAACGAGATGGACCATCAGACACGATCATGGTTTTTGCATGTTGTCGGCTTTACTCGCGGAATCAATGTATCTGATACTGATATTTTGTTTTTGTCATCGATCCTTGAGCTCGATTTCGGACGATGCGCCAAGTTGAGTCTGGCTGACAGGAACCTCGTAGTCAGCCTCGGTCAGTCCCCATGGATATGTCCGCTGGTGGGGCATTGCCCAACCTCCATGCATCGTCCCGCTCTGCCACCATGCGCACAGACATGGCTCTCCTCATCGCATCTACCCTCTCCATCGGAGGAGCGCAGGCCGGGCCGCGCTACCTGGCGCACGGCCCCGTCGTCACCCGACGCAACGTCTCGGTCTCGTACGACACCAAGTACGACCACAGCTCGACCCCGCTCTCCACCGTCGCCTGTTCCGACGGGTCGTACGGGATGACGACCAAAGGCTACACGACGTTCTCCTCGCTGCCGTCGTTCCCGTACATCGGCGGCGCGGACATCATCGACGGGTACGACAGCGACCGCTGCGGCGAGTGCTGGCGGCTGGCGTTCAACACGTCCACCGGGACGAACAGTATCAACGTCACTGTTATCGACCAGACGGATAGTGGGTGGAACATTGCGCTGCGCGCGATGAACGATCTGACGGGTGGGCATGGGAAGAAGCTGGGACGGGTCGAGGCTGTGGCGACGTTGGTGGACCGGTCGGACTGCGGGATGTAACGCGAGCCGCTCAGGTCTGAATCAGGCCATCCGAAAACGTCCCTCTACCGGGCATGCATATGTTTGTCTCGATGGACCCGTGATCTGTAACCGTGGCGCCGGTCGTAAGCATGGTTCCATTCAGAGTGTCGGTTGCTACCACGTCGGGGTCCTCGCGTCCTTCAGTTTGATGGAGGAATTTTTTTGACCATTCTGCACGAGTGCTCTTGGTAGGCAAAGCGGAGATCGATACCCTGTCCCAACCCTACCAACGTGATGAAACAAAGCACCCGAAGGGAACGAAACCTTGCGAAGCGGCCCGGGCCAGACATACGGTTTCAGGCGGTTTAGGCCAGTGCGACCGACTTTCGGTGCAGCTGCCCAGCAGGCGATGGTAAGTCTTCTGCGATCTGCTCACTCATTGTAGGACCTTGGTGAGCGTAACTCACAACGAACAAAGGACAGGCATATTCGTACTCCCTTGCTCAGGCTGAGGCATGCTTCTCTCGTCTACCATCGTCTGCTCTGAGACAGGAACCTTGGTACGCTCTCATACCCTGCGCAAATGAATTGAACCAGCGTCCCGTGGCTCAATGTTTTGGCACCTGTTTGGCTTCCATGCGAATGCTCGGGACACTTCTTGTTGCCCCTTCCGATACTGGGATCCGTGTGAACATCTGTTCATCTCAAAGAACACTGTTGTCGAATGCGGTTTTGATAGTTGTCAGCGTTTTGAAGCGGGCTGATACGGGGATAAAATAGGTCTACGTCCATGGGCTGCTTCTCCCTCAGGATCCCAGTTCCGTCTTCGCCTGGAGCACACCTGAGGCCGCGTACCAGGATGTCAAACAGTACAGACACTCAGGCGGCCATTGTGGCGGCAAGGTGTGCTACGGCCTTTGTTGTATCATAGATAACTGACTCAAACCTATATCTCAGTGCAAGTCGTCGATTCAACGCCAGCTGCCTTTATGCTACCTCAAGTATGTTTCTCTTGGAAGCGATTGATGATACCTCAATGTCCACTTATAATCCACAAAACTGTCCAGCGCTGTTCTTCTACGACTACGTCTTGACTTTCTGGAGTGAGGGCGCACTGTTCTGGAAGCCATGCCGAGTCAACGCCGCCACAGTCTTGTTCCTGCTCAACCGTTACATTCCTCTCGCATATCAGATACTCAACATACTCCCTGACCCTCGGTCATTCAAGGTATGTCACTATAAGCGGCTGTGAAGTTGCTGAATTGATGCTCGCAATTTGCCAGAGGTACGTCTACTTCAGCACGGTCCAGATCATCCTCGTCAATATGGAGTGAATGCTGACGTAGTATTCTAGCGTTGTTGCATGTTATGATACATGGTGGATCGTCGAAGCCTTGCAGTATCTTCCTTGGTCCGGTACGTGGATTGCGCCAAGTTTGCTTCATAGACATCACGCCTGAGACATTACCTCGCCTCCAGCACTATCAGCACTCAGAGTGTATGCGTTGTGCCAAGGATCCCACAAATCATTTATGTCGGCAATAGTCTTCGCACTTTCCTCTGGTCCGTTTATTTTGGACATAATTGTGAGTACTCGAAGTGTGATTTGATATTAGTGATCTTGTACCTGACAGACTTATCTTCTGCCCAGGTGGTGCTCAAATATATATCCTACGTTCCCGATGAGGAAGACATAACAATCCATATATCATATTCACCGAGCATGGATCTGGTGTGAGTACACTCGATACTGCTTCACAGCGGTGTCTCCGTGATGGTGCGTCGCGCTGTTCAGTATCTGATGTCCCTCTCAGAGATAATAATGGAGTCATGGACTCAATAGGGACAATCTACTTTGTGTAAACAAATATGAGCTGTCCATCCAGCTTCTGTCTATGCTGATGACAGTCTGATGTTGACAGTACACTGCTCATCCTAAACGTGCTCCATGTGATATTCACTCTGGCTTCTGTGAGTAGGCAGTGAGGCGGTAGCTTCCAGATCTAATGTTGAACAGGTTGCTGAGGATAGTTTATGGTCAGCAAGCACACTGGTTCAATTCTCGGAGTCGTATGTTCTCGCTTGATCGGAGTGACTAAACTCCATTGATAAGTCTTGCTCAGGTTGACTGCTATCCTCACGTGGAGATTACTCATCAACCTCCAGGAAGTCAAACAGAGCTTGGGACTCCCTTCGCGTTCGGTGACGCGAGTGTCCAACGTTGAATTCCAGCCTCATACACTGGCAGAAGAGAATGCCGACACTTTCATTGGGTCTTTAGGTGCCGAGCTTTCATTCCCTGGAGATGGAACTGAAGATGGGGACATATAAGAGTCTTAGGGGGGCAATGGTGAAGCATTGTATTTATACTTGTACTACGCTTTGGTGGTGATAATTTATTTCAAGTTGTATGATCTCGGATCGGTCGATAGAGCAGCGGAGCGTTCAGCTCACTTGTGTATTCATTGCATCAACCTCAAAGATACCTGTTTGCCTTGCTTGTACTGGCTATACGTTGGTTGTTCCTCATCTGTGTGGCTGACTTCGCCTTTGGCGACGTCCTGGGCCGCGTCCGCAAGTGGATGATGTAGGCGTTGACTGCGGGGCGCCAGTCCGATAGAGGCGCTAAGCATCGGACCGGCAAGGCTCCGAGTCCTTCCGCCAGTTTGCTGGCCAATGCTTGATGATCTGGAACGTCGGAATGCGCTCAACGCTACGAGTCCAGGCGTAGGTGGCCTTCCGTTTGAAGGGATTGCTTCATATATTCAGCAAGTGTGTCGTGATACCCGAACATCTCGACTCATTAGTTGACCGGCTTGACGAGTCAGATGCCTGCGCTTCATCTGCGAGGCGTGCACTCCTTTATGCATGGCCCATGATGGGAGCAGGAGAGCCTTTTGTCCACCCAATCCGGCCCGCTTAGTTGCATGTTTGCTCGTCAATAAATACGGCGTATCCTCACGCGCAGTTGCGGCCACGCTCGCTTCCCAACTTGATCAGCACCTCCATTCACGACGTATCGTTCCGCACCTGAACACTCGCATCGTTTTTTCTATACAATAAGCTGAGCACGAAAATGGAAGACTCACTCCCTGGCAAGGCTGTTACGGACATAGACTTCTCGAGTTTCCTCGATGCTTTCTGGCCTCAACCACCGCCTAATTCGCAACACTATCGACTCAAGCCCGATGAATGGGCTCCACCAGAACTCAAGCAAGCACTACAGAATTTGGCGGGTCCAGAGGATTCAACTGCCGGTGCATGTATTCTGGTGCGCACCAATGCTCTCCTCCGATGCTGATAGCCGTTGACCTCCTCGTAACCACCGGGTACCACAGGCAGAGATAATGCAGAAGTTCCAGCTCTTTCCGGGATATAAGTTATCCCTGGGATCGTCGAGGCCTGAATCCTCCAAGCTTTGGGGTCGTACGGAGTCGCTCGATGACTCCCGACCCAGTTGGAGCAGACCTCAGGTACTCTTCCGGTTCTGCGACAGGAACCCGTTCCCAAGTTCTCTGTTCGGCTGGCATGCCACAAAACGTACGGAGCTTGTTCACGATATCCTCACCGAGGTCCTGCAACATTTCAACAATCAGCGGCTCACCGCGCTCTACATCGTCTTCGTGGTGGACTGTTCTTTCCTCAGCGTCAGCCGTTGGGACCGATCGGGTATCGTCGCTAGTGAGTGGTTGGACTGGGTGGAGTCCCCCGAGTTGCTCGTAGAAGTGTTCTGGCGTGTGTCAATGCTCACGGACGAGCAGCTCGGGCTCGACATGACTGCCGCGCCGGTCCTTCCGGGTTCTACCGACTCCGAGCTCCTAGACCGGCTTGCTCAACCGTGTCCTGACGACTACGACGTGAAGGACGGAACGATCGTCTCAGAGGCTGCCGCGTCGGATCCAGCCGCCACATTCAAGGTCGTCAGAGACCAATATGCATCCACTCTCACCGCTGGAACAACTCAGGGCGAGAGCATGGCCAACGCGCGCTGGAGGCTCTCCATTCCATTTGATGGTGGGGAGACGCACGACTTCCTCGTGGGGGCGCCCTTCTGCTCCAGTTCCGCCTCCATGTTTGACTGGCGGAACGCTTGCAGCTATATCGCGGTGGAATGTCGCACCGAGCAGTTCGTGTACCTCAAGGATAACTGGCGGGGCCGGGGTGTGGGGGACAACGAAGAGTCTGAAGGTGCCATCCTCGCGAAGCTGAACGCCGCCGGCGTTTCCCACGTCCCGACGGTGATCTGCTATGCTGACTTGCAGGAGACGGTTACGCACAAGTACGCTCGCTCCCAAGGCTATGGATATGACGGAGTTCAACGACAGCATTTCAGGATGGCCATCCGTGAGATCTGTCTCCATTTCAAACTTTTCACCGCCGGCCGTCAATTCGTGTCATTAATGAAAGACTGCATTACGGGTAAGTGCTACTCATACCTTCTGCCCTCAACCTTTTGCGCTCATGCACGCAATTCTTGTCCGGTTTAGCCCACACAGGGGCCGTGAAAGCCCTGCAACTGGTCCATGGCGATCTAGGGCCCTACAACATCTTGATCCACCCCAAGGTAGACACGACCGACTCCTCAAGACCCACAGTGAAGTGGGAAGGCATGCTGATTGACTGGGAATGCTACAAATGGCTCGCCGCTGCTGAAATGAACAAGCCTCATACGGCAAGGGTAAGTCCTAGCGCCCCCCACCCAGCTCAAGACCGAATGAATCTGTCACTGATACGCTTTCCCTACCTAGGCCACACCACGGTTCATCTCTATGGCTTCCGTCGCTCACTACAACAGCGGAATTACGATACCAGACGAGCTTGAGTCCTTCCTGTACCTATTCCTCTGGTACGGCGTCCGCTTTTTCCACAGCAACGGCGAGGATGTGCGGTGCGCACGTACCTGCACAAGTTCTTCGAGGCCGACCGGGGACCATTCGGGATGGTGATCTCAGTCTGGAAGAGTCTCATGCTGCACCGCAATGAACTGCTGCTGCTTGACGGCAACGAGTTGCACTTTTACGGGGGCCGCGCGGGCGATTCGGAGGACTCGGAGTGGCTGGCGACCCCCCTCAACTCCATGATGAAGGAGTTCTTGTCGTGGTTGCACGCCAGATACGCAGACATCCACCTCGGGCCGTTCTCCTTCATACATGCTGACGAGCGGCACGCTGCGTTGAAGCGAGCGCACAAGGCCATCCTGAAGGAGAAACGCGAGACACTTGCAATGAAGCTAGAGAACCACGACGCGATCCTCGAGCTGCTTGAGAGAAAGCTGAACGAAGAATGGGTAGAGAACGACCGCGCTGGCGATCGGTGGCAGCTCACGCAGCCGCTTGTGCCGAGCGGCAGTGAAGCAAAGGTCGAGCCACCGGCGGAAAAAGAGCTCGAAATCGAGGCTAAGCAAAGGTCCGAGGAAGAACCGAGTAGAGTGGTCACGATCAAGAGGCCTTCCTCTAGACAGGTCTCGAGGGACAACGCCATGGCGAAGCCACATAGCTGTACTGCGACTGAGGCAAAGAAGAAGGTGAATCAAATGGCAACACGGCATTCTCCGCAGCGAGCGGCCCTCGGAGATCGAAGAGCAGTCTGCGGAGGTAGAGGAGCGGCCTGCTAAGCGTCGGCGTCTCTGCTAGATAGAAAGTAGACATCGAGCTTGCATTGTTGTACAAAAAGCATAGTATTCGTGAGTGTCGAAGCGCGAGTGTAGAACTACATTAAATCGTGAAAACAGATCAACTCGTGAGTGGCTCGTGAAATAAATGGTGAGTCAATACGACATGACGAGGCTGATGTCAGTGCTTGGACCGCATACTCATCGTCCTCATCGTGGGGACTAGCAAAAGCACAATCAGTCAGCCTACCGTCCATGGTAATATAGGCGACATGCGAGACGTACACATCATCAATCCCTTGATGTCCTTGACACGAGACTGTTCGATGCTCTTCCTCATCAAGACGACACGGATACTGGACCAAACAAGCAGGAGCACGCCGAATGCAACGGGGATCAGCCAGTAAAGCGGCGACAAGTGGAATGAACCGCCGAAGACCACGTGCAAGGGGGGAGTGTAGATGATGAACATGCCCAGACAAGCTCCGGCGACGATACCAGCGAAGTTGTACGGGTTTCCGACAATAGCCTTGCCGAAAGGGAAGCGTAATTTAGCCTTTACAGCGAATACCTGCAAGGAAGAAAACAGGGCTGAGCGTGAGCCTGCACCGCCAAATCGTGCTACCCACGTTGAAGCACTGGATGATGAAGATCGAAAGGTATACTACAATGTATCGGGAGGCGTGAGTTCCGGATTACTTGGATATGTATATTTCTCACCGATTGACTGAGCCTGTGCGAGAGCGTCGACTTGTTTTGAAGGGGATATGGTTTGACCGCGGCTGTTGACGAACTCCGGAGACGTTTTGGTGAAGTAAGCTGAATACGCGTCGCGTCAATTACTGTGGTTCTTCAAGAGGAAAGCAAAGGACACACTAATCGACGGGGAGGCGTTGAGAGCGGTCTGCGCCCGCCGAAGATCTCCCGGAGTGAAGCCGTTCTTGAAGAAGACAACGAAGTACGCTGCCAATCTGCAAATACATGCGATGGGAAGTTGACCAGGTACGTCCAAAACCTCAGAATAACTACGAAACTTACGCTCCCGCGAACTCGATCATGCCGGCTTCCAGGTACGCGTAGCTTAGAAGCTTCGTGTCGACAAGCGTCTCGTCGTCGGTTCGCTCAAGTGCTTCCTCCCAGAACTGGCGGGTGAATGGAGCCTTTACGCTGGCCATGACCTGAGAGAACTTGCTGGGGCGGATAATCTCCTGTGTCTCAGGGTCGCGGCGGAGGGTCTTGGTACGCCGCAGGGCACGCTTCTTCAGCGATGTGACGGAACGGTCGTTCACAGGTTTGCGAGGAGCCATGCGCATGAGACCATCCTGGGTCTCCGGCTTGTCCCAAGCGAAGGAGAGCTGGTCAAAAACGTTAGATGGGTCTATTGACCACCTATCTCCGCGACGAATGGCATACCGCAACGAAGAGCTCGAAGCCAAGATCTGCAGCGCTTGCATGAGCCATCAGTTGGATATGAAGACGAGACACATACCGATGACGAGGATGAGGATGGCAGACAGCGGAAGTGGGATTGGGACAACGACATCTGTATGGGGGAGGTCAGAGATGACGTTCTCACCGCGCAAAGATAGACGCACAAAGCAGCTGCGGGATGACTTCTGGAGTGCTGTGCGAAATCGTGTACTGGATAGAGCGCTTCAAGTTGACGAAGATCTGACGACCCTCCATGACACCCTCTGTGAATGAGGGGTTCAAGACAGTCTCTAGACAAGGGTGGAAGTTACACGTACTGACTGTTGAAGCGAAATTGTCATCTAGACAGAATGAATGTATCAGTCTTGAATATCTCGAATTCGGCAGAAGGCATACCGAGAAGTATCATGTTCGCAGCCTCCTTCGAGACATCCGATCCAGAGATGTTCATGGCAATACCAAGGTCCGCCTTCTTGAGAGCAGGGGAGTCGTTGACACCGTCTCCAGTACTGCACATCAGGTTAGTTGATTGGTGTCACGCATCACTCGCACATAATACCCACACTCCGACAATGTGGCCCAATGCCTGAGCACGCTTGACTTCAAAAGAAGTCAACAACAAGTCGTGAAGAGGCAAGTGGGGGCTGCGTACCGATCTCAAGTTTATGCTGGGGCGAAGTACGAGCGAATACAATCTCGCCCTTGGCGAAGACTAGCGAGAGCCAATTTGAGTGCCCTCTTCTATACGGTTCACGAGGGAGCACGTACTCTGATCCCACTGCCAACCTTGCAGACCGTCGATATCGTCACCGTGAATGACAACCGCGTCGACCTCGTCTTCATAAATCTCCTCAACCGGCCGGCCAGTCTTCTTGCTCAGAGTATCTTTCGTTTCCCCGAGGATGAGGTTGATCTTGCGGGCGATGGCCTCCGCAGTCTTCGGATGATCACCGGTGACCATCATGACTTTGATGCCAGCAAGACGGAGGGTACCGATGGCCTCGCGGACACCGTGCTTGGGTGGGTCTTCGAGCGAGATGAGGCCACAGAAGGTGTATTCTGTACTGGGGTAGTTGCCGTCGTTCTTGGAAAACTCGTGGTCGTGGTCGTACACATCGCCAGGGAGCAGCTTCTGGGCGCAAGCGATGACGCGGTGGCCACGCGACGCCATGTACTACGCATCGGAACATTCAAGTTAACCTGAGTCGGCCTATAGGACGGAGAGAACGTACGTCATATGCCTCGTTGTAAGCAGTGTGAAAGTCGTCGGTGATCGGAATCTCCTCGCCATCCTTCAAGTAGGTCGAACACTTGGCAAGAACACGCTCGGGAGCCCCCTTGATGAACGCCGTGAGGATCCCTGTCTTGTGAGGCTTTTCGAGCTGCGCGCATGTTTAGCATCAATATCGTCTTCACGAGCTGACGCGCGCTTACAATGACCAACGCCCACTTGTTCGACGAGTTGAACGGTATCTCAAAGACCTTGGGGTGCTGCTTCTGGTACTGGTCATAGTCCGCGATGTGCTTGCCAGCGAAGCGGATAAGACCGGTCTCGGTCGCGTCGCCGAGTATCTTGCGCTGCTCAAAGGGAATGTCTGTCTTGTCGAACTTGACGTGCGAGTTGAGGGCCGCGATGTCGACCATCTCGCGCATGCCGGGTGCCGTGATGGCGAACGTCTCGGTGGTGTTCGTGTCGTTGTTAGACTGGAATGCGGAGTACATGCGAACGCCGCTCCAGAGGTTTGTGACCGTCATCTGGTTCCTGGTCAAGGTACCAGTCTTGTCGGTAGCGAGAAGCGTGAGCTAGAAAACGATGAGTACGGTGCTGCGGTTACCAAAAGTACACGCGCTCACAGAACCTGTACTTCAGTCAGCGAGAAGCGGATGGCAGTTAGAAAAAGAGGAACTTGCCAAGAGTTTCGACGCCCTGAAGATCTTTGACCAGTACATTCTGCGCAGCCATGCGCTTTGCGGCAATGGAAAGTCTGACAGCATTCTCAGCTCATATACTCAAACTGACTTCGTCTATCAAGCACTCACAAGAGCGTGACGACGGAAGGCAGACCCTCAGGCACGAACGCGACCAAGATGGAGACAGCAAACGTGACGGTCTGTTCGCCCTTGCCCTTGTAGGCAGTTGTGATGCCGACGACGAAGAAAACAATAGCAAAGACGATGGCAATGGCCGATACCATCATAACGAAGCGGCCACTACGATATAGAATCAGCTGAACTCTAGAAACCTTAGACAGCGGAGCGCGCACATCTCGGCGGCCAGAGGACTCTTCTTGCCGGTTTCAGTTCCGGTGAGTGCGGCGATCTGACCTGCATACACCATAAGCACATGATGTACAGTAACGCTGTGGAAGCGGGCACATACCGATCATGGTGTGGTCACCGGTGCGTACAACAACTACACAGGGGCAACTGAGAACCAAGTAGATCCCTGTGAAGGAAACGAACGCGCACCTCCCCAACCCTCGCCATTAACGATAAGGGTAGAATTGAATAGCTCGAATGAAGGTCAGTCCCGGGAACAGACGGGAGCGTACCCGTGCTCACCAAGTTCTCGGCCTCGACAGGACGTTGCTGCACGCCACCTGCGCGGGCAACGCGCTCTTGGGGTTCAGACTCACCCGTGAGACTACTATTGTCAACCTTGAGGTCAGATGCAGCGAAGAGAACCAGATCTGCGGGATTCTTGTCCCCAGAGCGCTACGACAAGCCATTCAGACATCGATATGAAGCGCATCTTATACGTAAGTTGGACGCTCACCACGAGAACTACGTCGCCCTTAACCAAATCCGCTGCTGGAACCGTGATGAGGCTCCCGTCACGGACCACACGACAGGATGGCGGAATCATAGCGAGGAAAGACGCCAAGATGGCCTCTGACTTCTGAAGCTGGTAGAACTCAATGAGGGCGTTCAAAAATGCCACGCCTATCAAGATGCCACCGAGATAAGTGTTCGGGAAGTTGTCCTTGTGAGTCGTTAGATACGTTACTCGCTCCCAGCAAGGAAGTCTGCTTACCTTGAAGTCGACGCCAAGCAAAATGTACTCCAAGATTCCGGCAATAATCAACAGAATATTAAACATGGTCATCAGGCAATCGTAGTACTGCAAACGTCTTGTGAGCGACAGCATTCCATGGAGAACGTACTTCCGCACCTTCCGCAGCGCCGACTTCTTCTTTGGTGGCGTCAAGATGTTCGGCCCATCGCGAGAGAGCCGGGCCTTGGCCTCATCGCTCGTAAGACCGGGTGAAAGGCCGGGATCCTTGGCGTCAAAGGAGGTATCGAGCTCTTCCTGGAGGTCTTTGAAGGAGAGCGTGTGCTCGTGGACGTCGACGTTATCGAGCTTCCCGTCGCCGGCGGCCTGAGCCTTTTGCTGGTCGATCTCGTCGTAACCGGCATTGGCGAGCTCCTTGTCTTCCTTCGTCAGCTCACGCTTCATCTCTACGCCTTTGGGGCGCAGGCCATGGTGAGGCTTCTCTTGGATGTCCAAATCTTCATCGGGGAACACGACCGCGCGAGTGGCGATGGCGGCCTCCTCGTCCTGGCGGAACTTCTCCACGTTGTCGGAATCCATTGGGGGAAGGGAGAGAAGACGGATGATAGGGAGAAGACGGGGACTCTCATCGGAGCACCGTCTAGTGGCGATTTAAGAGCTTGGGAGAAGGGGAACAGATCTCGTAAAAGTCCGGGCGCGGCCCTTCGGTTTGGGCAGACATAGAATTTTTTGTCGCGCGGCTACGTTGCATTCTTATCGGAAGGGCACTATACGGAAGGTTCGCACATGGGTGACATGATTGGATCATGCATACCCTTTCAAATAGCGGGTGCGGGCGTAGTAGCGAACGGCCAAAAGCCCTCAGCAGCGAAGTCGAGACGTCCACCTATATTGATAGGTCACGTGACCAATTTCCGCGTCAATCTGGGTCGCGTTAAGGCAGAAGACACCTCGCTCCCCCCCTCGACCCTCCGGACTCATCCCGGAAGTGGGCGTCGCTCGCGTTATCCTCGTCGCCGCGCCAACGTTCGCGGACACAGTCTTTCCGGTGGACCCGCCTGTCAGAACGGCGATCCCCCTACGAAGCTGCGCATAAAACTCCAAGCTTTATCCACACGCTGCTCGATGATGTCGGAAGAATGATGACCGCTTCTCCGGGTAACACGGCGAGTGAAGCAGCATGAGAATCACACTGCTCGTTGTGCAAACGAGCAGCGGGCTCCCATCCACATGTCACAATGGGGTGGCAGTCGATGGCACTACTAAGGGTCCAGGACTACTCACAAGACCAGCACGCTGTTCTAGCCCCCGGAAGCTGACAGCCGGTAGATTCACAGTGGCGGCTGAGAGGCGAAATTATCGATGATAGACCGGGACATGTACCGGGACAGCGTTCTGTCGCCCAACAGTATACATTCGCCGACTTGAACCTTCGTCGTCGTGCACGGATGCAATGTTGGATAAGTGCCTGAAACGCTCGGGTCGATGGTGGGAGCCAATATCTGCGTCGGGGGGAAAGGCATGCCTTTTCAAGTAAATCTGAACTCCCAGCTGTGGGTGTCCGAACGTCTCCAGCAGACCGTAGAGCACATTTAGCCTGAGCAGTGCGCAGGGTAAGAAGAAATCGTAAACAGCGTACGAGTGGTTTGAGAACAAGAGTGGTCGACTACAATCGCCAAGACCCGGCAAGAAAGAACATGTACGTATGTATCCTCGGCAAGGCTCGGCCGACGCCACAAGGCTGGTCGAGTTGCTTGGCAGTATTGACCCCTGCTTGTCCAGTGTCCACTGCTTGTCCTTTTCATGATCGACGCTTCTATGCCATTCGGTGCTGCTCCTCACCCTGGACAAGCAAGCCGTGGTCAAACAGTACGGAGCGCAACGAGTAGCGAAACGCCCTCAGCGTGCTTCGCGCATATATAGTCGATTGTGGCACTGGCATTCCTACGTTTGAAACATCCTATGTAGCGTACGTAAATCTTCAAGTTGGACGTTCCAGCACCATGTATAGCATAGGCACACCCGCTCCTATGCGGGCAGGGTTACGCTCGCGGAACGCGAAAACATGGTCATCGTATATCGCGCGATAAACACCATTACGGCAGGCGGCATCCAGAGAGGCTAAAACGGCTGCTCGAAGTCAAACTCCCCCGCGTCTCAGACCAGCACCAACTAACGAGGCCCCCGCGCAATTGGATTTTGATGGGCTATGCCCACTGCGGGTGTGGAGCGCGTAGCACGTCTCAGCGTTCTTGCTTCAAGATCCTTTGCGTAGGCATTGGATCAATGCGGCAGCCCTGCAGCCCTCCGATGCCTTGCTGGAAATGCTAACGAGGGTTGAGTCTCGTGCGTGTCTGACCATGGGCGCTGACAGTTTCTAACACTCCTCGATCGTAATCGATGAGAGAGCTTGGCCAACCGACCAGACTTCGGGCGGCGTTTGCTCGTGACTTTGCGGAGCAGGTGGGAACTATACGTCGCCCGTAATACCAGGTACGGCGCTTCAATGCCTCCGTCGTGCTCTTCTGAGCTTCTAGGTGGACTCGAGGCAAGTCAATGACGACGCGATCACATCTAGAACGTTGATTAGTAGTACTGGGAACTCATGGCCTCCGCACGATAGTGTACTGCTGAGTACAACTGATCTGTGACTTCGTCTGCACTCCGACGCTCAGGCCCTCGGGGAGATCGCCACGGTCAAGGATCATCAGACCCACTCGAGATCTCCGAGGGAGCTTGCGATCCCACCAAGGAGCTCAGGAACAAAGGAAGGTACATTGTCACTTAGCCCGTGGCCTCCTGTAGCAGCTGAGATTAGACTTGGACTTGGCACAATTCGGGTGCGCGGACGACCAAAGTCGCGCATCGGGCTGGCGGCGACCGCAACCATACTCGAAGCGGCCAAATTGGCAGCGATCGCGGGCTTGTACGTGGCTGCTCGTAGTCACTGCCATATTATGTCAGCCGTCTCGCAAATATCGAACATGGCATGCTCATACAGGCCAGCACCTAGCCAGCACGGCGGTATCTATCTCCTCCTCCGGTCTTTCCTCGTGTCTGCACCTTCCCTTACTTGGCTGCCCCGACGACAGACAATGCATGGAATCCCAGCCAATAGTTTGGCTCCGCATCACAAATAGTAGGGTACAGCGCAGGTGCTGCCAGAGGTGTGCGGGTCAAGACTCGACCCCTTGACCCTCTCGGCTTGACCCCGGGGTCTGACTCGGGGTCTGACCCGGGTCTGACCTTTTCGAGGGGTTAACACGTGATGCACGGTCGGCCCTCGCGTAGAATAGTCGACCGCGTACTACCGGGAGCGCCGGAAGGGTGAAAGTGCCCAGCTGGCAGCTTGAGCGCAAGGCGGACTCATATGCCACATTGACGACGGGATATGCTAACTATAGATGTCGTTTGTATATATTCGCTCGTCCTGACTGCTCCTACAGACGTAGAGGTCGGATAATGCATCTATGCTAAACCTTACACCTCTCCGAGTCCTCGCTGGTTTCCCGGACAGTACTCCTCTGGGTCGGCATCCATCTCCACCATGGCAAGTCCCTCGCAACGTTCCTGAAGGCCATTGGTTTCACCCTCTCGCTTATGGATGGCCGAGACGTTGCCAGTGGGCAGTTGGAAAGAACAGTTCGTGGCCGCTACAGGCGAGCTCGCTCGAGCAGTGAGTGGCGAACGGCAGGCCGACCCGGCGGTTCACGTGCCCGGAAGCTCCGACGTTGATGTTGCCTTGGGGTCTGACCCCAAGGGGTCTGACCTGGGTCAAGGAGGGGTCTGACCCGAGTCTGACCCAGCCGAGCACATGTCTGGGTGCTGCATCGGAGGTCGTTTCCATCAGACCCCACATCACCGCAGCCCTGGGACCTCAGTGAACCCGCCCCTGAGCGCGGAGGTGCACGTACAGTCCCGCAGGTGCGATTACTGGAGCTATGGAGACCGTCGCCGATCGTTCAGTAGTGCCGGACATCGTCGGGAGGGTGGCGTAGTCCACGGGTTTCCCATATCCGGCATGTGATCTCATTTGCGATCACTCGTGTCCGAAATCATCACGAGTCGTGCAGCGGGCATCAACCCCAGGTCGGAGCTCGAGTCGCGTGCGCCGCTAAGGAATATTGGCTTGCTGAGTAGCCGCTGCTAATTCCATAATTTCCGGTGTCGCAGGCCCAGACGCAGGGAATATTCACATACGATGCGGGTGGCGAACCATGCTCGCTTCCAACGATTGCCAACGGTATGATTGGAGTTCCGTGAGATGATTCAGGCGTCTTGGAAGGCGCAACCGCCACATATCGCTGCGAGCGGTAGGTTCGCATGTATGAGGGACGACGGTATTGGCATATACCAGACGAAGACTGGTCTGATACGGCACACTAGGTTATTACATGCTCCTCGTGTTTTTCATGACGATCTGCAAGAGGGCAAGAGTATTAGTTAGTACGCGGGACATGATAGACTATAGTAATAAAGGAACACACCGTTAAGACATAGGTATCACGTGGACGTGGAGGTCAACGGTGGGCAAGTCGTAGCACTAAGCAAATAAAGATGCAGCACAGTACAGTCCATGATCAGGAGCAAGGTTCGTAGTACAACAGGAATGGTACACTGGAGCGGGGAGTAAAGAGACGGAATGAACCAGCCAAAGAAAGAAATGAGGAACTGGACAATACCAATACAAACACAGCCAGAACCGTCCTCGGTGAGGAGAGGTCGCCCTCGGAGCTCGATGACAAGTGCTATTCCACAGCTAGAAAGTCAACGCCTCCCTGAATTTCGTGCCGTTGTCGAACTTGCGCATAGAGCGGACGCTAATCGAGCCCGTGTCCTGCGAAAGCGACTGTACCGAGAAATGCCTGTCATCTCGGCGCTCAGAACCGTCCTCGAGCCCTTCATACGCGTGCTCGCCCAAGCTCGAGACAGGAGACAACGGGGTCGGTGAAGAGGAGGTGTGTGCCTGGGGGATAGGGGTTATCCGCCCTCGATCGCTATCCTCTGATGGCTGAAGGTCATGTTGGAATGCATTGCCGAGTAGAGATTCTGGCGAGGGCGCACGGAGCTCGACATCCATGGAGTCCGTCCTTGCGCCAGGCACAACGCTGTGCCGTGGATTTTCCATTGTCGACGCTGCATTCGAGGCTGATATAGGGTACTGCGACTCTGCCCGATCGCGCTCTCGCAGTTCACTGGCAGAGTAGTATGGTGCAGTGTGATCCGAGGCGTCCCATTCATCGCCATCACCGCCGGAGGCCTTGATCCAACCCTGTTGACGGCCAAACAGCCGTGCAAGACGTTCACGGATTCCAGGAGGTCCCACGGGCGCTTCGTACGTCCACTCGGCGCGGTTGCGCGCACGAGATCGGCGCATCTGCCGTTCATACGGGGTGGGCTCGTGGCTCCGGAGGAGGATGAAGATGCCGATGCATGAAAAGACGAAAATGCAGGCGAGGCTGACCACGAGGGCGATGAAGCCACCATAAGAGCCGCCTATTTCCGGCTTACTCGACTCGACGTTCTCGCTCTTCGTGGGACGACCAGGTAGATGTATGGATCAGCTGCCAACGCTTGAGTCTTCAGAACGCAGTCGGACTTACGAGGGAAAGCGGGGAGGGCGCGGGTGAGGACGAGTCCCTCGCCACCAGAAATCGCATGTTCCGTCACTACGGTGTAACGTCCGAACCCAAAGCTGGTTGATGGAGCAATGAAACAGGGTGTAAAGTCGGTCAAGAGGCAGGCAGAAATGTCATGAAGAGCGGCAGCCGAGAGCAAACTTTGACAGCCTGCGTTTAGGGCTGGACGTCGCGGTCCATCGACGTCAGGGGACTCGGAGACGGCGTGCCACGCCGCGCACCGTGAGCCTGGGAGTGGGGCTTTCCATATCGGGGTTATCGCAGCATCCAGCAATATGAATAACAATTTCCCAGGCCTCGAGGCAAAGGATGAGTCTGCGGCCCACAAAGCTCTTGGGGAAGCGCAACGATGGGCACTTCACCTTCTACTGAGAGGTTTGAAGGGTGTACATGCGGGAGAGCCTTGGCCTCCGAGACACGGGCATTTCCGCCTAGCCCAAGACTGACTGATTAATATTACGTGATGCTCTCACGCATCGACGTCGAGCAAGACGAACATGGGAATCCGAAGCCTCCAGCTCGTCCACCATGACCCATGCTGTAGGTCCATGTATTGCCATCCTTGCATGTTGCCAATACGGGCAGGTAAGTTCACATCTTTCTTGTTTTCGCAGCGAATCAATCAAACCACGCAACTGTCATTTTAGGGGTATCGTCGGCGCACCGCGCGCAATGGCCACGTCACAGGGCGGGCCTGAAAGTACCAACAAGGTACAAGAGGGAAGAAGACGCACGAAAAACGAGACATCGAAACAGGAGGGAGAAGGGAAGAGTATAGATACAGCGAAGAGACGTGAGTCCGCAGAGCCCAAACTCAATATGCTACATATTCATCGAAGGCATCCGACACGCATCGACGTAGCGAGACGCAGACTATCGAACGCCATTCGGATACTGGTCGTAAGAGAATGCACGAAGAAGAGCACTAGCCCAGAAAGGCGACTACTAGCGGCAGGTGCGTAAGGGTTCATTCCGTCCTATGTACGGCGTCATAAAAGCGACTATCACGCGATACCACGACGGTCTCGAGCTTAGCTGTACTCCACGAAGTTGGTAAAGGAATGCAAATAAGGGTTTCCAACCTCGTCTGGTGTCACGTAGACCTCATGGGGCGCGTAGATGCCGTACTGCCGCAGTCCTATATTGTACGACTCGAAATCGGCTGCCGTGGCTGCCGTGTCGAGTCCGTAAAGGGGTGACATGAAACCGCCCGACGAAGGCAGACCGAGAGCACCAGGGAAGCCGTCGTAGGGGTGCCTCGTGATCGTGGAGGTAGCGAGGTCGTTCGCCGGGGAGGCAGACAAATGGAAAGATGCGTCACGGGGCGTCCTATCCAGCTCCGCGTCGAGCGTAGGGAGAGCAAGCAGGTCACCTCTCAGCGGCAGGTATGGAGCCGATGGATCCATCGAGTCGTTGAACCCATACTCCGTGGCGGACAGGAAAGGGGGCGAGGGTGCCGGGAAGTGCGAAGGATCCGGCATGGTTTTGGGCAACTCAGGTGGCCGCGCGGTTCCCTGATCCGTGGATGGAACTATTCGAGACGTCACCAAGTCATCTCTGGTCCAACCGGACAGAGAGGACGTGATGACGGTCAGCGGCGAGGGAACCGTCGACGTCGTCTCAGAGTGCCTCCTGCGCTCCATGAGAGGAGCAGAAGGCAGAGGTGTGTAGGATGAGCTTTGGAACGGCTGCACCTGAGGGTCCGGCATCTGGGGCTACCCAACGTTGAGTCTGGTTACTAACGCGGAGACATATTGCACTTACAGGTATGCCGCCTTGGTTGGGTGACGACCAGTAGTCAGGAGACGCGTCGCCGAAGTATGCCAATGGCGAAGAAGCCGAGGAATCAAAGGATTGGCTGCTAAAGTCGTCCGATGACTCCGTATAGCTATGGTCGTACACGAGGTAGTCCATGGGAGCATAATCGAAGACGCCCTCGGGATAAGAGTACCCCTTGCGGAAGAAACCAGGACGTTCGAGGATAGAAGACGTCGGTTCCACATCGGTCTCCGACAGCAGAGCGTTGTTGCCTCCAGGCGGGATCGGGATCGGGCACGCGACCTGTGGCTCTGGCATCGCAATCGACGCCGACCGGCTGCGCGACCCACGTTCAAAGTGCAGCGAGAACTCCTGGTCGGCGGGAGTGTTCGGCGGCTCAGGGGAAGCCGAAGAGGCGACGCTGATAGGCGTAGGACACTGGGCAGCCCGACCGCGCTTGGTCGTCAACCTGCTACGACGAGTGGTCTTCTTTCGGACGAACGCCTCCACCTGCTCGCGACGGGAGAGAAGTGCGGGGTGCCTGCGGTGATCGCTCCGGGTCTTCTTATTGGGTTTGTAGACATAGTTGGGGTTGCGTCGCATATGCTCCGCCGCCCCTTCCTTCGCGGCGTCGTACCAGGGTCTCTTCTCCTGGGGGGTCAGCGAGCGCCATGCTGCGGAGGCTCGTTTGGAGAGCGTCAGCTTCTCCGGCAACTGGACCTCCTCTCCCTTATGCTTCTCCGCGTAAGTACGGCGGAAGAGGATGAAGGCGTTAGGTGGGCGTGGGGCCCAGTTGGGGTCTCGACTGAGCTTCAGCTTGTAGCGGCGGAGGGACGTAGGGTTGTGATAGGGTGATATGTCTGAGCAATCCCCTTCGGCGCTAGATTCTGCACTCTCTCGTGGATGAGAGTCCAGCGAGGGGCTTCGGGGCGTAGAGTTCCGGATGGCGCGAGGCGTGCTTGAGAATGATGCGGCGCTAAGATCATGGTGTGAGGTAGAGCAGCGTGTAGAGTCGGAGATAGTAGTGTAGTGTACGTCGCAATCATCGTCTATAGGAGTCCATCCGCAAATACCTCCAGTGTGAACGGCCGGCGCAGCCATGGCGAAGTCTGAGCAGGAGCGGGATTGGGAAGGAGAGCGTCGCGGGATCGAGACCGATACTCCATGATCTTTAATACGGAAGGGATCCCCTTTCGCGAGATCGCGCGGACGATGGAAGTCTGAGTTCTACACGAATCCCAGTTCTCTCCGACAGACACGCCGCACCTTTGTTCGCTGAACCTGTCGGGTCCGAGCCCGCACGGCGCCCGCGGACGTCGTAGACCGCGTTACCAGCCAAATCGTGCAATCGAAGATCGCCGATCGAGGTCCAACAAAAGGAAGTCGATGTGCGATCTGGATGCTCACCGGTTACTCCATTACGCTCCCCCGGCCATGAGGCTACCAGCCTCCCTTTGCACTCAGCAGCGAGCTCAGACCTCTCTCCGCCCCTCCGGAGACATGCTTTGAATGTAAGCGATTGTCCCGCGCTCTTCCGCATTTCACCAGTATCGAGGCTCCTCACAGCTCAGCAAGCCCATCAATACTACCAGCCGCTGCAATGACAGTGGATGGAGCTGATCAACTCGTCGACAATGTCTTCGCACCTCGTGCAAGCCAGAGGTGGTCAGATCAGAACGCGAGTGGCACGCCCCACATCACCGCACTTGGTCGTGCCGTCGGCGTTCGTGGAGTTTGGTTGGTACATTGGCGCATATCCACTGGTCGTCGTGAAATGTGCCACTGACTGCCCGACCACACACACGGCACGAGGATTGCGTAGACTGTGCCCGATGCTGCACGGAGAGCGTTATAATCTCCGATTGCCTGAATAGGCCACCCCTCTACTCAACACCCCGCTTCCACTGGGCGCTCACAAGAGAACTTCCCAGACGCCCCATCATCGGAGTAGCTGCCGGTTACTTCTTGGGGGTTAATGCCATCTATCACCTCTATTCACGAGACTTCATTTGCGCTTGCATGACCAGACAGCGGAGATCAATATTTGTGCGGAGTTCCCGTCATTGCGGAGAACTTCTCGCCCAATAGGAGGAGGGGTGCCCGTCCGCCGCGGCTAGACTTGCCCAAAATCAGGCTGGCTGATCACTGGACGCCTTCCGCCTCGCTCACCGACAGAAATTTGCGGAGCTCGCACCTTGAGCCGCTGTTTTCGATGGGGGTTCCACGCACTCGCATGTAGCCACTTATGAGAGCCTATAGTGCGCTGGAATAGTAGAAGTGTCTCTTGGCATGCACCCTAAGGAGCGAATCATAAGAGGCATCATTGAGAGCCCCTATAAATTCGATCAGGGAGCCTCGCCTCCCATGCGTGGGCGCCCAGCTCGCAAAAGCTTTCACGGGAGGGCTATCGCGTAAGCTTACTTACTGAAAGGGGTCTCGACCCCAGTTATCTCGATTCGGCACCAAAAGTCTGATACGGTGGCCAGCTGGAAAGGACTGGAAAGGGCAACTGGTCCTCCTCCAATCGGAAGTTCAGGCGGAGGAAGACCTCCCGCGCGTGTTATGTATCATCAGCGAGTGGCACAAGATGGCATCAGGAGGGTGCGAGTGAAGAGACTCACCACGTATGTGTCGTCACTTAGATCCAGCAGATAGGGGGTTCCAACCCCAAATGGCGACTGGTGGAATGCACGAGGAAACGAAGGTCCTTGTAAGATCATGCGCCCAACTTGAAATCAAGTCAGCTGTTGAGAAAGAAACATAGCTTCACGATTCCTTCTGAGTCGCCTCCAGCACAGTGTTGTGCGGTGCAGAAACTGGCATTCCGTTGTGTGGAGGCTCATCTCTTAGCAAGGGTCCTATACGTAATCAGCTCTCCCGCACATTGCTACCGCGAAGCATACTTACCGGAGCTGAGTGCACTGCGATCAGGACGGTAGTTCTCGCTTACGTTGGTTCTGGGCTGAATACAGACTTATCTGGAAGGGGCGGACCTGATCAGTACCTCGCTACCTCCGATGTCCGTGGCAACGCAATCAGTGATGTCCAATGCTGGGAGGACAGTATCCTGCGACATGGAGACTAACTTAGGGCGGCGGCGACTAAATTGTTGTGTGCTATACCATACGTAACCGGGATGGAGGTTTGCGTGCGAGTGGGAAGACGTAGAAGGATGTATGCTTATGTACGTACACCTATATGCACGGTAAGTGATCCGCGCTAGGCCTCCGCTACACGCAGCGGAGGAACTGCGAGACATTGTCTGATTGCCACGGGATCCCCCATGGTTCCAGTCCCAAGCCTAGTGCGGAGCTGAGAGCGGCGGAGTTCGCTATGTGCAAGGTTCTGACAGTACAGTCTCGAAGACAGTCGAATGCATGGGAATACCGTGGAGGAGTACGATTGGAGTTGGGGGAGACTATTGGCGGGGACAAAATGCATCTCGAGCAAGCGGATCAAGAAAGGAAGGTGAGCTAGACGAATCGCCAACATAGTACGTACCACCGTCGGAGCACTCAGTTCTCCTGATTTGGGAATAAAAACATCCAGCCCGCATGCAACAAGCACAGCATACGTTGTTTCGCATAGAGCCAGAACCCCTCCCCATGCCACCCAAGCTTGATGACAATCCCACGGACAGTGACACACCGCGACAGTATTTGCTATCAGACTGTCCTTCAACCTGGTGTTCAGACAGACAAGCGCATGAGCTCTAAGGTTGCTTCGACAACGTCTCGGCGTACCCGTAAAGTCATCCCGGGTTCAAGTGGACCCGGGCAGCCCTGCGAGACGCAGGACGAGACCGTTCGGCTGCAGGCGAGCGGTGGTCGTAACGCTATGTCCGAGTGGACCTGGGTGGCCGGTCCGCACGCCACCTGCACAGTTGATCGTAGAGATTGATAGTAGATAGATGACGTTCGTATTCAGAATTGGAAGAATATCGACTGTGTAAACGCCGCCTTGAATCTGGCGGCGTGCGAGGAGAATACCATGAGCGGCTCCTTCCACATGAAGTACAGACCGGTCGCCACAGGGAGCACGCCTGCGAGAGCGCCAACGATGCGCTGTTTTCGGCTCTGGGGCAGGGCCCCAAGGGACGGGCGCAGCCAGGTATTCCAGATGATTGCCATCCCTTCGGCGGCGTGCCACGCAACAACGGCGGTAAGGCCGATGTAGCCTAAGAAACTCCGCACGGGCCATTCGTGGAGGGCGTACTTGACGTACTCGTAATCAAGTTCTGATGGGCCCACGGAGAGGATAGGAGGGGATGGATCCGAGGGAGCGATTCGGTGGGCGAAGAAATGAAGGGCTACGACGACGACAGCTGTGTACCCCGTGATACTCAGAATACTGGTGAGACGGCGAGCTGGTCTGGGTGCAAGGACACGCTTCAGGAGGGCAGATAGGGGATGTATGACAAGAGGGGCGAGCACGAGGTATTTCTCCCCCCAAGGCGTTTGATAGTACTCCCGCCCGAGTAACTTTATTGTCCGATTCAGATGTGGGGAAACGGCTTTCTCCGCGTGCAACAACACTCACCATAACCTGTGAAGCCAGCGAAGTTCCCCCAAGATTCGCCATCACTGGCGCGGTGAGATGTATGAGAGCGAACGTCGTTATGAAGGGTGCCGACCCATGGGCAATGCGCGTCAAGGCTGGTTGAGTAGCCGTCGCGAGTCGCCGGAGGAACGACCTGTCTTGAGTAGGGGCTGCGTCGGCCATGTTGTTGGATGTAGTCTGTCTGCCAGCGACGAGATGTTGTATATAAACCTAATTAATCCAGTACGAGAGTGTGCGCAGCGCAAGCCGAGTGATTGCGTTGTGTGAGAAACCGGAAATGGGTCATCGACTGCCGCTTCCCGATCCGGCAACTGCCAATTTGCGCGCGTGCACTGGCAGTCCTCGTCTTCAGCCACCGCCAGCTCCATGAGCTCCTCTCCCGCATCCTCCTCTCCCGCGCCGGAGATCGTCACTTCGAAGACAAAAACCTCCATAGACAAGTCCAAGAAGGTCAAGGTAGCGCACCCTCAAGCGGAGACAGAGAAGAATGGCCCAAACGAGGGCGAGGACGCCAACTTGGCGTACAAGCCTCCAGACGGCTATGTGCTCATCAAGCACAGTACCGAGGAGACTGAGTTTGACTGGGATGTCATCAACAACGATGTTAACCTAGAGTTGTGGGTGGTCCGGGTGCCCGATGGTGTGAGTACTTCCGCTTCAGTTCTGCTTCACTATACGCTGAGCGACGCTTTGGTACAAGCTCAAAGCCAAGCATCTTGAGAACGTCAAGATAAACCTGCCATCTTCCTCAACCACCACGCGATTAGGCACCATTGACCGGAAGAGTACAGCGTACGATGTCTGGGGCCTGGGAGATGATGAGGCGGATGCCGTCGGCGGGGACGAGCTGCGGGCAGTTTCATGTCTACTGCCAAGACGTAAAAAGGGCGGGAAGCTGTACCAAGGTGCTATTGCAAGATTAACACCTCCCTTACGATATCTGACGCGTTATGTCGCTTGATCCAGCTCCACATCCTATCTCTCGCCGCCTCGTAATTTCCGCTCGTCCATCACTACCAACACCTCCCGCTTCTTCACCCGAGTCTTCACCCGTCGTGCACCAAAATCCGCCTCGGCACAGACATTCCCCAGAGCTGCTGAAACATCGATTCGCTCCGCTAGGCTCCCTTGCCCCGGCAAACGATTCGGCGGCGCCCGCTCCAGAGGCCCCGACAGCCAAGTCGTCAAAGTTGCAGAGGACGGACGTAGTGGAGGGAAGCAAAAAGAAGCGGAAGGTAGACATAGAGTCGCCGAAGAAGACGAAGAAGGCGAAGAAGGCGTCCTAGCGTGCATTTGATTGCCTAAGCTGCCTCCTGTTGTCTCGTCCATTCCTCTATGGAAGCACCCGCTAGTTTGCAATCGGCCATCCACCATGGCTGCACCAAGTATTCTTGCCCGTCTTCCTTCCAGACGACATTCGCAAACATCACACGTGATCTTGTCCGCAAACCCAGAACACGACGCATAAGTGATGTACATGCATGCAGTGCTACGAGCACCAACAGACTAACGGCGACGGCGACGGACGGACACAGCGTCAGGCGAGCATAACCAGCGAACATTATAGGACGGAAGAGTGTGTGCGAGTGTAGTAGCGGGGAGTGGTGACGATGGTGTACTAGTGATCCGAGTGCATAGGAATAATAGCAATAAGCACAAAGCACGGCTCAGGGGCCAAAATACATGGGCATGAGGCAGCGTGGCACGACGTGACAGACGAGAAGATCGAGACAGACAGATGGTTCAGCCGAGGTCCATCTCCTCCCCCGCCCGGCCTTTGCCCTTCGAGCCCGTAGTACTTGTCCGTGAGTGAACGCCGTTGACCCTCCCGTTAGGCTGCGCATGGCCATTAATCCTCGGCGCGGACCGCGAGCCTGCAGACGAGCTAGCACCCCTGGGCAACACGCGCTCGAGCTCCGCACGGACCTCCTCCTCGACGCCCTCGAATATGCTCTCCGGAGGAAGACCCCATATACGCCCGGGCTGGTTGCGCTCCTTCTCCTCGAACACACCGCCCACGACGTCTACCCAGTTGCGCCGGACGCGCACGAGCTCCGACAGCTGTTCTGGGACGTGCAGCTGGTTGCGCTCGTCGGGGCTGAGTCCCAGTGCGGCCGGACACGGGGGCAGGGCGGCCGTGCCCGTGAGGCCCGACGAGCCGTTCAGGGCGCCGGGTGGGGGGTCGCCCTTCTGTTTCTTCTTTTTGTTCACTTTGGGGCCGTCTTTCTTCTGATACTTGGAGTAGAGACTGGCGATCTGCTTGTCGACGGCGTCGCGGCTGTCGACATACTCCTGATAGGCGAGGCGGTCCTCGGCGATAGCGGCCAGCCGCGCGCGACGCGCCTTGTTGGTGGCAAGAACAGTCCGCAGCTCCCGCTGTGCATGACGGAGCGCGGTGGCGATCGGGTCGTCGACCGCTTCCGAGTAGTCGGGCTACAGCAAGCAAGCGACGCCGCGATCAATTGGGTGGCCAAGAGATGAGGGGTAGACAATAACACGTACAATCTCCTCTAGCAGCCCATGGTGCCGCATCACGACTTTCATCCGCTCCTCCAGATCCGCCACGTTCAGCTTATCACGCGCCGCCGCGGCAGCAGCGCCGTTCGTCCCCGGACGCCCCTCCATCGCCTCCTCCGCCGCCTTCACGCCCTTCCACTCGGTCACATCGTGCATCGGTATCAGCGCGCTGACCACTCGCTCCGTCAGCGGGCCATGCCCGCGCTCCTCTGTGAGCAGGTCCGGCTCGGCCAGTGTCGATGGCTCCCACTTTGGCAGAACGTTCGACGGCCCCGCGAGTGAGCTCGCGCGCACTGCAGCCGTCCCCGGTAGCGGCATACCGTAGGTGGCGATGTCTTCTTCCTCCCAGACAACTGAGTAATGTCGCCCCAGCTTCGGCATAATGAACGGCTCGACTTCGTCCGCAGTGTACTGAAGGAAGCCGATGTCCTCCTCTTTGATGGGCCGTAGCCAAGGCTCTATGCTCGAGTAGAAGGTGGTGACGAGCACTTGGCTGGGTTGCTTGCTCTTGCTGAAGTCCTCCATGACCTCGGTCGGCTTGCTCGGCCCCGGTACTGGCCGTGGCGCCACTGGTGGGCGTGGAGGAAGTAACGAAACTGAGGCGGGCAGGTTGAAATCGGGAGCATTTGCCGGCTGCCCGGGTGCGTGTGTTGAGAGGTCGTGATAGCGGGTGCGACCGAGAGTACTGACCTTGGAGAATGCGATGGAGGTAGAGGGATACTTGTTGCCCTTTTGTGGTGGCGGAGGATGTGGATGCGTATGCGCCGGGAGCGGGGAAGGTTTCCGTAGTTTGGGGGGTTCTTTTGACTAGTTTGATCATGCGAACAGGTATGGCTCACTCCATGAGACGTACCTGGTTCGATATCACTCGAGTCCTCTCGTTTCCGTTTCTTCTTCTTATCCTTCTTCTTTAGTTCCTCGGCGATCCTGCAAGGAGATGAGCACATGCACGGTTCTTCGCGATGATACCACTTACTGTCTCCGCGCGTCGAATGATGGCTGAGGAGTCGGTATGGGAGGCGCAGGTAAAGAGGATGGTCGGTTCCTGAGAGGCTGCTGAGAGAGCGGCTGGGCGGACGCCCGACTGTCATTCCCGTTGATAGACGGCGTTACAGCTGTATGGTATTTGACCATTTTGATGAGTTCGCCACGGACAGTAGAGGATGGCGTGCAAATCCAATGTGTTGGAAGTGTGATCGAGTAATTGAATAGGTGAAGGTACGCAGAAGGAGTGCAGAGACAAGTTGGCCGTGATTTGTGGAGTGGCGAACGAACGTTCATACCATAGAGGCATAGGTCCAAAGGGAAGCCGACAATAGAGAGAATAAGACGCGAGTGGCAAGGGCGTGGCCAAAGCGTCATGAATGGTCATATGTCGTCCCAGACATAGCGGTTGGAAAAATCCGACGTTTCAGAACAAGACGAGGACGTTGTTGTGCAGTACAGTAAGGGCGTCGCGCAAGAGTGAGGGAGAAGGACAATGAGCAGGCGGGACCATAAGCGTGGGACGATAGTCATAGCAGATTTGGTAACGCGCCCAGATGGATGATAGGAGACGGACGCGAGCGGCGAGCAAGACACAAGGCAGCAAGGGCGAAACATGCAAGCATTGACGTCCCAGGAGGATGAGGCGAGTGGTTAAACCAGCGCGCGAGGAGCGACCAGGGTTACAGATGACATAGAAGGAAGACAGCCGTTAGCGACGGCGCGGTTAATGCACAAATAAGGACGCACAAGCACGTTCCCTCTCTGCTTTCTGTATTGCCTTGGCCTTCCCCTTCTCCTTCTCCTTGAGCCGTCGCATGGATTCCTCAATTGTTCGAATGTCATCTCCTGCCTTCTTGGCGCGTTCCAAACTTTTCGCTTTAAAAGCGGTAAGCTCTGCATGCAGCAGCTCGAGTTCGTCTGTGGGCGGGACCGTGTCTGGAGGGTTATTGAAGAGTGACGAGCGGATTGGGGGAAGAGGGGCGAATTGAGAGACTGAAGACGACATGACGCGGTGCGGGTCTCCGGGCCGCTATGGTCGGCCAATTTCGGTGTTCCCAAGCTGCAGAGTGCTAGACCAGGCAGCAGCGACGAGGTTAAGGGGACCGCGGGTGTTCGAGAGCAAGTTGAGGAGGGTGCACCGTCGCGAGCAGATCCAAGTCGGTAGGCGCCTGCGCTGCCCGAGGCGTCTGTTACAATGCAGGATCGATCAGGCAGGTGTTTCCCACGGCAGCTTATTGCGGTGCCTGTAGAGGCCTCGCGCAAATGCCGCCTTCAAGTTTCTGCTGGGTTTCGACTGTCCCACCCCTCCGTTCTCACAAACCGCCCCTCTTCCTCATGTCTATCACCTCGCACCACTCGGACTCAAGGCAGGCTCTCCTGTTCGATGCTGATAGGGAGTCGCGAACAGACGACACTGAAAGCAGCGTCGACACCTTCGAAATGTCGGGTCTCGAAGAGATTCCAGTCACGCCAGCTCGCCGACACCCCTTTGGACCCACGCATTACGGCTCGGACGGTCATGACTCGGAAGAGGACTTGGATTCCGAGGACCACGGTGACCAAGCACTTCTTGGCTCGCACTCGCGCTCCCGCAGACGAGAGCGGATAGAGGAGCATCCTACCGATATTTTAAGCCAGGTGAAACGTATTGTGCTCGAGGTGCTTGGCCAATCCCCTTCATGTGCTGCCTGTGAACTTTGTTACTCACGGCTCCCAGACTGCGCCTACACTACTACTGACCACTATTGGTCTACTGTTTACCGGAGAGATACTGGATTCCGTTTCGGTGAGTCCTCAAGCGTCCACGGAGAGCACAGTAGCGTTTCCAAAGTGGCCCACGGCGGTTTATCATAACTGTTCCGTACCACTCTCGCATGTCCCATAGTGCCGAGCAGTGCTCTTCATCTTTGTAGGCCACTTCATGATCGCGGTCAGACCGTTCAGGCACAGAACTTACGTTCCCGATGAACTGCCGGAAAGGCGGTATATGTCTCTTGCCACTCGTACGCTCCACGCCGAAGGCATGGTCATCGCACCTCGTCTTAGTGCAGGTCTTGAAAATCGCTTGGAACTATTTACGGAAGCGCTACTGTCTGATCCTATCCTGACAGCGCTGACTCGTGCCAACTAATGACTGTATCAAACTAGCATTGGAAAGCTATGACTCGCATAGACGAATTGATCATGATCATCCCCGTCATCTTGAATCTCAAGGGCAACCTCGAGATGAACCTCTCTGCACGTCTCGGTACCTCTGCGAACATGGGCGATCTCGACATTCCCGAAAAGCGCCGCTCTATCATTCTGGGCAATTTGACTCTCCTACAAGTCCAGGCCACTGTCGTTTCTTTCTCTGCCGCCATCGTAGCCTTCGCCATGAGCAAGGTCGTTCCCAATACACCCAGCTTCGAAGCCGAACCCCTCACAGGTGCGGAAGACGGCGTCGTCGCACGACTGATCGCCCGAGGTGTACACAAAGCCAAGCCTCACAGGCCAGCTATCCCTCCCCCACCCTCGGGCTCGGCAGAGTAGGTTTTATACATCTAGATACTATCTCACGCGCAGCTGAACCTGCGAACCCTTGGTAGATTTATCATGGTTGCCTCCTCTGCCATGTGCGCGGCGTGCCTGTCAAGCATTCTCTTGGGGTCGTTTATGTGTGGCCTAGTTGTATTGTGTAGACGGCTTGGCCTTGATCCTGGTATGCATTATGCACTGCTTTCTCCGTCGACCTCCCATTCTGACATGGAATCGGTATCAGACAACATTGCTCCACCAGTTGCAGCTTGCCTCGGAGACCTCGTCACGCTCTCATTACTGGGCGTTATTTCTGAAGCTCACCTGGGCATCATTGACACGCCCGTTCCTCTCATATTCGTCATCACCCTTGCCGTCGCCGCGATTGGATGGGCGATCGTAACGAACCGTAACGAAAACGTGCGGCATCTGCTCACTGAGGGCTGGACGCCTCTCTTCGTCGCCATGGCCATCAGCAGCGGGACCGGCATCGTCCTCGACTCGTTCGTTGAGCGCTACAGCGGTTTCGCCCTTCTCGCGGTAGTCATTGCCGGTACGTTCCCGTTCTCACACTGCTCCGCTGTGCCACGTTGACGCCCACTCCCCCGGTGGACAGGTCTTCCTGGCGGAGTCAGCGCAATTTTCGTGTCGCGCCTCTCCACTGCCCTGCATGCAGCAACCGCGAAAGCGTCCTCAGTAATGGCGTCTGTGACCGATCTCCAGGAGGAGAGGCATCACCCCAAGCCACGCCTCGTCATGCTTACACTCATCGGCGTCAGCCTGCCCGTCGAGATCTTCTTCCTTGGCTGCGTGGTCGCTCTCGGCTGGATACATCTCCCTTTTCTGTTTATCATTTTCAAAGTCATATTTTTCCTCCTCGCTGTGGGTTTCTTCAGTGGCAATTGCATCTGGAAGAGCCCAACTGATATTCTTGCTTCGCGCGACAGATCACCATCTCACTAACCATTGCCCAACTCACGACCACATTCCTTTGGAAGCGGAAACTGGACCCAGACATGTACGCGCTGCCGTTCCAGTCCGCCCTTACCGACCTCATCGGCCAGTCGCTATTGGTCGCGTGCTACGAAGTCGCCTCGTTGCTGGGCGTCAAGGTGGCACTTAAACACAAACACCGGTGAGAGCCCTATATGGCTCTCCGCACCCTCCTCGTCTTGTCGTCTGTAACCATCTGCGTCATCCATCATCGTCATGCATTGCTGTGTTGTATATCGCATCCATTTTCGCTGCTAGACTACTTGTTCTCATAATTTATCCCCTTCGGATTCCAGGAACGTGAATACGCCCGCTGTGTGTTGGGTCGCCGTGCATGCCCAACAGAAGCAACAAGAATTCACAAGGGAGCGACGGCAACCGACACATTGGCTATCGACCAGGTGCACTAGGCGAAAGCCTTATTACCTTCGAGATTGCATAAGTGTAAGTCGAAATCACCTACGAGAACGTCCTGTCCTAGTCAGGTATTGCCCTGCATCAGCCTACCGCTTCAGAAAAGGTACGCAAATAGGAAATACCCGATACATAAAAATAGTACAGCAAGAACCAAAGCAACTCGACTGCGATATCTACATCCACACACTCGCTCCCTTCAGACGTCAAGCGGCTCAGGATCGACATCCATGCTCGCGTTGTCCGGCGGCGGTGTATCTGTATCCATGTCCTCCTTTTCCTTGTCCTCCTTTCCGCCGCCGGCAGCAGCGGCAGTCTTAGCACCCCGACCGCGACCGCGCCCCCTCCCACGTCCACGCCCACGGCCCCTCGCCGTACGAGGACTTGGCTCGTCGGTGCTAGAAGAATCGTCTCCAGCAGTTGACTCAGGGGCGGGCGCAGGGGCGTTTCCCCTTCCACGTCCACGCCCACGTCCGCGCCCCCTTCCACGACCCCTCCTGCCGCTGGGAGTACCGCGCCCGCGCGCCGAAGTTGACACAGTCGCAGAAGGTGGCGGGGAGTCCTCCGCTTCCGACGCCGCGCCGTCATTGTCCTTGTCCCCGTCGAAGTACTCGGTCCGGACGATCGAGCGGTCCTCACGTGACTCGCCCGCATGCGCCGTGCCCATGTCCTCGTCCTTCTCCTCGCGTGTTCGCTCTTCGTCGTGCAGCCACGACCCGAGGTCGGGCGGGATCTCTTGCATCTGCACGCTGGGCGCGCCCTGGAGGTAGCGGAGCTTGTTCCGAATCCCAACGGTAACGCGTTGCAGGGACGACGCTGTGTTCTGGTTCTCGACGCGGCCCGTCAGTGGGGGGTGGAGCTTCCATTTGGTCTCGCGGAAGAACGAGTCGTAGATCGTCACGGGGAGCTCATCGGGGATCGCGGCCCCGACGAGGACGGATGTCTCGTACGTCCAGCAGCGGGAGACGTTTTTGATCGTGTAGCCGCCGCCGCCCAGCACGAGTAGTGGCACATTGAATTTGCGCACGAAGTTGACGCACTCGCCGTGCGCAGCGATTGAGAGGTTGAACGCGCCTAGGCGGTCGCAGCCCAGCGAATCCGCGCCACACTGGAGGACGATGGCGGTGGGCCGGAAGGCGGTAACGGTGTCGTCTATGACTGTCTTGAAGATGGTGAGGTACATGTCGTCGTCGATACCGTCTTTGAGCGGAACGTTGAGGGCGAAGTGTTTTCCGAGCCCTGTGCCGTTGTCGTCGAGCTTGCCTGTCCCTGGGAAGAAGTCACCAGTGTATTTGTGGAAGGAGACAGTCATGACGCGGTCTGTGTGGTAGAAGGCAAATTCGACGCCGTCGCCGTGGTGAATGTCGATGTCAATGTACAAGACACGCGGATGAAACCTGTGCATTTCGGTATAACAGAGCGTTCAGTAAGCCTCTTTATGATGACGCAAAACAATCCTACCGTAGGAGCTCGAGAATTGCAAGAACGATGTCGTTGACATAACAGAAGCCGCTAGCTTCTGCCTTCTTGGCGTGATGCAGACCTCCACTCCAATTGATGGCGATATCTGTCGTTCCTGCGCAGAGCTTTCGCGCAGCAGCTAGAGATGCTCCCGCGTACATCTTGCAAAAGTCGTACATGTCCGCAAATATTGGACAGTCTTCTACGCAGTTGAACCTATCAATCATAGACTTCATCTCGGATTGATTGTGCGGCGTCACTCTGTACAAATGTCAGATCAGATACCATTTCATTCGCCCATTTTCAACTCACCTTGACAAAAACTCAATGTAGTCATGATCATGATACGCTTCGAGCTCTGCTTGTGTGGCAGGCCTAGGACTGTAGATGTTGTGTATTTGCTTGTCTAAGCCATACCCTAGCACGAGCGCATTCGTTAACGTAAGTCGATGAGGTTTCATTGGATGATGTTCCTGTGGTTAGTAGAACATGTTTTGAGAGTGACTTCTATGAGTTGTACAATTCTCGCCCACCCCATAGTGTTGTGCGCCGACACCCTTCGGATGATAGTATGAGACTATAGGACGCGAATGTGGCTGACGGTAGTATCAGTAAGATGGCAATGGTTGGATATGTCAGCTCGTCCTACATTTACTCGTTCAGTAATAGGCTCTGCAGCTCCATGAGGTCCTCTGTCGTCGAAATACGGCGAAGCAGAGAACGTAAGAGAAGTCGCTTGTGACGAGCGGACCATGCCTAATGTTGCGCTGTCCCGCAGGCCTAGCGGGATCACAGAAAGCAGTATGTTTGTGAGGAGATCTTGTGGCAATGCACGGCCTCGAGGGTGTGTTCAATGTGAGAAAAGAACTACAAGAATAGTTGCAGAGCTAACGTCTTCCGCTGTTGGGACATCGTTAGTAACAGTGATGAATGCTGCCGTAAAAATATGCAACCGATTGAAGACATTCGTGGAAGTTAATTGTGCTTACTTTTTAGGCTTCGGAAGCCTTAGAGAACAGTAGCGGATGTTTTGTGAACTCTAGCGTGGTTGGGAGGAGCGTTGAGTACGTGACCAAGTTGGAAGTTTAGCGAGAATCCGCCACTCTGCTTAAGTAAGCTACTGAATTTGGATTTCCCGCCTTCGCCCAGTCTCGTCGAGGCCCTTCTGCGTTCCTCCCTCATTGAACACCTTGCTCGCTGCCGTCTCCATCAGCTGCGCGTACGGGCGAACCATGAAGGGCAACTTCATCTTTATACATCTCCTCCTTGGTCTCAGCCTGGTACCCGCAGTCGTATCGTCATCTGGAGATCGGGCAGACGAATTTCAGAGTTGCGTCTCTTTATGCCAGTCTCGGACATGCGAACCCTCCTCCCTGGCATCCTTGTCACTCGCCCTGCGACTCACTCGATGGACATGCGTTGACGATTGCAAGTATCACTGTATGCATCTCATCACCAACCGAGCTATACAGCATGGGTGGCCCGTCCAGCAGTATTACGGCAAGTGGCCGTTCTGGCGTTTTGCAGGCATGCAAGAACCTGCATCTGTCCTCTTCTCCATTTTCAACCTCGTTGCCCACTTCGGAGGATTGCGCAAAATCCAGGCGAGGGTTCCTGACAGTCATCCCATGAAAACGTATTACATCACGTTCGCGTTCGCCAGCATGAACGCCTGGGTTTGGTCGTCTGTCTTCCACACTCGAGGTCGGCTCCTTCCCTTGGCTCGTGGTGAAAGTAAGCACTGAAGGGCCATTCTTGGCATGTAGATCTTCCCACCACCGAGAAACTGGATTACTTCTCCGCTGCTCTCGCTATCCTCTATGCCCTCTATTACACTGTCATACGGCTGTTCCACATATATCCTGTCGAGAGGGACCGCTTGACGACGACTTCGTCTTCCTCCTCCAGGGCGGGTATCCGTGTCCTATGGACGTTCCTGTGCTCTCTTGCTTTCCTTGGTCATGTCTCGTACCTTACTCTCCTACCACGCTTTGACTACTCCTACAACATGGTATTCAACCTCGCTGTCGGCATGTCGCACAATCTGCTCTGGCTATCCTACTCGTTACCATCATCCCTGTCCCTCATTACACGGTATCCCGGGCGTCCGCGAACATATCGACCTCGGCACGCATATAAGCCCGCCTTATTCGCTCTCCTGACGACTGCTGCGACAGCGCTCGAGCTATTCGACTTCCCCCCATGGGGTGGGATTATCGACGCGCACTCTTTGTGGCATCTTGCTACAGTACCCATTGCCATGTTCTGGTATAATTTTTTGGTGGAAGACGCATACGACGAGGGATGGAGGTCCATGAAGCTCTAGTACAATCTGGTATGTCTCGTTACACGACCCGATAATTCTTTGATGCTTTGCTTACCTGTAGTACGCCCCAAGCTGGTGTTGTCGTGTGTGCAGGGTTGTACGCGCTTCCGCTATACACGTAGTGAGCATGCACTCGTTCGATCCTGCTCCGCACGTATCCTGGCTGACTTTAGCATGGCTTCCTCCTTGAAAGCCACTGCATAACTTTCATGGATGTCAATTCATACAACTATGTATCGTGCAGATCTACAGCACTCTCGTGCCATTGTTGCAACATCTAAGATATTTATAAGATCAGTACTGATCGCTATTGTCTAACTTCAATGCGTGTCGATTAACTGGAGCAGTTAAGCAATACTACTAACGTCGTCAAGATTGAAGCGTACTGTTGTATACGTTCGCGCGACGCAAGAATTTAGCCGAAACAACTGTAGTACGCCTATTGATGTCAGTCAAGACTGTCAAATTCCGATAAATAGCAGCCGTGTGAACGTCAAATGTAGTCAGTCACCCTATATCGGGTAAGGCCGGTAGGGGTTCCTTCAGGTATGTGCAGTAGAGTTTGATAGCAAACATTACTCGTCCTGTAGTTCTGTGCCCATCCCCCACCACGGCCACAACCCCCTGACGAAATTGAATCTGCCCAAACGGTCATGTCAAACCACGTAGACGAGAAGCAAGTCTGTCAGCCAAGCCATCGATAGCGTACTTCCCAACTCACCGAGATGCTACTTATACCTAGGTGCATCTTCTGCAAGATCATCAAAGGTAGCATCTCCCCATCGTGTGCGACTCGCTTGCTCCGAGTTGGCACTGAGTAGTATTGAAGGCGAATTACCGTCGTTCAAGATCCTTGAGACCGACCTGAAGTACGTACACAAAGCGTACTTCACGTTAGCGACGAGTAGTCTGACGCTTCGTAGCTATGTTTTCCTCGATATCGGGCCCGTGTCGGAGGGTCATGCATTGATCGTTCCCAAGTGTACGTCAACATCCCACTATCCGCCCAGGTCGATCGGCGGCCCAGACTGATGCCGTGATATGAATGCGCCAGGCCACTCGAACAGAATGGACGAAGTGCCCGACGAGCATCTCGCCGAGATCCTCCCATTGGCGAAGAAGATCGCGAAGGCGCTCGACGTTGTCGATTACAACATACTGCAGGTTCGCTCTTTGCCCCACAATCCTCATGTGCATACCCTTACGACTCTGATCGGACGCTTCTACAGAACAATGGCAAGATCGCATTCCAGCACGTCTTCCACGTCCACTTCCACGTCATTCCGAAGCCAAACGAGAGGGAAGGACTCATCCTTGATGTTCAACACTGGCCGCGTAAGGAAGTCCAGAAGGAGCAGCTTGCGGCGGCCTTGGAGAAAATTCAGGCGAGGCTTGAGCTATCAACTTCAAATCTGGCAGATTAAAGGAATGATGTTCGGGAGATCATCGGGCGATAGGCATTTACGTGTAGTGAGAAGGAGAACGCTTCGTCTACACGGAGGCTGATGTAGGATGAATGGAGCTATGGATAGATCGGGCCTTCAATCACATCCATAATCCCTGCGAAGTCGCTCCACTAGTAGGAAGGAGACTGAGAGCGCGCGAGGCCTTGAGAAGATAACAACGGAGGGCGATGACGAACTGGCTACTCACCGACGACGTAGTCCAATGTCTCGATGACAGTAGGGTCCCGGTCGACTTCGAGGTAAGGATACTGCGATATCCGAAGCACATGCAACAGCCGCTTCTCCTTATGGTACGCTGCCACTGGTCTATCCGGACGATCGTCTCGACGCAACTGAACCCCATCAGTACCCACTGCAACCATGCAGAACATGAGATACTGGTAACACACCTCTAACCGCTTTTTATCGCCATACCATGTATACTTCCTGCCGTCTTTACCATGGAACCACGCCTGTCTTTGAGGATGTATCAGCGCCCCAATTCACGAGTGTTGACAGGAAGATCTGACATTTCATCCACCTCCTTCATCTTCCCCTTCCCCTTCGGATCCGCCTCCTTACTGCTCGCACCATCGTCTGCCTCCACAAAGTGCAAGAAGTCATTCACAGCCACGTACTCCCCGCCCCCGAACCATCTCAGCGCCATCGCCCGTTTGGCATCCTCCACCCTCCCCTTCGTGTCCTCAGGGGCGTGCCCATTCAGCATCTCCGCGACGACGCTGAACACCTGCGCATTCGGGTCCAGCCGCGACACGCGCGTGCGGTGGCGCTCCCATGGGGGAGTGACCACCTCGTAGTAAAGCACGTCCGATGAGTTGGCGAGGACGACGTTCCGGAGGGATGTCGTCGTGAGCACGAGCTTGTGCGTCTTGGCTGAGACCGGGGAGACTGGGGAGCGGATGTGGTAGACGGAACTGCTTGTGGCTAGCATAGAAGTGAATTTATTGTGTTCTTGGCCTTGGTCGAGAAGATGGAAGCTGGGGGGTGTAGCCTAGTGGGGAATACAGGGAGGATAATCGAGATCGGGGTGTACCAAGAACCTTGGGTATGGCAAGGCGCGGCCGACCCGTGAAAAAGAAGGACCAAGCAGTGAGGCCGGGCAATATAAGTTCTTTGGAGCGCACATCCGGCGTGTGTAAAGTTGTGGTCATTAGTGATCTGTCGCCCGCGGACACTCTGACCTCGCGACATTCGGGACAAACCTAGATCGTATTGTGTGAGAACCTGGGCAACATCGCAAGTAGATACAACCACTCACTTTCCGGATGAACATCTCACCCGTACACGTCCGTGGGAAGGGCATATTTCACGTTCACATCGTTCGCGAGAAACGCAACTTCTCCCCATGGAAACATGCACACGCCAAGCCGAGCGGCAAGATGAGTAACACGTCACAGGTGCATGCATGCTCTAGTCCATTGCTGTGGCTGGTAGATATTGGTACATTTTGATTTGTGTGTCGACGTCCCATGCAAGAAATGATGCAAGTCTAAATGATTACTAATACATACCGACTCCATTGACTCCCGCACCATCCGCCCATTCGCCGAAGAGAAGCGATATGCTCTCGCCGTTATGCGTGCGGCGGATGCTCTCAGCGATTGTAGAGCTCACGTCAAGCGTGACTAGCTTCGAGCACGCGGCCTCGTGCTGTTTTTGGGGAACGGTGTTGGTGACCTGTAGCGGCGATGAGGCGTGAGATGCAGGAAGAAGACGACCGGACCCGAGCGCGGCGGCCACGCTCTCAGAAAGGCATAAAAGGCAGACATACCACAAGCTGCTCAATGGGAAGCGCTTCGATCATCTTCATGTTCGTCTCAGAGAGTAAGCCTTGCGGATCACACGCCAGATCAGAATTCAGCAAATCCAAGAAAACTGACTATACTCACCATGGGAGATCAAGGCATACACTTTCTTCGCACCGTTATCAACGAGCGAGCGAGCGGCCAGCGCGAGCGTCTTCCCACTATCTATCATATCATCTACCAAGATCGCGACCTAGAGAGATATGGCGTGCTCAATATGCGTTTCGGACGATCCTCGGCTCGGCGCGATGCTCACCTTGTCGCGAACATCTCCGACTAGCACCTCCATCTTCTCCGGCCCATTCGGGTTCCGGGTCCGCTCTCTATGAATAAGCGCGAATTCCACTCCGAGTTTGTCCGCGATGGCAGTCACCCTTTCCTCCGGCTTCAGCATGACGGCACTCGTGCAGCCGTTCGCGTGCACGCGGGGGATCCGCGCAAAGGATCGCAAGACACTCACCGCTTCGCACCTCCCGCGTCCGGACTGACGATGATGCTATTCCGCCAGTCTTCGATGTTCCGCTTGATGTACGAGATCACAAGCGGCTCGGAGTAGAGGTTGTCGACGGGGAAGTCGAAGAAACCCTGAATCTGGCTCGCGTGAAGGTCCATGGTGATGACATGGTCGCAGCCGGCAACAGCGAGCATGTTCGCAACGAGTTTGGCGGTGATTGGTGCGCGTGACTTATCCTTCTTGTCCATACGCGCGTATGGGTAGCAGGGGATGACGGCGGTGATCCTGCGAGCGGATGCGCCCTTGCAGGCGGAGATGAGGATGAGGAGCTCCATGAGGTTGTCGTTCACGTCGGAGCAGCCGGTCTGGATGATGTAGACATCCTCGTCGCGGACGGACTCGGCGATTTTGACGTTGATCTCCCCATTGGAAAACTTCTTGACCGTGCAAGGAGTGAGGGGTACATTGAGCCTACAAGTGGCATGAATGACTGTCTCAAAGACCGCCGCGTGGTCTCGTGGAAAGCAGAAGCTCACCGCTCGACCACGGCTTGGGCGAGCCCGGGGTGACTGTTCCCTGGTGTACCGCACTCCCGTCAGCTGCAGGGAGCACACGAGCACACAGGAGTACGCACCGGTGAGGATCCTGACAGAGTTCCCGCGCAGCATGGTAGAGAGGTCAAGATAAGACAATTAGAGCATATGCAAGCTAAGATAGAATAGCGAGGCGGGGCCAAGAAGTGGAGAAGAGGAAGGAGTTCAGGATGGTGGAGGTAAAGTCATAGCAAACGCTTGGCGCTCCGCAATTCTCGCAAAATCCTGTGTTTGCCCCGAACAAACAATTCTTACCCACGTGCGAAGCCCAGCGCTAGGCCTTGCCTCGCCCAATCCCAGCGTGCACGCACCTGTACTGCTCGTGTGCCTCCCGCATCGTCGACGCTGTACAGCACACGAGCACATAGAATGGCAAGTAGCGAAGCCGCCCACAAGGGGAGTACAGGCATGCATTACGCGTGTACTTCCACTACGACGGGGGCACACGGATCGTGATATTCTCTACAACGTATTCCGAATCCGCGTATCCCAGCAGCTGGGGGATGTAAGAACTGAGTACGGCACGCCGTCAGCATCGGAACACTGATGGTTATCAATAGCAGAAGCTACGTTACCTTCTCAGTCCCTTCACCCTGTCAATCTGTGCCGAGTTATAATTGGCCAGACCCCGTCCGACCTCCTCCAGCTCCCACTCGGCCGAATCCTCTCCTGGGGCACGTTCGATGACAACCGTATCTTCCTCCGGCAGCGCCTTGGACGACAGCGAGGGCGTCATTTCCTCGTCTATAGGCAGCAAGAGCTCCAAGGTCGATATTGACGAGATCGAGGAGCTCAGCGAAGCCGTCGCGTAGATTTCCGGGGTATTAGGCACCGTATCGACCGTTCCATCTGGGTATCTACTCTGTGCCCCGGTGTCGGTCGGGCTATCGGTTTCTGAGCTGATATTCGTCTTGTCCGACTCTCCCGGTCGACGCTTGCGAATGACGATCCGAACAGCTTGCCCAGATGCGAAGGCACCTCGGACCCCAATCACGCCCGCGGCGAGGAGCCGCCCGCCAGACTCGCGTTTCGACAGGACATGGTGTGCACCGCTGTCTATGACGACGCTTCCGGATGGGTACAGCGTATGGCTCGTCCATGACTTCAAGTCACGTAGGGGCATCGCTGTGGGAATGAAGACGGTATGTGGTGGCCTAGCCGGCAAGGTTGCAGATGGACCAACAGTAGGGATGTTCATAGTAGATGCACTGGGGGTAACGGTGTTACTCGAAGACGCAGATGGAGCACTGGGTGTCGGAGTGGGGGAGAGGAGTGCCGGTTCGGGACTCGACCGACCAGACTGCAAGCCGGTAAGAGGTGTGTTGGAGCCAGACTTGAATTGCGTATTGTATTCGATGATTTTGAAGATGTTCTTCGGTTCCCTACTCGAAGTGACGACGGTGGTTACCCCTGCGGCCGTAGCAATCTCCGCAGCAATAAGCTTCGTCTCCATTCCGCCCGTGCCGAGGTTGGAACCAAGTGTTGACGTGCTGACTGGTCGCGAAAGATGAGCATAATCATTGGGAAGCGGCCAGACCTAAGAGGAAACCTACCTCGGGATCGGATGCTATCAATTGATGCTACAACGTCGATCCGAGCCGCATTTGGGTCTTTTCGAGGGTTCGACGTGTACAATCCATCGACGTCCGTGAGCAGGAACAGGTAGTCTGCATGAATCATGGACGAGGTGATGGCGGATAACGTGTCGTTGTCACCAAATTTGATTTCCTAGATGCAGTGCGTTACCCCGAACATGATCGCGATGATGAAGAGCGGTACTTACGCTCACAGACACTGTGTCGTTCTCGTTCACGATGGGTATAACGCCCATAGACAGGAGCTCCTTGAACGTGTTGACGGCATTCAGATAGCGTGTTCGCTGCGCGTCCGCGATGTCAAAACGGGTGATACTGGATCTATATGAGCAGGACTTGAACTTACATCCGATATGTCGCCACGCGTAAGCAATATCTGCGCGATAGGCTGCCCAAGCTGTCCGAACAGATTGTCCCATAGCGCGATGAGCCGTCCCTGACCTATCGCTGCCAACGCCTAAAAGCAAAAGCACGTTCGCATCCCATGCAGTCTCATAGAAAGGATACGTACGCACCTGTTTCTTTGACAGACTCTTTGGCCGGGACGCGACCTCCATTCGCTTCAACCCGACTCCAATCGCACCCGAACTTACAAGGACGACCTTATGTCCCTGCTCGCGAAGGCCGACTACGGTCTCCACGATAGCCGACAGCGTCGACAACAGCGGCTGGTGCGTAGTCTCATGCACAATAGAGGACGTTCCTAGACGCACGCACGAGTGGAGTCAGTCCGCCATTCGCTCGCGCTCTGAGAACTCAGTAGGCCTTACGTACCGAGCTTAATCACAATCGTCTGGGATGAGACACTTCGCGGGCGGGCCATTATTGGTCAGCGTAAGCGATCCACGGCAGTTTTTAGACCTCTCGGTGAACGTGCTCGAGGAACCTACGAGCAGAGGAGGGAAGGCAAAAGGGTCGGGTTGACTCATGGCGAAGTACAAAGCAGCGTGGGCAACACGAGGCGCCCGCAATAGACCGTCGGCGCTTTTACATACTGGACGTGCGCACTCCGAGGATGTCGGAAAGCATAACTTGGAAGGCAAACACGCCCAAGACTGTATATAAAAGGTACAGGAGGGACAGGTAGGGGTTACGCCGGTAGACATCCAAGGTACGAAAGGTACACGGGTGACCCACGAAGATCTAGGCTCAGTCCCTGGGTGCCTTGGCAGCCTCCTTCTCGCCTCGAAGGATCTGCTCGACATTCGCACCGATGCGCTTACGCTCTTCCAAGGATAGCTTGGGCGCGTTGGAAGAGTAGCCCAGCTCTGCAGTCAATTTGTTAGCAGATGTCGTCACATCTCGGGTAATGGCACCGCACGTACTGAGGCTGGGATACTGGAGCGGGACTTCCTCGCTCTTGAGTGGGAGCGTCGAGAGATCCAGAGGGAAAGAACTACCGAGCCAGGCGTGGCGGATCTCATGGTCCCTTCACAGCTACTCAATTCCTGACCGATCATGAAATGAGATAGATTGACTTACTTGCGCTGAATGGAAATGCAACATTAGTAAGCGACAGTCTCGGGTGGAAGGACTACGTACCTGCTCGCGAGTGAGAGGGTGGATGAGGACACTATGATGCAGAAGTAAGAAGCATTCAGGGATTGCATACATGTAACTGACCTCAGATTGCCCCTGTTGAGAACAAGGTACGAGTACACGGTCACGAAGGATTCCGAAGGGACCCAGATCTCGTACGACCCTACCGAAGACGTCACAAAGCCGCCTTCGTTCTGCTGCTACTGTAGCACTTACCGACAGGGTGCGGGCCAATAGGATCCGTGTTTACGCGGAAGAGGGGGACGGCGACAAATGCGCCGTCGCGCCTCAAACGCAAGACAGCGTCACGGAGCTCGAGTGCTGCCTGGTGCTCGTCGGCGTTCCTCTGGTGGAAGTAGATGTCTAGCACAAACCCACCGTGTTATTTTCAGTACAAAAACATGGACATATCGTGATGTCAATACACACGGAAGTGCCATTCCCTGTGGACAATCCAGTGCAACTCAGTTAGGAGACAAGGAACATGAAGGTCGCGTAAATTACTTGATTTCAGACTCTACCACCTCCTTCACGTCCGTGCTCGGTGCCATCTTCTCCGTCTAGACGGGTTGTGCTGTTCCAGATGATTGAGGTACTGGTGAGAGTCCACAGGGGGCATTGGCTGTTCGTGCATATATGCGATTCCAAGCGGACGCTGAGCACGGGGTTCTCGCCTCATCAGCTACCACCACCATATCCATGTGGTCTGTAGATCAACAACATGTTCTGTCTTTCGCCTTCTCCTTCGACGTTGAAGTACTTCGGCGGTGATACTTATTGCGCTTATACTGCTGAAGCTATCAAAGCTGCCTATATCCTAGACTCCTTGGTGTTCCTAAGACTCTCACTGTCAGAAGGATGAGATACCAGAGATAGCATAATTGAACAGAGGTGCGTCCTTCCTGTACGTCCATGGCTACTTGGCTGTCAGAGAAACACATCCTTGTTTCTGCTCGAGTGGATTTCTCACCTTCGCCCATCGCTCTTCATAGGTCATGTTCCTGAACAAGGTGCCCAAGATTATGCTGGGCGAAATCGAAACGGTCCGCCTCCTACCGCTCTTGCTGCTTAGAGCCTACTCTGTCGCTTTGCTGTCGTGCTGTATCGCTTTCTATCGTTGCTTGCTTGGTTATCGTGAACAGTACGTCGACATGGCCTTGACGGCTGTGGTATTCTTAGCTGGCTTTGCTGCTTTCGACGCTCTTGCCTTGCCCCTTGGGACAGACAACACGACAACTCCTGCTACATACTTGGACGCGCCGATCTCTGCTGTCGCTTCTTCTAGCCAGGGGCTGCCTGGTGCGGCAACCCCAACGACCTCGGAGCTTGGCACTGCTGCTTCGACATCTACATCAGCCCAAGCGGTGGTGGCTCCGACGCTCCCTGCAGGGCCGGCCACAACTTTCGTGTTCTCCACGGTGACTCTTCCCGCCTCTACTGTTACAGTCACGGGCTCTCCACAAACAGTGACGGACACGATCACCATCATCCCTCCGCCAACCCCATCCTCAGCGATCACCAGTACGACAACGGCGACGATACAACCGACGACATGGTCCGCCCCGCCTCAAATGACAGACCTTTCCGCGTTCAACGTCCAGAACTTCGCCAATGGTGAACGGAACATGCGCATCATCGTCTCCGACCCTCCCATCGCCAACGTTGCCTCCCTACCCTCGTCTCCTGCCACGCCCGAGCCCGACCCGATTGGCCAAACGCTCACCGAAGCCGTCATCGCGATCGTCTCCGCCGTCACCTCGGGACTCATCCCTCCTCCTCCGCCCGTAACCTCCAGCTCCTTCCTCCAGCTCTTCTACCCCGCGAACTCGGTCAACCCTGGGCAGCAGCCCGCGGGCGGAGCGGACTTCTACGCTGCCCCGCTGGACCTGAGCGCGGCGAGGAACGTGTCGCTCGAATATAGCGTGTTCTTCCCGTCGGACTTTGACTGGGTCGAGGCGGGGAAGTTGCCGGGGATGTATGGAGGCCATGATGGGTGTTCGGGCGGGGACGACGCGATCAACTGTTTCAGCACGAGGCTGATGTGGAGAGGGGGCGGATTGGGGGAGCTCTATCTGGTAAGCCCGCCCTTATCTCGACGTTCTCGGCAAGGACGCGACCGAGTCCTGACGCTGACGCATGGATGCAGTACGCACCCAAGGACAGGCAGACCCCCGCGCTGTGCGCGACTCCCCCCGAGTCCGTCTGCGATGCCGACTACGGTTTGTCGATCGGGCGCGGGTCGTTCAAGTTCGCTGCGGGTAACTGGACGCACGTCAAGCAGACCGTCGTGTTGAACACCCCTGGACAGCAGGATGGTGCCTTCGCGCTGGACGTGAACGGCGTGCGTGTCATCGATAGGCACGACGTGTTCTACCGTGATGTGCCTGAGGCGGTTACTAGGAGGAGTGTGTATTCTACGCTTGTCGCTGATACAGGCACCGAGGACGAGGACGGCCGGCCCTCTGTCGATCTAGCTGGTCTGGATCTGCCTGATCCTGGTCCTATCAAGCGAGCCGTCTTCCCGCCAGGAACGTCGGACACGGACGCGGTCGTAGACCGCGACGGTACCGCCGTATCCCCGGATTCTCTGGCCCCACGCGACTTCGCGCCGTCCTTTTTCCCCGTGTCCTCGCTCGTTCCCTGGATCGCCGGCAGCAGCAGCGATCTCCCTGTGCCCCCCTCTTCGCCCCCTCCTCCTGCGTCCGCGGCCGCAGCAAGCACGCTTCCAGGCGCAGGCGCAGGGGTGGCGAAATTCGCCCCTCCTTCTCTCTCTCCCCCGCCCTCCCCGTCGCTCGTCACCGTGACGGGGACGGGAGCAGTGACGGTGGTGCCCCCGCCGCAGACGGTGAGCGTGACGCCGACGAGTACGGCCACGGCGTATGTGGTCGCGATGGAGAGCGGAGGGCCGCTGCCGGTGACGGTCGGGATGAAGGCCGCGGAGCCGGTGGGGTTCATTGGGCTGTTCTTCAGGTGCGCGAAGGCTCGGAACGCGGATCGAAAGTGTTGATGCTGACGATGGTCTGCAGCACGTTCTTTGGAGGGCACGAGCCGAGGTACGCGACTCCGAAGGACCAGTTCACTTGGTTCAAGGATTTTGCGATGTCTGTAAACGGTTGACGAGTATCACGGCCCTGCGTGAATCTTGTAAGAAATCGTTGATGCTATTATGACTATTATGCACCCAGCGTTCCACTGGTTTGCCAAGCCGCAAACTGTGCGGTCCAGGCCTCACCGACCGCCCCAGGATGAGCTGCGGCTGACGACCACATCCGCGGCATCCGGACTCTCGATGCACTCCTACCCCACATTGTGGGCTCTGGTACATGACCGACCCTAGCTCCGAGCACAGCTTCGCCTTTTTGCATTACGACACAGCAGGCAGAACCATCGGCGTCCAATGACCAAGCCGTGTCATGGAGGAGGTCATGCCATGTCCCTGCGCAGCACCATGTTCGTGATGATACTCCGACATTCCAAAGCGTCTCCGCAGAGCGTAGGCAATGAGCACCCAGCATCGCGGGCGCGCACGGGCATGTGGTTTAGATACGAGTTGCCGCGAGGCGGTGTGTTTAGCTAAATGTGGCGTCGCCTGCCGCGCGCTGGTTGGGTCCTGCGGGTATGACATCAGACCTGTCTAGCGAACTCGTTGAGGATTGCTATACGAGTTGTAACCCGAGCGAGGGCATGAATGTGTGCATCTGCAGCAGGGACTGAGTTGATAGACGGATAGATAAGCTGGCGGGAGTTGAGTGGAATCTCGAACCGGCCCGGACCGGGGGAAAACTCGTACTCGACCGTTTGTGAGTGCTGCTGCTCATTTGCCCATCGCTCAGCATGCCAGCCTGACGCTACCTTCCTTTATTACCCGCACTTGTCCTCTTCCTCCTCCTCTCTGTTGTATTCTATCCATCGTCCGTCGCTGTGCACGGAGACCATCACCAGCCGCTTGTAGTCTCGCCTCTCCCGGATCTTGTTCCGTCCTGTCTGCTGCCGTGATCCTCTCCAGCTCCACCAACGTCCTTTGTGTTCGACATGCTCGAGAGCTGGAGCTCACATCTGTCCCCCTGCGCGTCGGAAACATCCTCGACTCGCTCGTCACATCTGAGCGTGTACACCGCCGCCTCTTCCTTCTCCTCGCCACCACCCTCTCCAACAGGCTGTAAGACATACGCCTTCTTCGCATCCCCCTTCTCAGATGACGCTGCGACACCCCAACCCCCGCCCAACCCCCACTCGCGACAGAGCTCCGAGCCCAAGTCCGAGTCAGAGGTGAGCACCGACGACAGGGACACCCCCAAGTTCGCCCACAAGGCCCCCTCGCGCTCCCTTAACGCCGAGTTCTTCGGGGTCTCCCTCCTCCCCACCCCGCCCCCGAGCATCCGCTCGCTGTCGCACTCCACGAGCGTGAGCAACCTCCGTGCCGACACCGACGCCCACTCCCTCCGCTCCGACGACGTAGGCTCGCGCGACGCCTCGATGTCCCCGCCCCCACACCGGCACCGTGTCGCACTACCTCCCTTGAGCCGGTTCTTTCCTTCTCGCGCGCGCTACGGGAGCGAGCCCGACAGCCCCCACCCCTCGCCTTCCTCGTATGAGCGGACGAACGTGCGCCGCGAGTTTGTATTGCTCGACTCCGACCCCAGCGCCCCGCATGGCCACGGGCCCTCCCCGGACTTCTATCACGCAGGCGAACACACCGCATCGCCCGTGGACGATCTCCACCCTATCGCCCGCCCCCTCCGTCCGCCCTCCACACAGGTGACTCCGACGCCCACCGCCCCCCTAGAGCAGCACCGGGACCCGGCCCCGGGCCCCGCTGCGACTCGGTCGCCATCACATTCGCCCCCGACGCCGCCGCCGTCCGAACCGGAACAGCCGCCCCCGACCAAGCCCGAGCCGGGGGCGACGCTGTCGAGCTCCTCGCTCACCCTCGAGCTCGTCAAGCCGCTCGGGACGGGCAGCTTCAGCAGCGTGTGGCTCGCGCGCGACACGCGGGGCCAGCTCAACGCGCTCGAGCTCGTGCGCAAGTCCTCGCTCGCGCGCAGCAAGAGCCTCCGTGGCCGCCGCTCGCGCACGATCGACGGCACCCGCCCCTCGGGGCGTAGACGCGAGAACGCCCGCGTGGGGAGCGAGAACGACATGGACGACGACGCGTTCGGCACGACGCCGAAGTCGCCGCTGCTCTCGCCGAAGGACGAGGAGCCGCCGAACGCTTCTGCGGCACGGAAGGGGAAGGAGAGGCAGAAGAAGGCGGGCGGGCGGCTGGTCGCGGTGAAGATGACTGAGCGCGCCGTGTGCGACGCGAGCTCGCGCTCGCGCGTGAGCTTCGTGCGCGAAGTCGAAGTGCTTCTGGTGAGTGTATCGATTGTGCTCTGCCGTTCGCTCGTATCTCGCGCCGTATCCCCCGCCCCCATCTGCCTCCTTCTATCGCCCCCGTATCCCGTATCTGCGTTGCGGAGAGGCCTATCGCGCCGATAAGCCCCCGCTAGAGCTCGCTGGCGCGTCATTTGCTCGATCACGTCGCGGCGTAGCGCATGCGTGCCGTGGGCAAAGAAGATATGTGTCAGATGCGTGGATATCGCTCGTCTGGAGTAATTGGTGATGTCTCCCCGTGCTCTCTGTACTTACCGTATCCGTTGCAGCACATCTCCCACCCGTCAATAGTCTCGTACCTGCACTCGTTCAGCACCCCTTCGCATCACTGTCTCGTGCTCGAGTACGTCGGGGGCGGAGAGCTCCTGGACCTGGTCGACAACCCCGCGAGCCACGCGCGCGTCGACGAGCCGCTCGTACGGCGGATATGGGGCGAGCTCTGCCGCGCCGTCGCGTGGATGCACAGCGTCTGCCTCGTCCACCGCGACATCAAGCTCGAAAGTAAGCACACACACGCGCGCGCGCTCGCGACTCGCAGCGCTCACGCAAGCCCTTTTTTCCAGACATCCTCCTCACGGCGGACCCCTTCGCGCACCCGCTCCCCGCGCACTCGCTGATCAAGCTGACCGACTTTGGCCTCTCGCGCTTCGTCGACCCCGCGCACCCGCACCTCACCACGCTCTGCGGCTCAGACTCGTACGCCGCGCCCGAGCTCGTCATGGGCCGCCCGTACGACGGCCGCGAGACGGACGCGTGGGCGTGCGGCGTCGTGCTGTACGCACTCGCGACGCGGACGCTGCCGTTCGACCCGCCCCCGCCCCTAGCCCCGTCTCAAGCCGCGCGCGAGGGACCCGAAGCCGACTGGGAGGTGCAGCGGCGCAAGCGCGCGGAACGCAAGGCGCTGCTGAACCGCATCGCGGTCGGGGCGTACGCGTGGCCCGACGTCGCGCACACGGACGCGGCGGAGCCGCTCAGGGGCGCGGCGCTCGCGCGGAGCGAGGGCGTGCGGCGCGTCGTCGGGCACCTGCTCGTGCGGGACCCGCGGAAGCGCTCGCGCGTGGCGGATCTGTGGATCGACGAGTGGATGCACGGGGAGGGCGCGCCTCCGCCGCCGGCGTTGCAGGGCGAGTGGGAGGAGGGGGTGCCGGTGTCCGTGCCGGTGCCCGTGATGGCGTCGCCGGTGTTGGACGGGGCGGAGGAGGAGGCGCGGATGCCGATCGTGGTGAGTGGCGTGGAGGGGCCGGAGGGGGACTTGGATACGGACGCGGACGCGGACGAGGAGGGCGTGTTGGTGGATGGGGAGGACATCGGGCCGGGGAGCGTTGCTCGTCAGGAGCATTGATGCTTCCTCAAGTTCTCTCCCCCTTCGGCCTCGAGCTCTCTCATCTTGGCAAACTCTCTAGTTTTGCCGCGAGTCCGCCGCTCCGCTATATAAGGCTCAGCGCAGACGAGTCTGTCGTCCTCTTGAATACCTCGCGCACTCTGCGCGGCAAACGTTTCTCGCTCCGGATTTATTGGTCCCTATTGTAGAAAGTCTTGGGTTTGTTTGCCTGGCTCGTCTGCTCGCTGCGTATTGTTATTCGCCACCCATGTTGTCACAATAATCCCATCCGACTTGGCTGCCTGATATATCTCTCTCTCTCTACAATCATGCTAGCTCTCCAGCGCTCACTCTCTTCCCCATTGCACTACATATCACATCATACATATCACGCGTCGCTGTCGTCTACACTGATACAACATAATTCGACCAATCATGCTTGACACACCTGCATGTGTGTGGCCCTTGTCGATGTTTACGCCGGTGCGTACAGTGTTGGCGTAGTATTTTGTTTCACTAGGTGCACGCACATAGGTTATGCGGTGCACGGGTTCGAAGCGTTGTCCGTAGCGATGAACATGCCGATCGTCGATATTGCACCCAACGTATGGGTGCGCGCTGCCACAGGGTTCTTCAACCAATTTTGAGGGGTGGCCGTCCGAGTCCGATCTACAGTACTATGTAGTGACTTCGGTATTCTACGCATGTCACGTCTGATGTTCGCTGCAGTGCGCGACCTTCGCGTCCCGTGTGAGGCGGCTGGCTTGCGAAATGTGTGGTCTCTGCTCATGCACTCTAAGCAGTGCGCGCGTTTCGGAAGAGTAGGGCTAGTACCCAACCGCGCATTGCGACATGTCCGTCACCGATGGGAGTTCCGAACCGATAGATGGAGTGGTAGACTGCTCAGATGATAACTAGATTACACGCGGTCCAGAGTACACTACTTTGCAACAGTACGTATCAGGACCGTCCGAGAGGTATGTAGCACGCTACCGGCGACGTTGCCGCTTCGCAGGCCGCTCGATGGCATCCCTGACAGGGGAAGGGGGCTCGTTCAAGAGGCGCTTCGAACGACGCGTCGCAGCCTTGTTCTCGACCCGCCGACCCTCCTCGACTCCCAGTGGCTTGCGAGCCCGCTTCTGCGCCTTCTTCGCGGCCGGTTTGCGCTTTACCGCTTCCCTCGGCTTAGCTGCCTCCTCAAGCATCAGCGCGACTCCCTCCTCTTCCTCCTTCACCAGCACATGCGGTTGGCTCGAGTGGTGCTCGACAGGCGTAGGGGCGGAATAAGTCTCCGATTCACACCGGTCGCCGGCCAGGTCGAAGCGCGGCCACTCCTCCCTGAGCTTCGCCTCGAGTAGCTCCAGGACGGCGTTGTGATTGTCGAGCTTGGGCGCCTGGGCGCTCTGCTGGGACGGACTGATGGCGCGCCTATATTGGAAGGCCGGAGGGTTGTCCATGGGAATGAAGTGCCGGTCGTCCAGGAAGACCAGACGACCTTTCACGGCGAAACGCACGTAGAGCCTCGAGGTGCACCATTTCAGCCATTCGTTTAGAAGGGCGTTGAGCGGCGTATTTGTGCGTTCGTGCCCGCCGTCGGCAGGGTCGCCGTAGAAGAACAGCTTCTCGCCGGAGGGAGGTCCGACGAGGACCATCCTGTCAAGTATGTACCGCTTCCATGTCGAAACGGCCCATCCGACGCCTTCGATGTAGTCTCGATCGAAGAAACCTGCCAGGAAGGATTCGACATCGGAGCAGCTGCTGTGTAGGAGGCGTACGGCAGCGTAAATAAGGACGTAGAAGAACGACTCGAGCTCGTCTGCGATCTCGAGTGGGGCGGTTGTGTCATGAATGTAAGACACCGAAGCGAATTGCCATGTCATCTGTCAATGAGGCCCCAGGTATAAGCGCATGCTTTTGTAGACCCAGATGGGAGAGGTCTAGGAGACATACCCTCAAGGCGGGACGACCCACCCGAAGTGGCCGGAAGTTTTCCCAGTCGATGAGGATCCCTTCACACCGTACGACGTGCTTCCCTGCTGACATCGGCCGAAGTTTCGGTACAACCATCAGGTTACCGAAGGAGATATCTCCATGAAGGACCCCAGCGGACGTGGCTGCACCGGCATGTGCTGAGGACGTACGAGGGACGTAGTAAGCGTCTACGATAGCCGATAACACAAATGATAAACTACTCACCAGAGACACAATCTTTGACAACAGACACCAGCTGGCGCCCATTCACTACCTTAGACAACGAGAGGCAAAATTCACGAACGACAATCCGGTGATGTAGACGCCATTCAGGTCCCTCGCGGTCTTGGTGATCGTGGTACTCCGGGGTCACCGTGTATCGTAGATCAGCATAGCATAGGAGCGTCGGGACGTACGGCACCCCAGCCTGGTTGAGCCTTGCGAGGCAGTCGCCTTCGGACTCCGCGTTAGCCTGGTCGCCGAGCTCCCTCCATGTGTCTTTCAAGAACACGAAGCCCTTTGTCTGGCGGTCCACGGCTATGTAGCCACGACTGTTCCGCCAGTCGAAGACCTCGCCCTTTTCGAAAGTCAAGGGCGCGCCTACGAGGAACTCCCGAGGCTGACTATCAGTAGTGGGCACGGAAAGCTTCCATCGTGGACGACCGCGGGCTAGGAAAGGCGACAGGCTGAGCGTCCGTCTGAACGCATCACGAGCAAACTTGAATACGCGATTCGGGTCCGTCGCGTCTCCTTCGATCACCACACCTTCCGTAGTGTCTAAATCGTCGGCATGGGGTTGGGCCATCCGATCCATCAAAGCATGCTCGGGGGACCCGGGAAGGACCGCGGTCGCCGTAGGATCAAACCCGAGCTGTTCGTCCGTCAACATAGACATGCGCCAGAACAGGTCGGCCAGTAGGTCGGGCTTGTTGCCGTAGTCGACCCATTCCGTAGCCACCACGCCCGAACGGTCCCAGCGTGTGACGCGGAGCGTCGAGTTATCTTGCACGAGAACGACGTAAAGCGCATTGAGCTGTTGGAGAGCGAAGTGGCGCTGGACCTGCGTGCATATGTCTTTCCAAAATTCCCTTCGAGTCGACCCAGCCTCTGCTGATTCCCAACTCGGGTTGTAGCCACTCGGCAAATATTCGTGACGAGGATCGATCTCGCAGAAGCGGAATAGGACTCGTGGACTCGCCCATCCGGGGCGGGCATCCTGGAGAGGCTCGATGAGGGCCCATTCAAAGGCAGCTGCGTCGTGAGATTGAATTGTGAGTTTGTGCCCCGGCCACAGCTTGAACTTCTGCAAGAGATCGGCCTGAGACGCCACGGTGGTTAGGCCAAAGCCAAGAGCGGTCAGCCGTATTCATGCGTCTGCAAATGAAGGACACTACCATGCGACCAGAGTATGAGCCGTGACCTTCTTTTAATCTCCTTACTGCTTCGTGATAGGCCCGCGTAGTACATTTTTGAGACTTTGACTTGTATCGAGGGGAGTCGGGGTGTGGTTGAACGCAAAAAGCGTCCAAGAACTTGCCGAAGGAAATTTGCGCTGTCAACTCCTTGAGTTCGTCCATAGATACGCCGAAATGATATACGAGGCTCTGGAAGGTGAAGGCGAGGTAGGAATCAAGAGAGAAGAGGCAGTATGTCTCAGCGCTTGTGGCTACAACCTCTCGCCCAGCGACGGAGATCCTGATCGGGAAAGTTACCCAAAACGGGCGCACAAAGGCTTTTGGTGTGCACACGGCTCGTATCTGATCCTGACATCCAGTTATAGGTCAGTCTGGTGATTCAGCTGAACGTATGAGCTACTACTCACTGGGCTCAGCTACGAACGTCCACACGACATCTTGTCAGAGGTCTTAAAACCGAGCGCAAACTTGTTGTAAGCGGCACCATCTATCAGGGGAAGATGACGATGGAGGTTCGTTCATAGCTCAGCTACCAGCCGCTATTTCGACTTTCGCCGGTAATGACTCCCCGCATGACCTTCCCCATCTGTTGTAACTACGCAAAGCACACTCGATCTGAGAGCCGGCCAAGAACACTGTGCCGAAACGGAAAAATACCAGGAAGATTCGACAGCTTGAGGATCTGAGCAGTGAATCGAACACGCTATGTGGCCATCGTACGGAGAGAAACACAGAACGATGAGCTACAAAATAGTCTCGCACGCGCTAATGCGCCATTAGGTCCACGTGGTCAGTGGGCATCGGCGTAGACGCTCATGGACGTTTTGTACCTGTTGTACTCCACCAGTCATCCTACATAGTATTTCTTGACGACTAGCATGGCGGCCATCTTCTAGCATGACTACTACGCAATAATCTCGCAGGATGTCATGTGGCTTGTATCAGATCAAGACCAGCGTGTCGTAGCGATTTTTTGCAGCTCTAACAAGCTCTTGATTCTAACCCTCCAACTTATGCGGACTACAACCTCTCTCTCGCGGGGTCCGACTAGCTGTGGACGGTATTCAGCTTGTTCGGTGTTTCCCTTCTCGCTATATTCGTATGGACCTTTGCAGTACGTCTTTCATCTCCGACTTGATTCTGGTATCTGCTAATGTAACGTTTCTTCAGACTCCTCGCGGATAGGCTCATGTCCGTCTCTTCCACCAGATCGCTATCATTGTAGTGATCACGGTTGGATGCATATCATACCACTCCATGGTACATGGGGGAGATAGCCTCATTGTATACTTCAAATGAGCGGTTGTCGAATCGGCTCATGTCCGATGAGAAAGACGACATGTCAAAGGCCCGCGAATGCCGAAAGAAGAGTGTCAACTGGAGGAATCGATCGCTGCTAAGCACACGCGGCTTTCTCTGTCAGGGCCGTTGAAGGCAATGAGCAGCTAGTAGCGAAGTTGCTCGGCCAGTTGACGATCCGCATAGAAGTCCTTATCCCTACAGATGTGCTAGGACGCTGCGGCGAACCGTCCCAGTGCCTCATTGAACGGTCACCTATGCTTGAAGATGACGCACTCCTACCGAGAGCAGAAAAATGCCAGATGTCCACAAGATGGTCCAGACGAAGTACGGCCACATTTTGACGAGTACTCCAAAGGCGGCACAGAGGGGTGCTTTGCGGGATTCCCCTCTGTTTGCGTACAGACACGGGGCGAGTTTGTCAACAATCTGCGGGAGTCAATGATATCAGTAAGTCTAACTCTATGCACGACATGACAAAAACTCGCTGTAGAGCTCTTCCTGTGAGTCTGCAGGTTACAAGCAGATTCAACCTAACAACTAAAAAGAGGTCTGGAGGACACCGCATACCGCCAGTAATGCATGATCACCGACGCAGCTTCACTTCATCATGCCGGATTCTTGAACCGCAATCGGAGAAGCGAGAAGGCTCGCGGGACACTCATCCTCCAGCGTCTGCGCGCCATATAGACATACGAGGAAACGCTCTTGCGCATTACTGTCTTTGGCGCATGGCGAGCACCTGACGGCCTGATAAGGGAGGTGGCAGGCTGGTAGAGACTGTAACGAGGTTTGCAAACCTGAGGGTTAACAGCCCTTGAAGGTGTCATACCTCCCCTCTCCCCTTACACGTGACGCTCCTGATTGATACCATTACCATCATGCAATTCTCCAAGCATACATCTCAATTACAGCTGACCTCGTACCAGAGGTCAGTCCTCGTCAGATTTTACGGGCGGGATGCACCTTCATATCCTGCGCTCACGCTTCACCCATCACTGATCATTGATGCGCCCGTGCCCTCCCGCGCGGAAAGGGGGGTATGACACCTCCAAGGGTTGCTAACCATCAGTTTTGCAAACCTCGTTGTAGGCTACTCCAGGCTGGACGGTGGTGGCAGGTTGGACGGTGGTGGCAGATCCGACAGTATTTCTCTATAGAGCAACGTGAGGACGCACCACCTCAAGCTTACCGTAAACGCACCCTCGGACGTAAGGCCTAAGTCATGACAACATTCCAGGAAGACATCTATGTCCTGATTCTACACCGTTCGGAACCCAAACATGACTACCGGCGCTCACGGACCCTCGCCCACACCACAAATACGACTCCCAGCCCGAAGCCTGCGATGAAAGCGAACAGCACAAGCACGTCTCGGTAGTAGTTATTCTCCCCGAAGCCGAATAACTGCAAGATTCGGTCAAACGTTAAGACAGGCAATCAGAGCTCTACAAGGACGCGGAAACTCACAGTCTGCATAATGAGCGACGCCGAGACGTTGACCGGGACACCCTCGAGCGAATCCTCGATCATCAGCCCAGAGCCGACCTCGTTGACGGAGAGTGCTTCTAGATTGTACTTCAGAGGGCAAAGCCACTGCAGCCAACGTAATACGGGAGGTATGTCGTTGAGGTGCACAAAGAACCCGGCATACGTCATTTGGTACAGTGCTGTCAGTGCGGAGATGAGAATGGCGATGCCACCGTTGCGGAACAGGCAGGCGAGTAGGAAGTTCTGCTCAGCGTGGGAGTCTGTGGTGAGTTTGTATCGGTCGAGTAGGGACACTGACACTCACGAAGAGGGTCATGGCTAACGTGTACAGAACTAAGATGAAAAGGAACTTGAAAAAATGTGCCGCATCATCCGCAAGGCCCGCCATCCAATACGTGCTATATGGTCGTCAGCTTTTTGCATGAATGCGCGCCTCGAAGGGCCTACGCACATGGTAGATACAATGATGGTGGGTATGATACGGAGAGGGACGACGTCGAAAACGAACCGAGATAGGAGCCAGGCTGTGGGACTGCGCAAGGGTGAAACATCAGTACATGACTAGATTATAATGCGTGTATGCAGACCTATAGTATGCTCCTGATCGTTCCCGGAGGAATAGAGGACGGATCTCTACGACATTGTATAGAGCGCTCAGAGACGAAAACGCAATGAGCGCGCCCTAGAGAATGCGGCAACAAAGGTAAGTGCGACACACAAGCCATCCGCCAGGGCGAAGACATCGCACCAAGAAGAATAGGCATCCTACTCGTGACTGGAAGCCCGAGATAGTGATGCCAGTGTTGAAGTAGAGTCCACCTGCAGAAGTCGCGTCCAGACCATTGCCCCTGAGTAAGTCGACATAGCACCTACCGCAGAAAACACCCAGTACCGACGCGACGGCGACATGCAAGAAAAAGAGCGTCTTGTCCCTCCGCAGGATCTTCCACTCCCTGCCGGAGAGTACCTCCAATTGTGTCAAGAATGTCGCGGTATACGAGGTCCCCGCGAACCACGACCGCCGCTTCGGCTTTCGCTGGCTCACCACACCATTGACGTTCACAGTGCCACCCACAAGACCCTTCTCGACCTCGTCAGAAGACCCAGACGTGCCGACGTCCGGCGGTTCGCTCTTGGTCGTACCATTCGAGAGCTGAAACAGCCCCACGGGCGGATCGCTCGCGATGTCTAGAAGATAATCGGCCACGTTGTAGCCTTCCTTGTATGCCACGCCTTGTGCAGAGAAGTGCTGCGCGGGAGCGGACCCGCCTGGACCCGAGTAGAGCGCGCGCCCATGTGAGAGCAGCAGGATCTGGTCGAAAGAGTGGTAGAGTTGCGAACTGCGGTAATGCAAAAACAACGGATGAGCATCATGCGGAGAACGATGGCATACTCGCACACTGGGCGAATGGAAGAGAGGCAAAAGATATACCTAGGTTGGTGGATGGACGCGATGACCGCGGTGGGGTTCTCTGGGTCGTGTGCGAGCGCGTGCAGGACTTTGGCCACCTTCGCAGCGGAGACAGAGTCTAGGCCCGAAGTAGGTTCATCGAGAAGCAAAACGTCAGGCTTCGCTACAAGCTCCAGCCCGATGCTGACTCGACGCATCTCCCCTCCGCTAATGCCCCGTTTCTCCCCGTCTCCGATACGGACATTGCGTATATGGCTGATCCCGAGGCGGTCCAAGATGTCGTCGACGCGCGCCTGCTTCTCCGAGTCTGGCACGCCTTCAGGCAAGCGCAGTCGTGCGGCGAACAGCAGGGCCTCGTGAACCGTTAGCATAGGAGGTAGGACATCCTGCTGCGGAGCAAAGCCAACGCGTGGTTGACTGCTCCCGGTCCCAGGGAACGAGACGCTCCCGAGTACCTCACCAGACTTGTGCTTCTGCGCGAGGATCTCGATCAGCGTCGTCTTCCCCGCACCACTAGGGCCGAAAATGGCCATCATCTCTCCCGGCACGACGCGCCCGCTGACGTTATCGAGCACGACCTTCTGGTGGTCGAGGCCTGCACGACGACGGCGACGGAGCGAGAAGCCGGAAGTGGGCTGGGGGACGAAGTAGCTGATATCGGTCCATTCCACGATGACCCCACCCGAAGAGCGCAAGCCGCTCGTGCTCTTGCGCGCACGGCGCTGTGAGAGCCAGCCAAGGCTTAAGAGGAGCAGTGCGATGCCGATGAGGCCGCCCACGACCGCGAGGCCAGCGATGACACCACCGCTCAGAGAGGAGCCACCGCTACTCGCGCCGTTGCTAGCGGTAGTGTTGCCGGAGAGGGTGTCGATAACGTTCTGCGCGATGCACTCGCCGAAGGCGCAACCGCTGAGCGAGAGCCCTGCGGAGCCGAACACCTGCTGAATGGTGTCCTGCTTGAATGCACAGTTCGCCGTGTTGTTGTCAGCCGAGGGGGCGTCGCAGGAAATGCCGAGGGTGCCGCTAAGAGTGTCAATAATGCTCGTGAGGTTCGTGAGCTGCACCGCGCCGCAGAAGGCGGTGTTAGGAATACATGTGCACTTGAGGTTCTGGCAGTTCCAATTAGCGCTACCATCGCCCGTGCCGAGGTCCTGTGCGCACGTGTCGGCAGCACAGAAAAACTGCTCCACACCCTCGTAGAAGAGTTGGGCATACACGGAGCCGCTGGGTCCGAAGGCGGTGGTGTTGGGAAGTGGAGTGAAAGAGGAATTGAGGTTGCGTAGGACAGTGAGTGTGGATGAGCCGGGAAATAAAGACTGGAGGGTAGGGTTCTGTGGATTGTATCAGGATGTGTTCACAGATGAATAGGAGACAAATTATATCAGGATTCACTCCACTTCTCAAGGCTGCACTCTTTGAGAAGGATGCTCGTGAGACAACAGCAAGGTATCATGATACTCATGACTATCCCCCCTATCAGATGCACGTGAGAGTGCAAAAAATTGTTTACACGCAAGACACAAAGAGATAGCGAGATGCAGGTACTGCAATGCCTTCTCTTGAGCTAGCGTGGTCGATGCTACCCCACGACCGTTCTGGTAGCAGCCAGATCCACGCGCTCTTGAACGACACAGGGGTACGATTGCTCCTCGTAGGTAGCCTGAGTATAATCCTCGGGGCCTCATCGCTAGCCACAGGCGAGAACTCGCCTGCTTCGACGAGCGGCTACTCGTAAGTCGCTTCTGCATATAGAGCGGTATATGCCTAAATGCTAGCCTAAAGAACAACGACGTTCGCAGATAGCGGACTTTGCTAGTTTCAGGCGACAAGTGTGAGAGGGATCTTAACGACTTCGTCGTCAGATGCGTCGTGAGAGCGTTGACCGCAAACTATGCATAGCGTACAGCTCAAAGGCACCATCCGAGTTCCGGCGCTCGGTGGGCGCGTGCAGGAATGTGCATGCTACGTGTTCTCCGATGATAGCACAACGCAGCCTTCTGGCCGGACGTTCTAAAGACCAGTACCGAGAAGCTCGGACTCACCTGTACGTCGCAGCTCATCTCTCCTGCAGCATAAACTCTTGGCACGTCGTTGCACACAATGGTATTGTTCTGTCCGGTGCTGGCCCCGGTCAAAGATCCAGAGGTACCGGCGACGCTTGCGAAGCCGGACTGGCACGCCTTGGCCGTTTGACAGACGTTACATCCCGTTCCCGTCCAGCCGTCCTCGCAGGAGCAACCCGAGGACGTCAGGTTTGCAAAAGGAGATCCGTTGGCCAAGGAGCGCGCCGAGCCCTGGAAGATGGTCCCGCCGCAGGCGGGTTGGGCGCACGTCGAACCGCCGAAGCCAGGAGGGCAGGCACACGCTGTGCCGTTAGGGGTCCCGTAGTTCTCGCAAGAAGTAGACATGTCGGTCTGCGTCACTTCGCGGTACGCAACGAGGACGAGGAGATGTGGGGTGCTGAAGGCGGGTAGAAAGTGAAGGACTGCGTCGAAGCAACATTGACGTCTGCTGTAAATATCAAGATTGGCTGGTGGGATGTGGGGACGAAACGCACGGGCGTCTCGCTCCATTTACCCGCTCCAAACCCGGCATGTGCGCTTCTCTTGCTTCTCGCATTTATTCACCACCACATTGCAAGAGCATTCCACGACACCCTCATTTCTCATGCCACACGGAGACGGTTGTGGGACGGCCATGGGTTCTGTTAGGCTCATACGGCTGCTCCGTAGGATGAAAATCGACGCTGCAACGTAACATGCATGACTGGCTCAAACATCCTATGCGTTCTGAGTATCCCACAAAGAAACCGCCGTGTACATACTTCTGTCAATCAACCTCCCTTTCACAGACCACCAATGGCTTCCTCGACCGACTTCCACTTCCATAGCTTCCCGCCAGGGTTGACCAACTCGTTGTCGTTCTGCGAGCTGAAATCTGCCTTGCCCTCGCCCAATACAACCCTGTTATACACCCATGCATGTGAGTACATGCCGTCACCGCCATGCGGACACAACGGAAACAATGCCACTCGCCTGAGGTAGTCGAAGAATTGGGGGCTGGGACCTTTGAGCGTCTCCTTTATCGGCGCAACGTCTACGGTCTTGATCTCCCCGGGGGCCACGCCCTTAACACGCGCCACGATGTCCCGCACACCCGCTATCGTCACCGTGTCGCCAGCGATGCGAATATCGTCAGGAACAGAGGCGGCCGTTGCGGGGTCAGTCGCGAGGATGGACAGTTGCGCGACCGCACGGCCAATGTCCGCGAGCGAGGTGAGGGAAATCTTTGTGGTGGGCGAGCCGTATGCCGTGAACGCATTGTTCTTGACGTCGATACCCACTGTGAGAGTCAGGTGTTCAAGTCAGTGCCGCGTTCACAAAGAGAAGATCACCGGACGCAGCACAACGTACGGGCGGGGAACTTGACCGCGAGCTCGATGAACGCGCTCGTGTAGAGCGCAATGACCTTGCCCTTGAACGCGGCCCTCGTCTCCTTCGCAACCTCCTGCTTCCCTAGCCACTCCTCCGACTCGTACCCGGGGAAAGCGTTGATACGGTGATCGCTGGTAGCATCCGGACACAGTTGAGCTTGAATCCGATCTCTCCACAAGCATGCGAAACGAAGCACTCACGAGCCAAATTCGCTCAGGAAGTACACCTTCGCGCCGCTTCTAGCGATAGCCTTGATGATGGCCTGCTTCGTTTCCTTGTCGGCCCCGCCAGGCAGCGCGTTCACGATGACGTCGGCGCCCGCGAACACCTCGTCGAACGACTTCTCCAACTCGTCCCCGCTGTATTGGATCAGTTCGGCCCCTTTGGATGCGAGATCCTGCGCCTTCTGCGAGGATGGATCACGAGTGAGGACGCGGATGCGAGAGAAGGAGGGGCGGAAGTCGGTCAGGAAGGCGTTGCTGACTTGCTGGCCTGTGCGTGTGCATCGAATGTCAGCCCAGGTAGGTCCTCCTCCGTATCCGCACTGCACTCACCGAGGAAGCCAGTTCCGCCAATGATAGCCACGGTGGGAAGAGACATTTCCTTGGATTGCTCGGACTGTTGGGTGGTGGTTGGTGTAGGGACTGGTTGTCTTATCGATTCGTTGGGGCTCCAGAAGTCCGCAATCAGGCCTGTGTTATATGGACTGGTCCTATGGATGGCTACGATGCCCGATGCGCGTGAGACGTCCTAGCGCCATCATTGCGTGGGCTCTCGGCGAAGCTCATGTCGATGTCGGGACATGGCAATTGCTCGTACGTTAGTTGCGTCAGCATCAGGAGGCTTTGGGTCGCGCGAAAGCCGCATCGGCCTACCAGTGAACATGCGCTCTCCTTAGAGATCAAGTGTAACTTGAATACGGTGCAGGCTAGTGTAACAATTCGTCGTCCTCCCCTCACGATCGTCTTGGAGCCCGCAGTGTCCCGACCTCGGGACTTCGAATAACTGTGAGCATGGTGACATTGATGGCTGATGCGGTTGGGTAAGCCTGTATGAATCATATATTGAAGCTTCGTCAGTCTATTACCCATTTGAGCTAGGGCTGACACACATCTTACCTTATCTGTGACTATGTCGGACCTATCATTAGCACATTTCGTCTGACAGCATACGCAATTCTGCTAGAGCGCAAAAGGATGGCTGGCAGAAACTGGAAGCACTAAACGTGAGTCCCTACATCGCAAGGTACTTAACTTACGTTCAGGCGAGTCTACGCAATATTTGTGTGATCGGCGTCCGCCGATTTGTTGTCATCAGTCTGACAGCTACGTACTGTTCCTTCCACTGAACGCTCGGTGATTTCAACAGAGCGTTTGATGGGAACATCCCTCGAAATTCGGTAGTCCGTCATTTGTAAGCCCGCTGAGGCGCATACTAATTGTCCCACGCGCGGATACAACGCAGACGGAAATGAACCAACAGATTACACCTTCCATTGAGGGAATAACTTAGGTGTACCACAATTATGAGGGCAGAAGATTATGTAGGGCCGAAGATAGTGACCAACAGTCCACGCCCGGGCTTGCACGACATAAATAAAGCCCCGTCCACACCCATGCCGCCCTACTGCCCTAGAGTTCGTCGCGGCGGTTCAGGCTCGGCGCGCACTCGCCAGGGGTCCACGTGTGGTTCGGAAGAACGCCGTCCTTGAAGGGGAACTGCACCAGCTTCGAACCCGCCTTCACGGTCGTGATGTGCCCCAACCCCGAGACGTCGTGGGTGTCCGCGGCGGCGTACAGCTGACTAGCCTTCACGTGGAGGACCTCGAGCGAGTCCGGGAAGGTGATCGTCGCGTTGCCCGAGAGAATGACGAAGAGCCTACGATGCGACGTCATTAGTCACTGTTACGGATCATAGATGGTATGGCAGCAGACGTACTGAGGGCCTGACGGGTTGTACGGTCTGCGGACGAGCATGTATGAGCATATGCATCAATTGATCGAGAAAGGGCATGACTGACCCCTGCGTATGGTCCGCGCTTGTAGGGACCTCAATGTAGGTCGCCCCAGTAAGGTCGCCAAGCTGCTGAACGTTCAACTGTCGACCCACGAGTCAGCGGGACAAGTCGCACAGAGCAAACGCCTTCACAAAATGAGCCATACCCCTCCCGCCACCACGAAATCTTGAGAATAGGTCCAGCATTCGATCGTTGACTGGTTGTTCCGCCCCGCGATAGTTGTGAGCTGAAGGGAGTTCGCGCAGGAAACCGGAGGGATGAAATGAGCGTAAGCTAGCGAAAGGGCTGCCAAGGCGACATATCCGAAAGACTGAAGGCGAGGCATTTGTTGAACTTGAAAAGAAACGAGACTTGCGTTCGGCCGCCTATATGCAGATGAAGAATGAGTCTCGGCTCGTACCAGCCCTCGAGGAAAACGTAGAATGCGCGTACAGGAGTGTAAGTGGGTGTTGGAACGGGTGCAGAAGCATCCGCACGGCTTCAGTGCTTAAGTAGCAGTACTACTAGCGCGGGTCCGGTCTGATTGAGTTCAACGATCATCGGGCGGGTTTGGTCGGCCTCGGCGAAGATCTCGTACCTGTTCCTGATCATATATGAAGGCGCACCCAAAATACGCCGGCGCCCATCATACAGGTGGTTTCTTCATACTACAGTAAGTATGTCAGATCTTCACCGTACACGTTCAAGCTTTGCACGCAACCCAGCCTCATTAGAGAAGTTTAGACTCTTGAAGCGACTATTGAGGACTATCGCGACAACCGGTACGCACACCTTCTCCATGCAGTAATAGCAGCAGTATCAGTATTCAGGGCATCAATCGAACCTGACAGGTGTCCCTGTCACTCAATCATTGCAGTGCATGCAGAAAGGAACCGCTTAGCATCTCGGGGACGCACCGATCAGTTAGGAACGTGATGAGTTGTGTTGTATATATCGCGCGAGACTACGACTTGTACATACCTGCATATTCGTTGCTCCTCTAGGTAGTCATTAGGCTTCTGGGGGATGACCTTCACTATCCAGGTCAACCGAACATCAAATAGCGCGGTAGTGAGCAAATATTGTCAATGTTGCCGTGCACGACGCGCGACGCGCAAGTCGTCGCGAAGCGTGACCGATGTACATAGTCACACGTTGATGCTCATCGGGTCACAATTCGTGCGCCTTGATGGTCTCAGATGGATGCCGAGCGGGCCGGGCTTTGCGTCGGGCTTGGACCTGCTCGGACTGCCTCTATGGACAAACCATGGTTTGTCAACGCACGCACATCCATCCGTTGCAGCTTAGCCGTACGTGGCCTGCGCGCGTTCGAGGTCGAGATCGTTCGTACACGGCCAAAATGCCTTCAAAGAGTTCTATTTCTCAGGAACATACACCCTTCAGTACTCTTGAAAATGGGTTCCCTAAGAAATACTCGCGATTCATGCCCGGGTCGCAACCGGAATCCAACTTACAAGGGACCGATATTTGATCGACTAGGCGCCGATTGTTGTTGAAGATACCGGCCCCGGATATAACGTGAGCCGGCATCTTCGGAGGAACATTATCCGAGCGATGGCACAGGCCTAAGATTGCCGAGTTCGCACGGATGAATCTCCACTGCATGCTGGACTTGTCGGGATGATGTAGTATTGACTGTATTGTTCCCTCCCCATCTGCCGACACTATCCTCCGGCATCTGGCGTGAGTCAAAAGATGATACATATGCCATCCCAGGGTGGAGTGTGTCGGGCTTTCTGTCTTAGTAGATGTCTGCATCTTTGTATCCTTTTGAACGACCTGACGAAGTGATATGAATGGACTTACTAGGAAAGGATTTGCTACGGACCCACACACGGACACTTGCATGGACTTGGGATGCTATGGCGCAATAACTCAGACATGTTTCGCATTCACATACGAGCGTGATTCCCCTGAAAATCTGAGATGGTATGTCGGGCTTCGAGGAACCCGCACCGTTGGGGTAAGTTCAAGTTCTCCTGTGAGCATCACGCCCCATATGAGGGCAATGCGAAGTGAACATCACTACAAGCGTTTCGAGTTGTGGTGCAGATAGCGGAGGGGGTACGCTTGTCCCCTGGATTTGCAATATCATGCATGTGTGAGAGAGTCGATGTTCACCCACCGTACTCGAATGCGTTGCAGGCAAGGGAGGGCCGGCAGGAAGTCGACTATCCTGAGGGAGTCACGGAAGTGTCGACAAGTCATACTCATGAGAAGGGGACTACACGAAGCCGATCTGACAAGATTCATCCCCCATACAGCCTCAGATGCTCTTTTACTCTTTCAAGCTGTCTCTCTCACGTGAAGCCTCCGAGGCTTCAGGACAGTTCATATACTAGCATGACCCCAGAAGCTACGACCCATAACGTATTTCATGGATATCTCCCTCCCTTCCTCTCCAATACATTTCAGACTTCGCACACTTCACTTGCATCCTGGACAGTACATATGGGTGAAATATGAAGAAAATTGGTGGAGGTTTGCATTGAGCATCGCGGAATTACACGTCTGACCCCAGAAGCTACGGAAAAGCGCCCATAGATTGTCATGGATGGTCACAATGCCGAAGACTGCCGATTCAAACACCGCTGTTATCAGTCGTTTGATAGCGAAGTTGGCCGGGGCAACATTGTCGAAGCGCTCAGATTGAAAGTCAGCTTTATCTCGGTCAGTGGCTGAATGTCACGCTCGAGAGACCTCTTCCTATCTTTCGAATACTGCAACCCGGAACCCTTCGGAGACTGAACAAGAAAGTTTATTGAGAATGTTCAGAACACTTTGCGAAGTTACAGAAAGATCGGCGCTGCAGATCTTTTTGTGGCAGCTCACCAAGGTCAGTAAACCCTTGAAACCCTACTGAGATTGACTTGTATCGGGAGCAAATCCCTTCCGATTTCCTTCTTTGTTTTTTACAATGATATTTTTGAAGTACGTCTTCTCGCGTGTAACCCGTGCACACTTTTTGACAGGGAAATGCGAGAACTGGAGGCGTGTCAGTAGCTTCTGGGGTCAGGCGCTTAATCCGTAGCTTCTGGGGTCACACTAGTAAGCCTTCTTGACAAAGACGTCGATCGACACCCTCCGAGCAGCCGGATGTACCTCTTCGTCCTCTTCACCCACTCTTCCTTTCTCCCACTCACATGCATGAACACACAGTCGCACAGGTGGAGCCCGCTCTCAAGGACATCCAAAATCCCCCAAGATATCACCATGTTATACAGCACGACGTAGTTTGCTGGCCTCCTTTGGGAGCTTACAAGGGAGCGAAGGAGTTGCTGGCCTCACTGGCAGCTCGTTCATAGAAGTGTAAAGCGTATCAGTGATACTCTCGCAGATGAGTTCGGGTCCCGGGAAAGGACCAAACTTGCCAGTGCGGGAGAGATCATAAGCGCCCTGGTGGTCTGCTATAACGCCCACGTGGCCCAGGTCTGTGCACGTGACTCGCTCTACGTGTCGCAGGTGCGCAGCGGTCGCGCCTGGCTTGGCATACGCCTACTCCCTACTCCCTCCGTTCTCAATCTCATTCTTCTAGCGGTGCTCAGGCCGGGACATTTGCAGTGAGTCCATGCTCCATCGCTGAATTTTGCTATATACTCACATATCTGTCAAGGACCGCAAAGCATGCGCTTTCTCCGGACTCTGCTGTTTCCGCTTGTGGCGCTGACCAGCCTTGCGCTGGCTCGGTCTAGCACTGGAGATACTGTTCTCGTTCTTCTTGAGCCATCGCTTAAGAAGGAGAACTTCTCCATCTTCTTCGGTGATCTCGAAAGTGCGTGAAGGCAGCCCTCGTGAGCGAGGGATGTTGCTCATGCCAGCGATTCGCTACACAGAGAAGGGTTACAAGCTCACGTTCCGGTCCCCCAAGGACACCACTCCGGAGATCATTAAGGATGACGTCTCTCAGTTTGCGCACGTCGTCGTCTTTGCTCCCGAGACCAAGAGTACGTTGCCCAGTCTTCTATGCAGCCTGTGACATACGAGCATATTGCTCATTGCTCCCTATCAGCATTCGCCGGGGACATCACGCCTCAGACCCTTGTCTCACTCCTATCCAAAAAGACGAATCTCCTCCTCGCGCTCTCGCCCAAGCAGACGCCTCTCTCCTCGCTCGCCGCCGAGTTCACGCTCATCCTCCCGCCCCCGGGCACCCCGCTCATCTCTCACTTCCCCAAGCGTGACACGCCCGCGACGCTCATCCCCGTCGAACCGCCCCGCGCACACCACATCATCTCTGACGGGCTCGCGCCCGTCTGGTTCTCCGGGGTACCACAGGCGCTTGGCAACAGCCCGATGCTCGTACCGCTTCTACAAGCGCCTCCGCAGGCGTTCGCGTCAGACGCGGATAGTGATAACGGGGCAGACGCACTCGTCGAAGCTGCGGAAAAGAGTGGGGAGGGCTTGTGGGCGGGCAGCTCGTTGAGTCTTGTCACGGGCTTCCAGGCGCTGAGCAATGCACGGGCGACGTGGGTGGGAGGTGTCGAGATTTTCAGCGACGAATACATCGACAAGGAAATCTCCAAGTGAGTCAGATTACTCTGCACACGCGAAGCGGCCATGGCTAATTGGGAGGGCGATGAAGGGGTGTCAAGTCCGGCAACAGGCAGTTCGCGAAGGACGTCGCGGCGTGGACGTTCCAAGAGGCCAATGTTCTTCGCATCGATACTGTCGAGCACCACCGAGTCAATGAGACGCTTCCGCGCGAAACATACACGATCAATAACCAAGTTGTGCGTGCCCATCCCTTAACTCTGTGCGTGACACCTCACTGAGTATCATTGCATAGACGTACACTGCGTACATCTCCAAATATGACCCGGAGTTGGACCTCTGGGAGCCGTACTCGGGCATCAATGACTTGCAGCTCGAATTCACGATGCTCGACCCCCACATCCGCACCTCGCTGCCTCCCGTCGCGGGCGAGCCTGGAAAGTACTCGGTCACATTCCGTGTCCCGGACAGGCACGGCGTGTTCAAGTTCAACGTCGACTACAAGCGCAAGGGGTACGTCTCTCCTCTTCACGACTTTTCATCGCCCTCCCCCTCTAGAGTACTGGGGTTTATGCTGACGGGTCTTCTGGACTAGCTGGTCATACCTCTCGAGCACGACCGTCGTGCCGGTCGTGCCCCCGCGGCACGACGAGTATCCGCGCTTCCTGAGTGCTGCATGGCCGTACTACGCGGGCGCGTTCAGTACAAGCGCTGCCTTCCTCCTCTTCGTCGCGCTCTGGCTCGCGGGCGACGAGCGCGAGCCGAAGAAGGGCAAGGGCTTGAAAGCGGAGTGATGTACAGCCGTTTGTTTTGCTATATATTTGCTTGCACGCGACACAAGCTAGCATCAGAGTGCCCTTCGGTAGGACGGACGAAAGAAGTGTTTCGCCTAGCGCTCATTCATCTTTCGTCATCCCCTGCTTATCCTGACTTGATGTTCATAACGCTCGACCAAATGCTCCAGATGCACGCCTATCACCATCTGTTTTAGAATGTGTCCTACTGACGTGTTACCGAAGATCACGTGTCTTGTGCGTTGTCCGCGAAGCTTCTATTCCGGCATGCTGCCGCCTCCTAACTGTCCTCACAAAAAGGGTCATACTCGGTATTAGTCTCGGCTCCAGACGTTCTTTAGCCTCTCTGCCCCAGCACTCGATGCGTCGCTGCGCTCCGCAAGCCTCGGGAGGGAGTAAACCTAAACAGGAAGGCGAAATTGATGGAACGAATCGTGAAAAGATCTGGAGAGGGGAAACGAGCGCCGGGGGAGAGAGGCTTCAGAATGTCTGGTGTGTTTCGGGCTTGGCAGAGGGCATTGTGACCTCGGGTTACTCGGGGTGACCAGCGTGACTCCCGTCCTCAGAGGACTAACTCTACTGCCTTGAAAACGCCGTACGTCAGCAACCACCTATCTGGCATAGTTTGTTTATAACAATCTCTGTATGCAATCAATCTGCTTGATGATAGTACAAAGGTCATAAGATAGAAGGGAGGGATTGAGAGACGGTGTGACTGACACGGGCACTCCTTCAGGGGCTCACCCATGTCCCCATTCTAGCATGCCGCGCACCTCCCGAAGTTGTTTGTCTTGGCGAAAATAAGTCACACTCGAATATGGCTGTGAAAAGAGACATTGGGAATATCTACACAGTGAAGAGAAGTATGGCTTCACTCAGGCCATGGACCTCCTCCACCAGCAATCGAGCGCCCAGAGTCGCGAATGCGTAAGGCTTCTCCATCCTCCGCTTTCGCCGCTCTGCCTGGAGAACATTGTGTAAGTGAAATATGAGTTCATAAACTACATGACCAATAGCCAAAAGACGACCTTTCAGGTTTGAGGTGAGTCGTTGTCCAGTGCATCTGGGCGGTGGGTAGGCTGACAAAGCCCACGTGCTGTGACTAATCGTCACGATGCCCTCTGCCGAGCCCGAAATGCACCAGACGTTCTAGCGGTACTCTCAGGTACTGTCTGTAAACGCTAGAACAGATGGGAACGAGACTAGGAGGGCATGCGATACCTACAGATAACTTCCGAGCCAGCAGGGTCCGTGCACTGACGTGCGGTGCACTCATGATGGACACGCTCCTTCGACCTGTACCACCACCATGTCCACCAGTCGCCCCTCCTCGTCGAAGATGCCTGCCACCTCCACCCCTCCTCCCAAACCCAAGATCGAGTACCTCATCTCCAACGTTGACAAGCCCATCGTCTCCATTGATGGCCGCCAGTACTCGACGAAGTCCCTCGCGGACTTATTCCCCGAGCTCCTTGAGTCTGCCACCTTTGCAGACGACCTCATCCAGGGAGCGACATCCATCTACGTCGCCAAACCCCCACCCAACCATCTCTCCCTCCTCGACTTCATAGCGAACATGCTCCAACTGGGGTACAACACTTACCTCAACCCCCCCACCACCACCCCCCTCCCCTCTGTTTCGTCGCCGGCCCCTGCACCGGCGCCATCTCCGCCTCGTGTCAGCCCGCCCGCTGACACGAGGCCACCCACGCGTCCCCAGACACCACCCCCCTCTGCCCCACCGCAGCCAACATGCACCACCCCCAAGAACAAGCACCCGATCAGGAAGACTTCGCTGGAGTCCTCTGTTGAACCCGGGGGGCGAAGGCCTCTCCCACGGGTGGCAACGACAGCGGATAGCCTGCAACTCACCTAGAAGGGTTGGTTGATTGTAAGAGGCTTGTAAGAGCGATGATAGGAGACGTTCGAGTGAACTGGACTGTAGATTGGGGGTACAGAGGTCCCCTATATATACTACTGTACATCTGTGGCTACTGTTATGACTGACTGTCGAGCGAGTAAGTGGAGACGAGCGAGGCAGGCAGGAGCGCCGACGAGCTCTGATCGCAGTGAGACTGGAGCGGAGCTCAACAGGCAGGACTGGAGACAAGTAGTGTATTGAGCGAAGTATCTACAGAGCGAAATACACGATGGCTTACCTGGAGACAAGAGGTCGAAACTAGAGTCTCCAGGTAGCAAGGGATCCAGCTATATACAAGGAACGAACAATGGGCGCTAGAGAACAATAGCGTCGCCATGGGTATGGAGTACAAGGGGTGTAGGACAATAGCGGACGTGGGAACAAAGGGAGCTATTGTCCGTGTGTGGACAAAGGGAAACCGTAGCGAGTAGTGAACAATAAGGAAACGTACGAGGCAGTGGTCCGAATCGAAA